TGTTGTTGTTGTTGTTGTTGTTGTTGTTGTTGTTGAAAGAAGTATTCGAAGAAGACCCGAGCTTCGCCTTGAGTCTAGCTATTTCTCTATTCTGCTCTTCAATGGCGGCTGTCTTCTCATCAATTTGATTCTGTCGTATCTTGGACTGCTCGATAAGGCTTTCAGTCACTATTTCCTTTTCGGCAAGAAGTCGTTTGGCCTTGATAAGCTCTTCGGCCAAGTCTTTTTCACTGCCAACATGATCACTCTCCTCAATTCTTTTGTTCTCAAGAAGTTGCTGCTGCAGTTCTTCAACCTGCTTGACAAGGCTCGATACCACGATGTCCTTTTCTTCTAACAATCTATTGACAGTATCCACGTCTAGCTCTGCGTAGCTGGGCCCACTGCTGGAGGTGGTGCCCTTTCTCTTGGATGATTTGCGGTTCGTTTTGCTTCTCGCTTTCCTCGATCGTCTCTTCTTGCTGTCAGTGGTCATATGACTCATATCATCATCAGAGTCTATCGAGAAGTTGCTGTTACTACCCACGGATAGTCGTCTTTGAGGGTCGCGGATTTCAATCGGTCCTTCAATCACGCCTTCTTCCTCCAGAGCCCCCTCATAAATTTCACCAATACTTGGTAGACTGATCTGGGACATTTCTCTCGACGACAAAGGGGTTATTTCTTCATCATCGTTATCCCCGAGCACATTTTCGGATGAAGGAGCCATTGCGATGTTATTCTGGGATTATGTGACTGACTGACTGACTGACTCACCGACTATCACTGACTCGGGAACTTTCTTGTGTTGGAGTGAGTATTTGGGTCACAACTTCAGTTCTCCTTTCAAGAATTTTTTTCGTTGCAAAAGGCTCTGCGCTTAAAGTGTCTTGAAAGAATGGAGCGCTTTGCAAGGGGTCTGGTCGTTCTGATAACTCTGCTGTTTTAGTTCAAATGGGTGCAAAGTACCAGGTAGTCGTCGAGTGACTTTTATTTTTATAACAATCTCATCCTTTGCGGCGCGGTGCCGAAGTTGTGATTCTCGACTCGTGCGACTGAAGAACTAAATAATTCGCGACACACACGGAAGGACTGCGCGTTGAACGGAAAACGGAAGGTATTGGCGAGCTCAACCATCATACCTCACCTTTTGGTTTCTCATTCCATCACAACGAGACTACCAGGTACTCCGTGAGAAGAAAGACTATTGGTGTTATCCTATCAATCAAGCGCTTCATTCTTTATAACTGAAGTGGGTCATGTTTGATTCACTATTGACAAATTTTCCTTCCATCTTTGGTGGAGATGGATACGAGGAGCAGTCTGGAAAAGTTGCAGTCACTGCCAAAGACACCATTCGTGGTGTTGTCAACGAATGTGGAATTCAATCGTTCGCTTTCTCCGGGATGCAGGGCTGGAGGCTGACTATGGAGGACGCACATATGGCGTGTTCTCCAATTCCAGTACACAACTGTCCTGAGCCACTTTCTGAAGGGCATGCCATCTTCGGGGTATTCGATGGCCACGGTGGAGACTTCACATCAGAATTTGCGGCTGCAAACTTTCTTGGACACTTCTCAAGGAGTGCCAAACTTAGACACTACATTCATTTGAACTCTATTGAACAAGGCGATGTTACCGGGATATCCATGCTGCGAGCAGCTCTGAAGGAAACATTCGTAAACTTGGATGCTGACATTCGGACCCAACAGAAGAAGAAGAACGACAAGATCTTGGCAGGAATCAAAAAAACATCAGCAAATGGACAAGTCGACCTCGTGAAGGCAAGGAAATTTATCGAACGATCTGGCTCAACTTGTGCTGTCGTCCTGTTGACCCCGTCACACATCATTTGTGCCAATGCGGGTGATTCTAGAGCCATTCTTCAAAGGGGCGGCAAAGTCCTCCCCCTAAGCTTTGATCACAAGCCTAGCAACATTCCAGAATTGCAGCGCATAGAAAACGCTGGAGGAACTGTCAAGAACAAGCGCATAGATGGAGATCTTGCTGTAAGTCGTGGCCTGGGAGACTATGCTTACAAGAAGGCAAATCTACGACCCGTTAGCATGCAAAAGGTCATTCCCGATCCAGAGTTTGTTGTCTATCCAAGGAAGCAAGACTTGGATGAATTCATTGTTTTGGCATGCGATGGAGTATGGGATGTCGCAACGAACGCAGAGTGCGGACAATTCATCCAGGGAATGATGGACGACGGTCATACTGACATCGGGGCGATCTGTGAAAATGCCATTGACATCTGCCTGAAGAAGAATAGTCGCGACAATATGACGTTAGGTGTTATAACTATGGATGCCGTCAAGTTTGGCACTGCTGGATTGACACTGGGCAATGCCACTCGTCAAGCTAAGGAGGCAGCAGAAGCGGCAACTCGCGCTGCCGCTGATGTTGCTTCTACATTCATGACAGTCAAGTAAAGTATTCATAGCTGTATAATTATATTTTTTCTACCATCTTTCGTAGATTTCACGGCGTGGCTCATTTATACTTCCGAAAATATCTTTGCCAACTTTTATGGCGACTCTTCGTCGACGACTGAACAGCTATTTTGCTAACGTTGTGTTCTCTGTCATCAGGACATATTCTCGAGTAGATGCACCAAACTTTAGCACATCCCCCTTCTTCAACTGATAGTATCGTGCGGAGTCAATGCGCACTCCATTCAAGAACGTCCCATTCGTCGATTCCAAATCCATAATATACGGTTGGCAAGATAGCCGGCTGCCATCCTTTGTTGGGAGAGCTCGATACTGCAAGACGGCATGCTGAGAGCTGAGGGAAGGATGTGCCATTGGAATGTCGGCGATTTCCGTATTCCGGCCCATCAAGTATGCCGACTGCTTGGAAATGTGCAAGGTATCCACTAGATCTTTCCCTTTGAACAAATAGAATCTCCATTGCGTATTGGGAGCTCTGGCTTCGGGAGGTTCTCGGAACTTAAGGACTACACCTTTGTAGACGTTCCCACCACCGCCCTCATCTTTCGCAAGTGCACCAGACAAACCAAAGTTTGGCTTGTGTGTAGGAGGTGGCTTTTCATTGTCTTTATTATTTTTTCCAGATGACCCATCGTCGTCTCTTCTTCCTTGTTCTGATGCTGGTCCATAGTAGTCTGAGTTTTCATTACTATTGTTGTTTTGTTGGTTCCCACCACGGCCACTTCTATCATCATATCTGGATCGTTTGTTGCTCCCTCGTCCTTGCTGACGGTCATCGTTTCGACTTTCCCATCGCTTCCTCTCGTTGCCTTTGCGTTCGATTTTCCGTTCTTCATCTCTTTCAGCTGCTGATGACAAGAGGGCTCTCAAGGCTTCATCATCGGTGACCTGTTTGGTACTCATCTTCTAGTTACAAAAAGGAACGAGCGAATCGACGAGAAAAAAATGTGGTGTATGATACCTGCTGAAATGAGTTCCGTTGTTGAATGGTTGGCGATACGGATGATGATGATGCAATACCGGTATAGTGTTATTATGCGACTTCGCCATGTGAATATGCGGTATGGCCTTCGCTTGAAACGACTAACTCGAACAATATTTTTAGTGAAAGAATACCTACTATTAGTGTTGTACCGGTACCGGTAGCACTCTTCGGATTTCAGATTGACTACCAAATGATGTGGCGTCCGGTCGCACCAGGTACCAGCCAAGCTGCGGGTTCGAATTATTGCGAAACCGAATCATGGAGGAGAAGGTCACGACATCTCGCAGGCATCGAATGACTTTGCGAGTCCAAATCATCACGTCTTTGCCTTCGTTTTCTTCTGTTTGTCTTGAGATGAATACCATCTTGTGAATTCATGAATATCTATGTGTTTGTCATTGTCGAAATCCCAGTCACGAACCAAGTTACGAGCGTCCTTTAGCTTAACATCCTTACCAGTGTAAGCTTTGATCACGCGAACGACATCTTCTGCCGCAAAGGTACCATCTTTGGTGGCGTCTAGCTCCTGGAACGCAGCCCATAATGCAGAGTTGCCGTCGAAGCCTTCTAAGGAGCTGTCCTCGTTGGACAGATTTTGCGTCATGATTTGCAACATAGCAGTTTTAAGATGCTGCTGAACCTCGTTCTCTGTTTTTGATACCGTTTGCGGAGATTCTACTTGACGAGTTTGCTCCAAGGATTTCAGCTTTTCGCGTAGCTCATAATCTCTAACGAGTGCATCATGTTCCTCCCTTACAAGGGCTTCATACACGGCGGTCAACTTTGAACTGGCAATGCCCTTACGATCCAACTTTTCTCCGAGTTCCACTGTGCTTTGAATTGCGCCCTTTCGTTCTTCCAGTTCTTTTCTCTCCTTTCGTATCTTCATTCGTTTTTGTACTACTTCTCGGATCTCGTCTTGTCGATCCGAGTTCTTTTCCACTAGCTGAAATCTCTCTTTCAAACTACTATCACTCACAATCTGTTGAAATGCTCCGTAGAGAGCAGGAGTCGCTGGCTTGACCTTCCACGAGAACCCAACTCTCTGGGAATCTTCGATTTCAAAACCCAAGACGTCATCGTCCATTAGTTCCAGGAGTGGTGCTTGGTCACCATTAAAAATATTATCCCTGAGCTCCGCAAATGCTACGGCGCCATCCTTGGCGTCTACTAGCATTTGTAGAGTTTGCCATAGCTGCAGCTTGGTGTAGCTCACAGTGTAATCACTATCACTTAATGCAGCGCTGGTTTGGCTTGCTTGGGCCTCAGAGTAAGCAGCTTTGAGTGGATCAAGATAAGGATCCATCTCCTCCGCTTTCATGGCGTCATCGGTGCTGCGGTTCGAAGCAACATCCAGTTCGTCGTGACCCTTGGCAAAGGCAGCTGTCACCCGTTCGAATTGCATTCGGCATCTGGTCGAAATGGTGTCTTGTACAATCCTTGCTCGCTCTTTGGCATTCAGAGAATCTGGCAGCCCAAGCTGATCTTGAATATCACGAGCAGAACCGCGGACATCATGAATAAATCCACCAAAGGCATCTAATATTTTCTGAACCTCCTCTTCGGATGCGTCCGGTATTTCCTTAAGCACTACTTGACGGGCCTCGTCTTTTTGCAAATCGCCCAGTCCAATGACCTTGACATGTCCCCTTGTAAGCCGATTCTGATCAGTTAGACTTAGGACAAGCTCTTCGTTGCCGGTCAGAATAATGTGAGCTAGTTGGCGCTCTTTCGTGACATAGATGCACCATTGAAAGAGTCGTTCGAGACACTGTTTGCCTTCTTGAGTCCGGGCCCAAGACTTTCCTTCTGCCAAACCGTCAATCACGATTATGGGTCGCTCTTCTTTTGATTTTCGTTGAGAGTGCTTCTTGAGTGCTGTAGGTAGTCAAGATGAAATTTGGATATGTGAGAAGCAGGTAATGTTTCCATTGAGCCGATCAAGTTCTTGTCAGAAGGTTGCTCACCTTCAGTTATTACATATAACGCTGATGCTAGGTCTCTATCGGAGAATCTCTCTTTCATTACCAGAATTTCTGATCCTGCAAATGGGAGGACATCTACCAGGGAATATCTCAGTGAAAGCCATTGAAGGTTGAACGAATTGACCAGCATGTATGTGAACGACGAAACAGAGTCCACAAGCTGGGCTAGCTGGATATGTGTCACTCCTCGCTTCTCCTTTCTACTACTATTGACATCTCGTAAAACTTCGGAAACGAATTGAGACTTCCCACATTCATTGACACCAGCGACTAGCACAACTTGATGTGGAACTTTTGACAGGAGAGTCTTCACTTGATTCAATTGTGCTTCTCTCCCACGATGAACAACGCTTTGTTTATCTTTGTGCAGACGGATACGAAGCTCTTTATCCTCCTGCTTCAATGCCTCTAGACAAAGTTCCACACGATAGTAATAGTCGTACGAAAACATTGCAAGCCAAAGAGTGAAAGGTAACGTAGCAATGCTCAAAAGAGCAAACTTGGCAACTTCAAGGACTCCATTCTTTCTGTAGTCTCTTGCAAGATAGGCGTTATTATGCCTATGACGCTGATAGCGAATGGGAATCCTCCGACTAGGCAACCCCTTCGTAGCTGTGGAGGCGGATGTGCGTGATGCCAAGTTGCTTTGCGTCAGCCCTCGAAACAGTCGCTGTACAATGGTCATGTATATTCCCTTCAAAGCAGAAGCTCTCAGCCCGAAAATTCAGATATGATTGAATATGTTTCAAAGACGTTGATCCATGACCCACATGGACAACAATAGAGAGGAACAGTCCACTCGATATGAAACTTTAAAGTGAATTGTTATATCTATCTTTTGCGCAGGCAAAAATACGACTCATTCGAACACCTCAGGCGCGCATGTTGATGATGACGTCTGTCAACATGCCGCCAAGATTTTCGATCGGCATCGCATCATCAATTGATTGCGTATATCAATAGACCCATTCATGCAGCTCATGCTTTGGGAGTGTGTGGGTTAAAATACCAGGCTATAGAGGTGCTCAACAAACGGACAAGTCTTCATATCGCTACGTCTGATAAGTCTGAAAAAGAGCCAAAACAGGATTATTTTATCATCAAGTACTGGTACCGGCGGAAGCACAATGAAAGCCGGTTTTGTTAGAATTTTTCCAGTCGTTGGGATTTGGGTTGCTTCTCATCTACCGATAGCTGACTGTGCTAGAACGCTTCGTCATGACAGCAGCTACATTCACAGTACACATCCTCATCAAGACAACGATACTATCGACAATGATGTTTCGGATGCGGTGAACTTACTTCGATCTTTGGGGGTGCCGGCAGAGAATTTGTGTTCCCGGAACCACGAGACAGTAGACTTGTTGCCGCTTTGCGACAATGTTGGTAGTGAAGTGACAGCAAATACTGCCGCATTTGATTGGAATTCGCTATTAAGATCAAGACGACAACGATATTTGGTGGAAGAATGCGGAGATTTAGAAGACGAGGAAGAAAAAGAGGATGCTTGGTTCTTGATATTTCATGCACTTGGTGCTTTGGCTTGTGTTACAGTTGCTGCGTTGGCAGCTGGCCTTACCATGGGGCTCTTAAGTGTGGATCCACTACTGCTTTTGATCAGAATGAGAGCAGGGTCTCCCGAAGAGAAAAAGCAGGCTGCAACATTGTTGCCCATTGTGAAACAACATCATTTACTGCTTGTAACTTTGCTCTTGTTGAATTCCATTGCCAATGAAGCTTTACCGCTTTTCTTGGTACGTCATTCTCCGCTCCATTTGAAAGCTACCAGATCCTGATAGTCCAATAGACAGCTCACTGCGTTTCTCTTGCTCGCACACGTACAGGAAGTTCTTGTATCCCCATTGGTTGCCGTTTGCCTGTCGGTGACACTCGTCCTTTTCGGAGGAGAAATCATTCCTTCTGCCATCTTCACAGGACCCAACAAGATTAAGCTGGCAAGTAAAATGACTCCACTTGTTCGATTCGTCATGTTCTTGCTGTGGCCAATTGCCTACCCAATAGCCAAAATTCTTGATCACTTGTTGCATCACGACGAAGATGGCAATGCCTTCAACCGAGGGGAGCTATCCGCCTTGATCCGAATTCAACACGAAGAAAGATTGGCGACGAAGCAACAACGCAAAGAAGAACTAGCCAAGGGGCGAAAATCGTTGCGACTCGACCCTACTTTCAGCCTATCGTCGCGTCAAAGGAATAGCTATTTTGAATCTGAGTCGTCGGCTATTATGCTCACACCAGAGGGTGGAGCGCCAGAAACTTACACAAAATCATTACACAATGATGAGATCGCTATGATGGAAGGCGCCCTGCAGATGAAAACAAAATGCGCAATGGATGTTTACACCCCGCTGCGAAAAATGTATGCCGTTCCAATCACGATGGAACTCAACGAAGAAGCAGTTGTGGACATTTACAGCAGTGGCTACTCTCGCATACCTGTTTATGAGGTTAATCCACAAAAGCCAAAGCAAAGGTTTGCCATTCGTGGAGTTCTCATGACCAGGCAGCTCATTGTGGTGAACCCGAATGACTGTCGACCACTGGAAACTCTCCCCCTCTACACACCAATTTGCGTCAGCCCCAAAATCAACCTTGTGGATCTACTGAACACGTTTCAAACGGGGAAGAGTGGTCATTTGGCGCTTGTTTGCGCAAGACCTGACATTGCGGAGAACTGTCTTTCAAGTGGAGAAGCACTATCCACTCATGCTGGATTTATGGGGTAAGGAAAGTTGGATCTACTTTGTTCGAAATATCATGTTGCTAACAGATTTTCACGCTTTCATTCAAAGAGTTGTCAGCATTGAGGACGTATTGGAAGAATTGCTCCAAGAAACAATTGCTGACGAGTTTGACAAAAAGGAGTGGAAAGAAGAAAAGCTGTCGCTCTGGGCCATTCACAAATGGAAGCGCTTTGTACAAAGGAAGAAGAAAAGTCTCGAGCACCCTGTAGATGCAAGAGACGCAAACCCGAAAACTAAAGCAACGGAAAGCACAAGTTTGCTGGGAGACACAAAGAAGAAAAGCGGTAAAAAGAAATTCCTAGGGTTATTCTAGATTGACAGTCCCCATATGATTTCCACATTTCCTTTCGTCATTCTTGATGTGCATTGTGCGGCTACAGCACCTGCATAACTTTGAAACTTAAAAAAACTAGTCAAAATAAACCATGTCATAATCACTTGTATGAGGCTACTGTTTAGTGAGTGAATTTCTTTTTGGTTGACACAACAATTTTGTTCCAACCAGAATTGAATGTTCGATCGTTTTTTGTGAGTGAGCGACGCCCGTCTAGTTTGCCAAGGCGGTAGTCGTCTGCCGCCTTTTCTTCCATTCTCCTTCCCTTTTCTTGCTTTCGTGCCGATGATTCTTTCCTAGATAGTTCTTTTTCTTCCTCTCCAGTCACCGGAGATGGAGCCCGTTCTCTTCGCTCGTCGTCCACGTTGAGCTCCAAGCGAGCAGCCTCCTCCTCTTCTGGCCTCTCTTGAGTGCTGTGAATTTCTAAGTCCAGTTCTGCAGCATTTGTCTTTGCCTCAGCCGCCTTTAACGCATTTTTCATTGCTTGGGCTCTTCGTTCTAACCGCGCTGCCGCCGCCTTCTTTTGGCGCTCGAGGTTGGCGATTTCCTGCTTCAAACGCTCCCGGTCTTTTATCATACGCTGCGCCTCTGCTTCTGCGTGGAGAGAGTTATCGATAGAACCTTGGAACAAACTGTCGATGGAATAATTTCGTCCCACTAGATCAGGTTTTGCCAGTCCTTTTTGAGGCTTTTCGTTTGCAGCTTTTCGCTCAGACAGCTCCATCTGACGTCGCATTTCAGCATCCTTCTCCGCCTTGATTCGAACTTTGTCTTCCTCTGCAATCCTTTCTTTTTCCATCTTCTCCCGTTTCATCGTTGCCATTTCAGCTTCTTTCTCTGCCTTGATTCGAGCCTTCTCGGCGTCCTTCTTGGATTTGATTCTCGCGAATTCTGCATCCTTTTCGGCCTTGATTCTTGACTTTTTCTCCTGTGCAGCACGATCTCGTTCGTCTTTCACAGCCTTGAGCCTCAGTTTGTCTTCCTTGATTAAGCGTTCGCGCTCCTGTTTCTCAGCCTTGAGCCTTGCTTTCTCAGCCTCTTGCCTTGCCTTGATTCGAGCCTTCTCGTCGCGCAGTTGGCGCTCGTGTTCGACTTTCTCTTGGTGCAGTCGTTCTTCTTCTTCGTATCTATGACGCTCCAGGTCAGCCCTTTCCATGGCCAATCGTTGTGCCTCTTCTTCCTTTTGGCACTGTAGCTCGACTCGTTCCTTCTCCAATCTGGCTTTTTCTTCTTTTCTCAGACGTTCGAGTTCATCCCTTTCTTGTTGCAATCGCTCTTGCCCTGCTCTGAGCCGTTGACGCTCTTCTTCCCTCTCGGCATTTCGTCTTTCTTCCTCTTGAGCTCTAATCATTGCGTCTTTCTCAGCCTGCTTCTGTGCTTCTTTCTTTGCTTTTTGGCACTCCTCTTCGTCGACCTTGCGTCGAACTTCGGCCACCTGAAGTCGTAGTTTGGCTGCTGCAGCTTCTTGTTCCGCTCTCTTCCGGGCTTCTTCCCCAGCTCGAAGTTTCGCAATTTCTTGGCCCGTCTTTTGCCTAGCTTCTTCCGTCGCTCGCATTAATTCTTCTTCAGCTGCTGCCATTGCTTCTGTGAATTCCATCGAATCATTTAGAGACGACAACTTGGAATTTCTGCTTGACTTGCTCTTCTTTTTCTCGGTCTTGCTGCCCTTGGAACTCGCTATGGAATCAATTGAACTCTCGAGCGAATCGTCGACAGATGAATCCAACGAAGTAGTTGACATCCTGTTTGACTCTTTTCTCTTCGACTTGCGCTTGTCTCGTTTCGTACTCTCTTTCTTGCTCTCCTTGGAACTTTTAATCGGTTTGGCTGACTGCTTTGAATTAGATTTCCGAGTTTCATCTGCAGTAGGAGGCGTCTCTGAATCAACTGGTAGCCTTGGACTGGGCTTCTCATTCTTTTCGATGGGCTTTTCGATTGATTTCTCCTTCGACTTGTGATTTTTCCTTTTCTTGGCTTTGTTTTCGCTTTTCCCACTTTCGTCAAGAGTGGCATCGAAAGATTCTAGCCAAAGTCTGTTGGGAGATCGTGCCAGTGGTGGCGAGCAAGACTTGTGTCGCTTTCTTCGTTTTCGAGGGGCATGGGGTGGGGAATCACAATTGCTGTGGCTCGACCAACGATCATCGTCTGATTCCTCAGACTCAGAAGACTCGGCAATAGTGTGAAGTTGGTGCTCCCCCCATTGGATCAGACTCCGCCGCGGATGCGGTGAATGCGATCGACATCGACGACGAGGCAAGATTTCTTGATCCACTCCATCTCGATCTGATCTATATTTGGCACATTCTTTACGCCTGGATTTGGATCTCTTCTTGGCCTTGAGATCGGACTCACCAAGGTCCATCATGAAACTTTTTGATTTGACTTTTTGATTCTTCTTATCGCGCATGGTCATGATGCTAGGCTTGATTTCAAGAAGCTCATCGTTTAGGGGGATTACACAGTCGGAAGCGCACAATAACTCCGAACTCTCCTCTCCTTCTGCGGTGAGATTGCCAAGGTCCATATGGTAACTTTTTGATCTAATCTTTCTGCCCTTCTTGTTGCCTTTTGTTGTGCTACTTGGGCTGATTTCAAGGGACTCGTCGCTTAGAAAGAGTTGGCTGTCAGAAGCAGACAGCAGGTTCAGACTCTCAGTTACACTCATCGGGGGTTCGCCAAGGTCAACGGCAAGACTTTTGGATCTAACCTTCTTAGTTCTCTTGTCGCGCTTGGTCACGCTGCGAGATCTAACCCGAAGAGGCTCATCACTTGGTCCGGGTAAGTAGTCACAAGACGAAGACTCGGTGCTCTCCTCTTCAGTCGTGGAATCGCCAAGATCAGCAACGAGACTTTTGGATTTGACCTTCTTTGGTCTCTTGCCGCGCCTCGCCTTGCTAGTAGGACTGATTTCGAGCAACTCGTCATTTAGAAATAGCTGGCTGTCCGAAGACGACAACATCTTGGAGCTCTCAGCTACAGGCTTTGGGGGGTTGCCAAGGTCAATGACAAGGAGACTATTGGATCTGGCCTTCTTGTTTTTCTTGCTTCGTTTCGTCATGCTAATCGACCTGGCATCCACAGACACATCGTTAAGCACGAGTAGACCTTCGGAGGGGGACTCGGGACTCTCTTCCTCGTCTACTGTTGCCTTTCCGAGGTCGGCAACAAGCTCCTTGCTCTTAAGCTTCTTCTTTTTCTTGCCATACTTGTCTTTGTTCTCTCTTGGACTGATCAGTAGATCGAAAAGCGATGGCTCTTCATCCAGAGATAGGATCTTGGCTTCAACAGGATTCCCCGTACTTTTGGGTCTCTTCAACTTCTTGTCGTTGGCTTGAGGTGATAGTTCGACGTCAAAGACACTGTCTGGAATCTCATACTGTTCCTCATCTTCATACAATATGTCGTACACTGATAGTCTTCTCGCAGGTGCGCTCTGTCGTTTCTTTACCTTCTTGTTTCGTTTTGTTCTTGGCGTGTCGGAATCGAGTCTTAGATCTTGTTCCGAATTGTCGGTGACACCGAAGGCAGCGTAAATGTCATCGTCTGTGATTTCCTGCTCGGACAAGCCAGAATTGAAGTTGCTAGGTAGCATCGAAGTAGACTGTCTTCGTGTGCTCTTGCCCATGATTGCTGATTTTAAAAAGCTTTCTGTGCTGTACCAAAGTTTGTTTGTGTGAGCTTGGCAAACAGAAAGGATTTGGCGATTTGTGGAGTCGCGATTTTTGTTTCTTGGTTGTCCATAGTTTTTGTTCGTGGATCTTGGGTCGGCGCAAACATCGTTATGTGGGATTCGAGCTTCCCTTTCCGATGTGTCTCATTCGAAGCGTATCGTGTCGAATACGACAAAGTTACTTATCGATTTAGATATTGATCGGAAGTTTGTTCACATAAATTCAGAAGAATCACATCGCGCGAGCATGAAAATATGGCGAAACTCGATACGCTGACAAACGAAAAAACGCCAATTTTAGCTTGCAACTATCGTCCACAAGCAACAAAAAGATTATGGCCAAAGAAAAATATTTTGTCAGACCCTGCTGTGTCAGGTTTTTCGCAGGACGTCCAACAGTAGGAGTATTCTCTACTATGACGGCATCAACGATCTCTTGCATTGATGCTTCGTGTGCTGAGCAGTAAATAACCAACAATTGTAGTAGTAGGTAGTAGTGGCTTGGATGTTCTTGCTACTGTAGTGTAAGTCTAGCACGAAACTATCCGCACAAATCTAGATTGAAATTTGATAATTGACCTAGCAACGTACACATTGACTCAGTGTTATTCGGCTTAATCTCAGTGGTGATGGCAACCATAACATCGATGTCACTGTAGTCTAAGTGGTTTATTCAAAAGCGCACCAAAAGCGCTGGCAACATAGATATAGTATCGATAGGCATCGGCATTTTTACACAACTTCCATCATTCTTCAGTTTGCCGTTGACAACTCTTCTACCCGGTAGTAAGTATTATACCGGTATCAACGTCACCCTCTCCTCCTTTCTCAAGACAACATCCCTTCGCATTTTCGTAGACTGGTCGCCTTTTCCCTTTAGAGTACTATATGGGTTGAAGTCTCCTTTTTCAAAAAAGAACAGATTATTCAGCAACAATTTATTTTAGGATGAGAACTTCGTTTCGTCTCAAGAGATTTTTGCACGAACATAATAGTCGTTGTGCAACGAAAAATGACCTTGTTGGAGACGGTCAATGAACCGGGACAGTGGGAGTACTGGTATGAGGAGTTTAGGATACAACATATCTACAGGAATGGTGTGGAAGCATCAGCGAAGTCTTCATCTGGATGGAGTCTTCCAGCAGAATATTTTGATGAAAAGAGAGTCACCGGAAAGGAAATCGAGGGTTGTTTTTCTGGAGGGTGCTTTCTTCATGGGGGGAGAAAACTACGGCCTTCCAATCTTAAAATCGAGAGGTTATCGTTTGTATGCCATGATCAACGGATCGCGGTTTAAACATGATACAGTTGTTGAACTTTTGGTGGACGAGAATGATGGGCTACGGTGGTTTGCATTTAAGGAATTTTGATTAGGAGATGCTGTGCTTTTTCTATCGCAATACGAGGAGGAGACAAAAATGCTTTCACTTGGAGGAGCATTTGCTAGAGTAACCGAAGATAGAGGTAGTTGCAACGTATATTTGACACGGAATCGTGTCCTACGATGCATGAGAAGCATAGAAAAAGGAGGAGAGATCGTACGGTGGATGAACCGAGGAGAACCAATTGAGTGTTTTGAATTGATTGACCGCTTGGTATTAGAACCCTCGAATGACACCAGGCCGAATATGCTTATTGGATAACGAAGTTGTAGTAGGCAAGGAGTCGCCTTGGCGTCCCGTTTTTCATGGCACAGCGACAAAGATTTCCTGGGTTGTTTCAAAATGAAGATGTGAAATTGAGACTTCAGTAGATGAAAATGATGATGTTATGTACAGTATGGATTGGTACAACTTCACGCGTATTCAAAGTTATTCAAATGAAGAGTCATCAAGTTCGCAGATAACACGTCTATCGACAAGTGAGTCGCCAGCGGTTGTGGCTGAGCCCTCATTCTTGATATAGGGCTACCCAAGCTGGTGATGCGCCACTTGAAGGTACGGTTTGGAGAAGAATGCATCTCTTACGGTAGGATGAGTATCGAAGAAATAATGGATGCGTCATCACGATACTGGTCCATGGATTGATTTTTTCATCCGCTTATTTTTCACTTCTGCATTGATTCCCTTGGCTTTGAGGAACTGATGTGGATTTGAGCGTTTATAGAGGGCGAAAGGAAAAGCGTTGATCCGTTTGCTGATTCTCCTGGGGTGGAAGGGAACAAAATCCAATTTCGTCAACAGATCGTTTGTCCGTGCTGTCATTGATTGGGGTCCCTTTGGATCTTTGACTTGCCTAAGGGCTTTGCGAATAGGAAACACATTTGTTTCTCGTTTGAGATCGAAAGTACTGAGGTAAAAAAATTGTGCCATAGACAAAATTCTCGGCGACAAGGACCATTTGTGGTTCTGATAAGTTGTTCAATACTGGAAAGGCTCTATCAAAATCTCTAACAACCAAACTTTGGCCTTGACGAGCAGTATTCGGTGAGATGTTCGTCGCGTTTCAGGGGGGAAAAACGTGTTGCTGTCTCAATACGACGAACCCTTTTTGCTATGGTGAGCATTGGTGGATCGCCCGATCTTTCGTGTTGAATTTGCTTTCCAAAACTTTGCTTTTGTGACAACAAAGAGTCAGAAATGGCTCAGTTTGAAAGAGGTTATTTGGTTTTGGATATGTCGAAGTGGAATTGGACGTGGTGAATCGTCAACTATATACCCTATGCTCCCATCGGTTGATTCATTCGGAATCTCCATTCGGTCATGCGGTGTCGTTCTACATGTAGTCAAAGTAGTCCATCTAAAAGCGCGCCAAATTGCATTGTATTGTTTGTCAAAATAGAAAAGCGCGGGTAACAGACAGGCATCAGCATTTTTATAACACAACATACAGAAACAAACTTAATTATTATTGCGGCTCCTCTGCTTTCATCACGGCATTATAACCGAGAATTAAAAGCAACATGACCGCGAGTTCCATGCAAGTCGATCCATCCATCAATAAATCTAGTGATGTCCAACTTCCCTGGGTAGAGAAGTACCGTCCTCAACGTCTAGAGGATTTGGTCGCGCACGAAGAAATCATCAACATTATCACCAACCTGATTGACAGCGACAACCTCCCTCACTTGCTCCTCTACGGACCTCCTGGAACAGGAAAGACTAGTACTATTGTCGCAGCCGCCAAGAGAATGTACGGAAAGTCTTACAGTGGTATGACATTGGAGCTCAATGCCAGTGATGCCCGTGGTATTGACGTGGTTCGTAACGAAATTAAGGAGTTTGCTGGAACCAAGCAACTCTTCAACAATGGAGTCAAATTGATCATTCTAGACGAAGCTGATGCCATGACTAACGATGCCCAATTTGCATTGCGTCGAGTCATTGAAAAGTATACCAAGAATGCCCGCTTTTGCCTCATTTGCAACTACGTTTCCAAGATTATTCCTGCGCTTCAGTCTCGATGCACAAGATTCCGATTTGCCCCACTGGCTCAGAACCAAATTCAATCTCGATTGGAAGAGGTTGCCAAAGCTGAAAATGTTGCTCTTTCTGAAGATGGAATGAAGGCCGTCTTGCGATTGAGTGGCGGTGATATGCGTCGCGTTTTGAACTTGTTGCAATCGACTGCCATGTCTCACAAGGAAGTGGACGAAAACAACGTCTACTTGACCTCTGGAGCCCCTCTCCCCAGAGATATTGACGAAATCCTCAACTGTCTCTTGAACGAAACCATGCAAACTGCCTTTACCAATATTACCGGCATGTGCTCTGGGAAGGGATACGCCTTGTCGGACATTTTGCACGACTTGGCTGCCAAACTGATTGACATGAAATTGGATTCTGCGCCTCTTGCAAAGTTGCTGAATGGAATGTCCCAAGTCGAACATCGTTTGGCAAGCGGGACCGACGAGAGGATACAGGCGGCATCCCTGGTGGGAGTCTTTGTGGAAACAAGACAGCTATTGACTATCTAAGGATTGGGCTTGTTGGGAAGCCTGCTCCATTGTACCCACAAGGTATTGAATATATGTTTGTCTCAAAAGCGCCTGATATGGAAGGTAACATACACTATTCAAATAATGCTACCAAAGGATTAGTAAAGTTAGCAGTATTAGTAGAACACTGACCTACTTGTGTCATTCCAAGAACGCTGAGATGTAAGAACCCAATTGAAGGCATTCATCGCAGCTATGGTCAGAAGGATCGAAAACCATCCTTGAACGGCATGGGAATCTTTGCGTTTCCTCCAAAGCGTACATCGAAGTGATCTTTCCTAAGTTGGTAAACGTCTAAAAAGCGATGTCAAAAACGTAGTAAATTTCGAAATATTCTCATGACATGACACTTTGTCGAAGCCCCAGCTTGGATAGTGATACTCCACTTACAGTAGGCGCCCATGAATCTGACTTTGTAATCTGGGCCAGCTGATACAGAGTAGCAATTATCATAACCAAAAATCGATGGCAGCAGCCAATCTGTATCCACGAATAGACAACCACCCTCTAGAAGCCTCATCGATCTATCATGACGCATCCTCAAAATGTCATGGCGAAACTAAAAGGTACTCATTACATGGTCCCGGTACTGGAGATTACACCATGCTTTTGCCAAACCATTTCGAAGATATCGCTGACGTAGGTCAGTTTCAAATTCATGTAGTGTAAGGAGAAGCCTCAGTAGATAATTAATGAGCGTCGAGACCAGAAATGCCAAGCGGAATAAGCAGATTGGAGAAAGTCACTTACAGAGTGTATTGGTTTATGAATCTGTATTTCGCAGTATAGTGACTATACTATACATATTTTTCATTATAGGTATCATTCCTCCTGTCCAACCGTAAAGTTGATTGTCGATATTGCGCGGGCTCATCTACTACTCTGCGAGCCAAATTGAATCTCTTTTTTATACCTTCGTCTGTAGTCGAAGTATAATCAGAGAATGTACCATTTAAAAGCGCAGCGAGCATACCTATACACCGGTATCGCGTACAAGTACTTTGACCACCACTCTAAAATAGAAAGCAAGTTTCTGTATCCTTCAGCATTGAACTACAATTTCGATTATTACGCAAAACTCATTTATTTGCTTTTTCATTACTCCAATCACTGAAACATTCCTCTAACGAAGGCAGAGCGGATTCGACACCACCTTGCAGTACATTGCTGCTCGTCAGCACCAGAGGCCTAGACGCAGCCAACAAGAAGAAGTCCGATTAGTATACATCAAGACAAATAGATTTGTTTGTTTCCCTCCCACCTCAACATAGGTGACATCTGTACAAGGCCTATAACCTGGTAGGCGAGCAACTTTCTGATATGCTGCTGTAAGCAGTACCGTATATGGACGTAAGAGAGTCCTTTGGATCGCAAGCCTCGCCTGAGAGCCACATCACAGGATGAATCATATCATCCTCCACGGAAGAACAGACAGTTGGCTATCAATAGACAGTCTGCGATTGCTGCGGTGTGATTGATATTGTTGATGCGTCACAGATCGAACAAGTGATTGAAAGCACTGACCTTCATCAGATATCACAAAACAACACAACACAAAGCACAATTAGTGTTTCCTCAGTTATATTGTACAGTGTACACTCTATAAGTTGACCTTCGCTTCTTCCTCTACTACTTCCTAGACTTCCTCTTTCTTTCCTTTCTTCATTTCGTGCAGCTTCTTATTTGTAGCTGATGTATCCCCACCATCCCCTATCTCCGACTCAAACTTCTTCTGGTACTCTTCCAAGCATGCCTTCCCTTCAAGGATCCACTGTTCCTTGTTGGCAGTTGCATACTCCAAGTATTCGTGACTAGATACCCCAAAGACACCACAAGTTTCAAGCTTCTTCGCCAACGGAATCACGTAGAAGTTGAAGAAGCCAATCTCACTCTCATACCAGTTCTCCCGAGGATCTACCAATGATCGACCCTGCTTGTATGCCAAGTACATTTCAAAGAAGAGCCTTTCGTTCCACTTGCGGAAAATATGCCAGTGCTGCATGGTGTGACAGACATCGGAAGCTTGGATCAAGTGCTCCAGAACAATGGTTGCCTTGCGATTCTTGTCGGCCATGGCGGTGGTACCATCTGGAGAGTCCTCCGCAAAGGCCACCTTCCATCGAGCCTTGCGCAAAGCACCAAGTTCTTTGTCTGCAATATCAGTCGCCATGACAATATTCACTAGCAACTGTCTGAAACGCAACAGCTCAGCTTCATTGTGATAGATGCACGACCGGAGCTTGGCAAAGCTTGGTTCCATCAGAAGACCCCAGCAAAGGTCTACACTTTTCTGCTCGGCAACGCTCTTCCCATTGTACAGGATCGCAGCATCAGTATTCTCTGAGACCAATGTGGCATTTGGAACTCCGGGATGATCACAGTCATGGATTACCGCTGACAGGACCACCACAAATTGGGTGAGGGGATCCGAAGTAATGCCATAGGAATGCCCACTTCGATCTTTGATTTCGTTGCCCACCATGACAATACGAGACAAAAGTTTTCGGACAGAGCTTGTGACGTGGCTTGCATGCTCAAAGTTATGGAAATGGTTGGATTGGTACATACTGGCTACCTGCGAAAGAAAATCTCGCAGTTGATCGATTGCGATTTCATCAAATTGAGTAATATTCCTGTCTTTGCTCCCTTCGCTGTCAACTGCATCTCCTGGCGATACCTCGATGATGTCCTTGAACTCTTCCAGTACTGTGCCACCATGACCAATGGTCTTTTCTCTGGCAGTGAGAATAGTAGGATCAGATGCCAACGACAAATCACGCGCTGATAAGATTTGCTTAATGAGGTCGGCCAGTAAGTTGGCGTTCCAGTCAACCAAACGCTTCACCTTGTCTCCTGAAGCATCCGCTTCGTCAAGATCGCCAAAGTTGTCCCAGTCTTCCAGCTCAGAGTCAGATTTCGTGTCTTCTTCAATGTCTCCGTCATGCTCTTCGATCATAATCATCTGGCCCAATGACTCACTGGACGTCCGCTTGCCATTGACGACTCGTCTGGTGGTCTTGAGTGCCAGCCAGTACGTTTCAACGTCACCCTTTCCTCGTAGCCTGACAGTTCCCTTGCGTTTTCGTAGCCAGCTCGCCTTTCCTTTTGCAAGCAGCAGCTCGGCGGCCGCAGTTGAAACATGAATGCGCCCCGGATCGGAGCTTGTTTGGATTCTGGAACACGTGTTGACAGTATCGCCAAAAAGCTGGTAGCGAGCCATGGTGCCTCGCAGAACACCCGCAGTAACTTGACCAGAGTGAATACCGATTCTAACCTTCAGATCCGCAGTATCTGGCCCAAGCGAGACCTCCAATTTTGTCGCAAGATCTGACCACTCGGCGATGATGTCTCTTGCGAATCGAGCAGCAGCCAAAGCATGACCCTCTTGCGCTGCTGGAATTCCAGATACGGCAACGTAGCAGTCTGTACACACATTGTAGTGGTTAGACAAAGCTTGTAATGGTGGCTAGGATGCAGAATGAAGCATATCATCATCTCACGTACCTCCAACAGTTTCGATCTTGGTGACATCATAACGATAGGCAATCTTGTCCCAGCTTGCGTAAACAGTCTGTGGCGTAAATATAATGGTAGAGTGTAAGCAAGGGTCATAGCTGCAGCAAGTCAACAGACGAATACTGTACGAACCTCCAGAAGATGAAACACTTGTGTTGGTTCCCGAGTCGAAGACCACGCGGTGAAGCGGGAAATATCAGCAAAAACAATGGTTGCGCTTGGATACAGCTCTGCGATCACGCTACCCTTGAACATTGAGTGAACACCCTTGTCATCATCATTATTTGATATCGATTCATCGTCGACCACATTGTGGTAAAGAATGTCTCGGACATTTGCAGGAAGCATGTTGGAGACAATCGCGTCAGTCTTCTCTGCGGTCTCTACGAGGTTTCGCTTTCGCTGCTCTACGTGGTAGTCGTATGCATACAGAGCCAATGCAGCGACCATGAACAGGCCAATCGTCAATATGGAGAAGAGTAGAGGCCGTCCAGAACGAAACTTTTCTTCCATCAATGTTGACGGGTACAAATTGAGAGTGAAAGGACAAATCGGATCGGAACTCAAAGGAATTCCGGTGTAAATTTGAGTGTTGAAGGCATTACTCGTCAAGTCTTTGTATGTAGCTTTCACATTCATATGACTAAACTTATCTTCGTGCCCCTCTCCTACTCCCAAGTATATCACATCAGGTCCGTCAATCTGATAGGTGAAGGAAGGTGCACAGGGGCTCGTCCAAGTGATGATCACGCCATCTCGGCCTAGATTGCAACAGTATGGCGCCAGTGGTCAGTATTTGTACTGGAATTCACATGAATACTATCAACATTGATAACTCACCCTCTGGTAGGATTCCTTTGATCCAGTCTCGCCAATAGGAAGCCGCAACAATAATAGCTCCAACACGATGATCTGACGGAATGTACTCTCCATTATCGAACGGCACCTGTACCCAATCTGCCATTTCCGGAATGATAGGGTAATAAAGATCGAAAATCGGGGCCTTCGATCGCCGCAACGAATTGCACGAGATTGATTTTGTTAGGCAAATCAGATATGGCTTCATTTGAGTTTTAAGCGCTCGAACCTATCGCTGAACTTACCAACGCTTCCTCGCCTGTCTGAATGTACGCTTCGTGGAAAGGTTCCGATGCCTTTATTTCCTCCAATACTTCGGCCTCGTGTTCTTCAGCGATCAAATACGTCTCTGAAAAAATGGGGTTGTGGTCTTTAAAGATCTGTGGAACTTCTCCCGTTCCAGGCCAGCTATAAAGATCCCAACTTTTTCAGGCGGCACTATGTTAGAGTTATCGCCCTGCTGGTTAGATAATTTACTCAAGAAGACTTACTTGTATGGTGGCTCAACTGGTATCATTGGAGAGTTCTGCCAGAAAGGCAAATACGGCCCTGTTAGATTTGTACCGCCTTCTCCCCATTGTTCTTCAGGCTTCTCATACTCATCGTAGTCGAATATCACATCCCAAAACATAACATCTTCCATACTTGAGACACCCACATTAGCAAGTTGATCTTGGACAAGATTTTGCCTCTTCTGGAACTCTAGTGATTCCTGAACCCAGGTCCTCCCATTCTCAGCTGTGTAAGCTTCCCACTGGTTCCTTTCCTCCGCCTGAACGTTCATATAAAGGCCTAGATAAAGGGCCTTGGACAGAGCTAGATTGAAGCAGCAAAGTCGGTGAGACAAACAAAGAACGAATACTCCAGCACCCCAAGTACATGCATACGCCGTACCTCGAGTGGTTTCAGCTTTGGCGCCAAAATCAGGCACGGTGACGTTGGGCCAAGTTTGGTTCGTTGCTCTGGCAAATGAAGCAATGTTCAGTGCAAACGTGTTCAGAGCACCAAACGCCAAATCAATTGTCAACGTAAAGGACTGAAGAACTTGAGTTGCATCCTCTTGGAAGTGGTTTTCGAATGCTTGCTTTTCTTCGTTCTCAATCGCAAAATACACCAAAAGCGCAACCCCAAGACCAAGCAAGAGAATGGCGAGATAGATTAAACGACGCAGCCATGCGACTTTCCTATCTCTCGCAAAGAAGTCGAGCAACGCTTGTGATTCCTGTCTCCCTTGCCTCCGCCTCGTTGACGCCTTTGATGAATCGATAAAGGTGTCATCTTCGTCAACTGCAAAGGATGGAGAAGTGCTGTACATTGTACTGCTAGCCCCTGAGAGGGATTTTGAGTCATCGAGAGAGCTGTCAGATGAAGCGTAGGACATGGTTCCACAAAAATTGTGTGCTTCTGCTTTGCTTCTGCTTTCCTCACCAGTTGAACAACAAAAGCAAGAAGAAAAACCTTCCTACTCCTCAATTCGCATATATAACGCAATAATTGGTTTTGTGATATGACTGACGAACAATATTTTAGTAACTGTTCCGATAAATGAGAAGAAATCTTTGAGAAAGATCTCCGCCCAATAAGAAACTCATAACATATATATGAGGATGGGCCTTTCAAAAAACTGGTCACCGGGTAAAAAAAAGTGCAAAGTTCCTGATTGGAATGCGAAGCGAAATACCAGATTTGTCCCCGCGCGGCGAAAAACAACAGAAACGCCTTTTATCTTACTTCGGGTACAACCTGCTGGTACCGCGGTACCGTGGTACCAGGTACCTGGTACCAAGACCACAACCATCTTCTTTTAGCTATCGAACTACTGTTGTTGCAGATTGCAAACCCTTCATAAAATCCAACAATAAGAAAAGTCAATTTAGCTGGAACCCGAACAGTTTCCAGGGAAGGGACGCTTCATCTTCGTGAACAAGTGTCGTCTAGTGACTGTCGTTGTGCTTTCCAACCTCGACCTTCTCAATTGTAATGATGCGTCCGCAATGAAATTTTCTCTACTATACATTTTTTTTTTAAAATTTAAAAACTGGAAACAAACACATTTTCTTCTGCATGCATTGCATGCGGTCGCTTCGTTTTTCTTCCGTATACACTCTCATCGCGGCAAGAGATGACAGGCTGACGTCACACCGTCCATTGTTCTGTGCCACGGAAGTCAGGCTGCATCGATAGCCATATCTTGCGTATCTAGCCTAACTACTCTCTGTGAGCGAATAATCTCCTACCAATCTATATGGAAGCCCTAGCTAAGAAAACGACACATCCGAAACAAGGGTCTCCAATCTAGCCTTGTCGTGGCGTATTGTCTCTGTTGTTACTTGCGAGTTTGCTCCGAATCCCTTTCGAATGACATACTGATCATTCAAAGTATGATGTCGAAACCACTATAACTACGGCGAAGATAGAATTTCCTACCATTTTTTAAAAATTTCTGTATTCTTGTTCTTTTGATACAAAAAAGTAATCAACAAGTTACCATGGCAATAGGACTATATCCTTTCCGTGAATACGATCTTCGACAAAGGCTTGTGGTGGTAAGTGCCTGGTGACGCTCAAGTGCTTCTTGCTTTTACCGAGTACGTACCGTAGATGCAAATAATATCTTCCAGAGACAATAAATGACGACTGTCTGTCACCAGCCAATAATGACGTCACAGGACCTATCAGAACATCATCGAACCAAACCGGGAGTCATTCATCGCAACCAATCTGTGCATGAGTGTTGTCAATCTGGAAGGATATGATGCGGAAGTAAGGCATAGAACTGACAAACATCTACCATGACAACAGTGAACCTCGCCAAGTATTTCGGTAGGGTAGGTCTTAGGGACCTCCAGCCTCCTTACACAGCCGACCGAGATACGCTCAAACGAGTGATGGAAGCTCAGTCGAAATCCATCGCCTTCGAAAATATTGACGTTGTCCAAAAGAAGTCAATATCCATGGACCTTGAAGATGTCCAAAAGAAACTTGTGGAAGACGTCCGAGGAGGATACTGCTTTGAGCAGAACACTCTACTAAAGGCCGTACTTGAAGAAATGGGGTATTCGGTGGAACCATCATTGTGTCGTGTCCGATGGGGCAAGCAAGATGATTCCGCTGGTCCCAACACGACCTTTACCCACTTGGTTCTCAAAGTTTTCACCAAAGACGGAATCTTTCTAGCTGATGTTGGTTTTGCTGGTACTAATAGTATTGAGCCCGTCAGGATGGACATTGGCGGTGAGAACCAGGAGTTGCCAGAAGGACGTTTTCGCATTGTCCCATCCAAACACAAGGGATTTTTTGTTTTGGAACTTCTGGTCAAGGGAGAATGGAGACCACTCTATGAATGGAGGGATGAAAAGGCGCCTTTGGTCGACCAAGAATGCTGCAATTGGTTTTCTTGTACCAACCCAAAAGGTCGATTCACATCACAGTTCTTTGTTTGCAAGATCATTGGCGAGGAGCGACATCATATTTTGAATGATCAGTATGTCATTCGAAAGGGATTCGGAGCAAACTCGCAAGTGACAACAGATACAATAAGCGACAAGGCTAGATTGGAGACCCTTGTTTCGGATGTGTTTGGAATCAAGCTTGAGGATACGAGTGGAATCGATCGTTTTCTTAGCTAGTTAGTGCCTGTTGCAAACTCTTTGGATTAGAATTGTTGGCTTGTGGTGGATTTGTGACCAGTTCTGGGCGACAGTTGAAGTTTGAAATTTTCTATGTAAATGGGAAAGGAGTAATAATTCAATATTTTCGATGTAATACCACATGTCTGAATTAAAATTATCTATGTTATTTCCATGGCTAGTACCTTATTCATCATGTGGTATTGGAGCAAAATCCTCTAGAAAAAGGCAGCAAATCATTTGCAAAGATCGACAATGATCTACCCCTTGAATTTGCTGTCAAAGTATCTGCCAAATTTGGCAATGTTCTCGTCAGATTTTGGGATGATTGAAAAGGATTCAACTTCCCCAGTGGTGTTGACATTGTTGACACAGTTGAAAGTGAAGCGTTTCATCTTCTTACTGTAAATGTATCCATTTTCAGTGTCTTGTTTGATGCAAAACTTGAGATTGGGTTTTGCGCTCCCATATTGGGTGAAAGTTAATTTGGCAAGGTTTTTGGAAGGATAGTTGGTTTTGATGAGAACCTTGCCACTTGCAAACTTTATGTACTCCCACCTGCCATTCGTTTTGACCGCGTTGTAAAGAGTTGCATCGATGATAGTCTTGTGGTCGGTAGAATAGGGATTGTCAGCAAGGGTCGACTCTGGATCCTTTGTTGTTGTTTCGACAAGAGCGCGACCGTTTTGAACCACACCAATATTGTCGGGATGTTTCCCCTCCTCAGCAGAAGCAGAAGCATCAATTCCAAGACGAGCAAATATGATTCCTAGGGCAAGCATTGTCCTGTCCCGGGGAGTCATTTTGCCGAATTTGGCAGCCTGAGGAAGATGATCAGTTTCATGTTGTTTTTCGCAAGGAGCGAGCGCCATTTTCTGTTGTTTCAGCAGATTGGAGCGAACAATGAATGAGTCAAATTCGAACAGACAGCTTTTGGATGATATCATTGAAGTATTCAATTCAAGTCTTACCGTTGTATGGTTTAGAAGAGGTGAGGAAGAAAAAGTTGGAAGTGTGTGTCGATGCTCGTGTTTTTTTTTAATTTTGTGTGAGATTTCGCAAACAGATCCCAAACACGAGTTTTGATCTCAAGGCTCGGCCGGCGCGCGTGTGGAACACGTCGTATAGGAGGAGTTTGAAAGTCGACCTCCCCAGATCGGTTTGTGTACAGGCCATCGGAAAGAAGAGAAACCACCATGACAGCACTAGTTCCATTGATGATTGATTCATTCATTCAACCCACGCCGCGTGATTTGTTGGTGATAAGTGGCTGGATACAACGATTTTGTAAATTTGATAAAGCTGCTTTTTCACAATCAGGTGAAAGTTTTTGTCAAGTCACAACCGAAGATTAGTGCTGACAGGTGTGCACCGAGCCAATTCGACAATTTGGTGGAAGCTTCCCTCGTCGCGAGAGATTGTCGTGATGTCTTTCAACAATACATACAAAACTTACTTAGCCATTGTGAAGCTGAGCCATGAAAACAAGATCTCGAAATTCGTAGCGGTTCCGAACTCGAGCCTGGTGCCCCTCGAGTCCATCTGTCACGCTGATCATCAAATGGCCATGTCGAATTATTGCATCATCCCTGCAAATCCTCGTAATAAGAGAAAACAGAGTAGATTGAACATTTGCCACCAAACAATTAGCCGGAAGAGATAGACCATCGTTGTTTGATTGTCTGCTTGTCGTCTCAGAATTCCGATGCGGATGTCTTGCCAGAGTTCATGAGAAAGATTCACATTCATGTACTTTTCAAACTGAAGAGGTGAACTCATATTGTATTCCCTAGATGTCACCTTGTCGTCTTGAATTTTCTTGGCATGCGAGTTCAATCCAAATGGTGTCAGCCATCGGGATAAGAGTACATACGAAGCAACTGTAGTTGTGTTCATAAAGTAAGCTTGCCATCGAATTCCGTCAGCAGCATAAATCAAGAGTGGGATGGTCCAGAAATGGTGTGTGCAGGTAATCTTTGCCGACCAATGAGTTTGTTTCCAGACCAAGTACTGGCACACTCCAATGGGGAACATTTTCTTCTTCTTGACGCCCATGAGACGGTTGAAGGCATATCCTAGAACATCGACGTACCACAAAATCTGATCAATGCTGACGGCCACTGCAAAGCCAGTTGCAATGTTAGGTCGGCACGTCAGTAGCCCAAACGATCCACCAAAGAGAAGTGCCCCATTGCATAGCCAAGTCAATTCGTACAGAACGGAATAACGATGTATCCCGGGTTTGTTTGAAGCCAGTCGAATCACCAACAATCCAATGGCATACGCAAAGCAAAAGCTTGCTACTCGAACAGATTTCGTAGTTTGCAAATGAGGATACATATGACACAACGACAAGGTATCAATTGGTGGCAATAACCTTTCATCGCCCGCATTGTGTCTTAAGATGACAGCATCATGAAAGGTGACAATCGTCAGCGAGGAAATGATAAAGTGAACAAACCAAGCAATCATTGGATGTTTCCAGCTTGTATAATGTTTCTCGGAATAGACATCTTGAGTCAGCCACTCATTCATATCTCCAATCATAATAAAGGGCAATTCGAAAGCATATTATGATGTACTGTCTTGGCGATGATGCACATGACTACTGCTGTAATATGAAAACTGGCTGTGCTACACGTCAACGTACAACAGAATGAATCATGAGAAGGCAATCCAATCAGTCGTTTACGCTTGGGAAGTTGCGTGCGCTCGTACCGGTACACGTGTACACGTGCACGTGCGTACACGTGTACTGTACCCGGTACCAGAATCATCCATCAGTTTTGTGCACCGCCCCGCGAATAGAAACTTCTTCAAAGCAAGGAGATCGCATGCACAAAGCACAGCAAGTCAATGCATGGGCGTTATGGCAACACTGTAAAACGTGCCCGAAGACCCAATAGTGATGGAGCAGTTCAACTTCGACTATACTCACCATCGTCAGAGTTGACTTGCCACAGCGCCCAACAAAAAAAATAGAGTCTGAAAGGTACTTCAGAAGGCGTATTCTCGTTCCGGAACCCGGATCCGCTCGCGCTCAGATTTCCCGTGGAGAAGATTGAATAAGTACGGTAGACGCAACCAATGATTTCGCCTTCGCACGCACAATAACTTCAAACTTGCGAAATAAAGCAAACAAAGCAAAGGAGGCAGCATGCCCAAAGCACAGCAAGTCAATGCATGGGCGAGTTATGACAACACTGCCAAAGCTGCCCGAAGACTCCAGAGTGATGGACAAGCCCCTCTTCGACAGCGAAAGATAACTCGCCACAGCACCTCTGCTGTGCAAAACGACCAGCAGGCTCTCAAGGATTTGGAAGGGGGTTACAGGAGAGCTTCCGTAGCAGAGAATGCAGATCTAGCAGCAGGTAACGTCTCCCGTCACCGAACATCCCGCGTGTTTCTCGACTTGATGAAGCTTCAAAAACTAGACGACGGCGAGGAAGTTGAACAAGTCGACAGGAACAAGGAGAAAGAAGAGGAATCAGGCACAAAGAAGTTATTTGATTTGGATTGCGAAGACATCCTCAAGATCAGAGAAGCCGTGCCGATCTTCTTCGATACGGAACTACATGAAAAGGGAGGGCCAGCACAGTCATCAATCCAAACATTCCTTGCATCCTTGAATGCAACCATGCCCTGGGTTCAAGATCGTCTTCACGCTGAACCTCTCATCTTCTTTGAAATGTGTCTCAGGGGCATTGGACAGGTCTACTTTCAGAACTCTCCGCTAAGTGGCCTCCTGGTGCTAATTGCTTTGTTCCTTCAGTCTCCTACAGTAGCAGTTCATGGAATTCTTGGACTGGTATGTGGGAATCTTGTTGCATTGGGACTTGGCTTTGACAAAGGTCTCGCTCGATCGGGCCTCTTTGGATACAACTCGCTCCTGGTTGGACTTGCAGTTGCAACATTCGATGTGAATACTGAATATCATGCGGCAAAAATCCTCATGGTCATTCTATTTGCGAGCTTTAGCTCTGTGGTATTTGTCATGTTTGGAAAATTGCTCGTGCCATACAAGTCCCCTCCGTTGACCTTTCCATTTATTATCGCGACACTCATGTTTTTGCTATCGACTGCCAACATGGACCGGGTCGAGTTCGGATCCGTCCGATCGCCCTCGTTACCAAACTATTCCAACTCTGAGGCTCTCTCTGCCATCAGTTGGAATGATTTCTTTGCAGGGACTCTTCGAGGTGTTGGTCAAGTTTACTTGGCGAACAATATTGCTTCTGGTGCATTGATTCTGGCTGCCATTGCGGTCTGTTCTCGAATCAGTGCAGTGGCAGCTATTTTGGGCTCGGCCCTTGGTGCTGCTATCGCACTTGCTACAGGAGTACCCGCACCTCAAGTGGCACAGGGCATGTATGGCTTCAATGCGAGTCTATCGGTGACGGCCATGCTTATGTTTTACAATCCATCTATCGGTGCTAGCATCCTGGCAGTCTTTTCGGGAATCATGAGTGTGGTTGCTCAACAAGCCTTGGCTAGTGTGTTACAACCATTGGGATTGCCTTTCATGACTTTGCCGTTTTGTGTGGTTTCCCTCTCATTCATAATCATTCAAGGTACTACATCGCTCGTGCTAGCTGTCCCGTTGGCAGATATGACAGTCCCAGAGGATCACCTGCACAGAATCTATCGGCTGGAAGATGGAATCAACTTCTTGAAAGAAGCTGTCTTGAATGATGAAAACAGAAGGATGAACAGCAGAAAGCTTCGAAAATCTTTCAAGATGATCCAATCTGCGGTATATGAAAAGGAAGCAAAACTCGGCGATGTCCAGCCCAAATCGTCATCCTCTCTAGAGGGTCTATTTTCCAACCACACTGAAGAAGTTGTTAAAGCCAGAGCCCATGCTTTGTTTCGCTTGTTGGCTCAAAAGACTGGCCAAGACCGTCTCACTATTCAAACAATTTTGGATTGTTTTCGAGATGCAGGTATGGAAGAAGGTGAGCCCATCATGCTGGCTTCTTTGATGCTGAACCTTGCGGATCATACTGGAGACAAGACAATCGACGAAATTGAATTTGTGTGCTTTGCCATGGTGGCGAGCGCCGCCAAGCTCATCCGCACCAAGCTGTTCAAATTCTTTGATTTTGTCGACGCTGATTGTAGCGGGAGCATCGACTTTCATGAACTCGATGTGGCGTTGGAGTATCTTGGGCGATCTCCTTTTACTCACGACGAAAAACAAAGACTGATCAAATTATCGAAAACCATGACGAATGAAGATGATGACATTGAAACTGTTGAATTAATGGACATTGTGACCATCGAAAAGGTTAAAAGTTTGTTAGGTACATTTTAAGCGCAAGAGTAATTGGAAACCTCCAAGCATCACAATGGGGTCAAGGCATGTACCAACGCAAGGGAGAGCATGTAAAGTCGACTGATTTGAAAATTCCTCCCAAGATCTCGACGTGAGTTGACATTCAGTGGTTACAAGTTTAGACTAGAGCCACAATCACATGTTTTTGCTAGACTTTGTAGCATTCTAGACTAGTGTTTAGAGTTGTTTGATATACCTTTGCTGATGAACACTGCTTAGTCTCAGACTTCATCATCAGCGAGGTGCTCAGCATGGAGTCGTTTGACCAATTTTTGAATAGCAATACGTATTTGTTCATTGCTAGTGTGAATGCAAAGGCTGAGAACAGGGTTCAGCCAAGCCATCAATACCAAGTGCTCATCCGGTAGCTGGGCATAACCTGCCAAAATGTCCTTCACCAAGCCCGTAAGGCGATCGAAGATTTCCAAATCCAAGGAAGATTTCTTCTCTGCATGTCCAAGGAAGGCTTCCTTTTCCAAAAAGCCATTTACCAACGACTGGGTCTGATCCTTGACAAGGGCCTGAGCAGCTGCCTGTGCTTTCGTTTCCGTCGTTTCCACTTCTTTCATAGCTGCTACGTGAAGTAAGAATCGATTCATCCAGTTGCGACCATAGAATGCAGTTTCCAAGTAGTTTGGTCTGAAACGCGCACAAAATGTTAGTGCAATCGACAGAGGACAATTCAATTACGGCTAATCTTCAATTCAAACTTACGGATTGGTGCTGCGAGTAGTTGCCTTTGCGCTATTTTCTGAAATAATTGATGCTGCCTTTTCCCAATCTTGAATTGCTTTCCCAAGACCAGTAACAAGGAAGAGACGCCATCGAAGGCTTAGCGTCGGGGTAAAGCGTTCTCCCTCAAGAAAGGTACCGATAACGAAAATTGCATGACACCCAATATACCTGCGGTCCGATAGCATATTCTCTTCCATAACAAATTCACGAATGGCTTCTTTGTAAGCCAAAGCAGGATTCTCCTCCCCTCCGTCACCGTCAGCGCTGTCATCTTTGCTGCTACTAGCGGGCTGTTTCGGCAGCCCTCTCACCGCAAGGCATCGTCGAAGCATATGGGCTACAGTTCCCCAAGTGTCATCCGTAACGTCTTTCAAATCGCTTGTCACAAACTGCTCCAGCCGACGTAGTCCATGTACCGCAAGGCAGCCCGAGTCAGATAAGAGACATGTATTCAGCATGGCGAAGATTTCTTCTACGAGGGTGTCCTCGCCAAACACCTTGATTGACCTCAGACAAAGTCCAATGCATCCATCCATAAATTGATCGAATGTAGAATCGAGCCAGAAATGTTTTGGACCAAGATTGTCGGGGTCTTTCGGCGTTTCTTTCGCACCCGTTATGAATCGGTCAAAGTCTGTAGGCACCTCAGGCTCCCGAGCTTCTCCAGGGCCCACGTCTCCGAATTCGAGCACCGGCGTTAGAATTCCTCTGAAGATGAGCTGCAGGGTTTGCAACCGCCGATCGTCGCTTTCGTCGTCATGCACTTCCTCTTCAGAAGGGACAAAGTATGTGTTGATGATTTCCATAAGTGCACTTAAACTCTTTCGGCGAAGTTGCTTTCGTTCATCTCCAACACTCTTGGAAATGCCGAGTAGAATCGGCCACCAGAGCTCCAGCTCCAGATTCATTCCACGGTCGTCATTCTTCGACTCTTCCTCGACCGCATGACGATTTTTTATCAAAGGTAGAGCAAATGAATCGTCTGCCAAGAACTTGGATAGCAGGAGAAGGTTGTCAATTGACTTGAGTCCCATTTCTTCATGAGGCCCTCCAACGTAAATTAAGACTGCATCAATGATGTCAACGAATCTTTCGGCAAGCAAGACGCCTGGCTGCGACTTCTCTTTTCCAGTTCCCTTTTGAGGGGCCAGACAAGGCTGGAGCTGAGCTGTAAGCATTTCAAATCCAAGTTTCGCAATATCTTCATCTTGATCTCTTCCAGCTAGACCAAGCACCGTGAGGACGGGTCTCCACCCACTCCGAAGCATTCCACCTTTTCCATTTCCATCCGCATTTCCAAACATGAGGATAAGTCGTTCTACGCACTTCAGCAGGAGTTCTTTTGTCGTTGCTAGCTGACTGCGAGCCATAACAGCTTCGAGGGGCTTCAAAAATCGCCTCTGGAACTCAAATGAACCTGATTCTTCCCTTCGTAGATATTGGATACTCAGCTGCCGGAAAGAATCAACAGCATACATTGCAACAGCTGGGTTAGAATGAAGAGCCGTACTTGTCAAATGAGCGGAAACTGTAGTCCAAATGTCGGCGAAAACCAATCGCGGTCTCGAATCCATGTTGTAATGGGTTGCTTCAACGAGCTTTTGAAGGTTATAGATATTCGGTTGGGTATGATGGAACCCTTCACTTTCGCTGTTTTGGAGCAGTGTATGGTGCTGGCGGTAATGCACCTGAGTGAGGTTCACTTGGTTCGCATTGCTTCCAACTTGGCCGCCATAGTGCGAGATCTCCATCCTTGAAACACGACAGAGTTGCAGAACGAATTCCTTAACTCCTTCGGTGCTTAACGATGCTGATCTCTCGTAAATTGCCTCGATTAGGGCTTCTGATATCCCTTCATAAACAGTGCGAGCGTTTGCTTCGTCAATTTCTTTCTTGTCCATTTCATCACTGAAGTCCAATTCGGAATCGGAGAACAAGTCATCTCCAATTGAATATTCGTCGTCCGTACTTTCGTCGTCACTGAATTCTTCGACCAATGTATCACTTGCTTCGTTTGCGGCTCTTCTCGCTTCCCTCTCTTGATGCCGTCTCTCGCGTGCAAGCAGCTTTTTTCTTCGTCTCGCCGCTGCCTCGGCACTTTTCTTGTCGTTCCTAGCCAGTAGCTGAAACAACTGGTGGAATCGATTGATCTCACTCAATGACTTAAATATGTGCTCCCAACTACTTCCCAATAGCTCCCCATCGGACCGTGCAAGACCCAACATTGTCTGCATACATCGGACGTGTCTCGGTTCCAGTAAGATTCCAGTTCCCAGTTGCGAAAATCGAGCCAGTGCCAAAACAAAAGCGTCACGGGCAACTTCGTTCCCACATAAGCCTGCAGTGCAGACTGCGAACCGGAACCCTGTCAGACATACTTCAATCGTTTCTGCAGCATTTTCGGCGGCTTGCTGTAGCTCCTCATCAGAGGCAATCGTGAAAAGAGCACCCAGTGTCCCATTCGCTGACTCCATTGCAGTGGAAAAGGCGGCAAGAGAAGGTCCCCAAGCAACCTCAAACATGGGAGATACATATTCATCTCTCAGACCACTATCGACAGTTCGAACGTATCTCACATGGTGATGACTGCGAGTGTTTTGCCGATTTGTCTTTCGGGCTGATTTTGTACCCTCGTTGTTTCCATGGCGTCGGCGCTTTAGTAGAAACTCCGTGGTGCGAACAATTTGATCCCTTTCTTTGTCAAAATTGCTTTCTTTTGTCTTTTCCATCTCGTCGTAGTGGCTAGTGAAGAAAACAGCTGGGCTAAGAGCAGAAGGAAGACCCGTAGTGATGGATGATGCGGAGGAACTCTGGGTCCCGCCAACTCTTTCTCTCGCTTCGTCGTCTTCCTTCAGACTGATTGGATTGCTCTTAATTCTGTCAAAAATGCCATGCAGCAGCTCATGTGGCAAGTCTTGTCCATCGCAAATACCACGGTTGTTTCGGACGAAGCCTTCTTTCGTCATCCTTCTCTCTTCCTTGATTGCAGGGTTATGAAGATCGGTGTTCAGCATAATAATGGAAAAAGCCAGGATGAATGCCACGTCCGGAGTGGGGAAAACGTCTGGATTCTGCGACGTATACCTTTCAGCAAATTTTTCCATGATACGGTCAATCTTAGTTGTGGTAACACGATATAATCATTAGACGTGTTCAAAGGACAAAGCAGCCGCTTTCAATTCCAAAGCAATGATTCTTACCTTTTGGGCTTCCCCTGGCAAACGAAACCCACTCAAGTAGAAACGAATAGCATCGTCGAAGCTAAGTCCATCAAAATCCATACTGTTGACGTATGCAATAAGTACCTTCAAAGAGAATCCCTCTTGGTATTCAGGCTCTCGCCCCAGATATTCTCCAATCATTGTCTTCTCCATAGTGTCCTTGTTCTGTAACAGCCATCTGGCAACTTCCTCGGCATCAGTGCCGTCCAAATGACCGCACTTGGCAGCGTAGGAAATTCCAGCCGAAGGCTTTTGGTTGAACCGAAGGATGACCTCTGATTCCTCGGCCCGACGCTTCTTTTTCGAATCGTAAATCTGGACCAAAGACTTCTTCTCGGGGTCGTCGTCGTTTGAGTTCGAAGGATCCTTATGAGATTCTGAACCATTTTTGTCAGCAACTGCGTTCAGCTTGTCTCCCAAATTCGTAGCAACTTCGTCTTCTGGAACCATTGGCTCGGTAATACTCGCGTGAAGACTAGCCAAAACTTGCCGCAGAGCCTTCATGGCGTCCAATCTCAACTCTCGATTCGCACTTCGAATCTTTTCCATTCGTGCTGCCTCTGCACCAGACAAATCCAAAGAGAAAGTTGAAGAAACTGTATCATCTTGGACTTCTGTCGTTCGTGCAACCTTTGAAAGAGTATTGACAATTCTGTGAAAGAGGTCGACCGCACTAAGATCGCAATCGTAGTTCAAAAAGATCTCGGCCAGTGTGGTGGGATCCGAACATATCTCATCAAAAAGCGTTACCACCAAACTCTTGTGTTCAATGGGGGAATTGGGTGAATCCAAAATGACAAAAAAGACATTGGTCACAAAGGCTTCAATTTCCTCCTTGAGAATCGATCGAAAGTTGTGAATGATAGGAACAAATACTCGCAAAGAAAGATTGACCACTTGGACATTGTCTGACGTGCAATTCTTGAGCAGCGAGGCACAAAGATAGTTGCGAATGGCATAGTGAAATTGTGGTCCACACTGCTGCAGGAAGGATCCCTTCATGTCGGTATTTTGAAGGACGTAGAGCATCAATTGCAAGGCCAAAATCTTGGATTCCAACGCCGGGTGAATCGCTTGAGTCGATACCAGACGCAGAGCATCCTTGTCGAAATCGGATGACTTGCCATCGACCTTTGGTTTCTTTTTGGGTGTGTTTTTGGTGCTGCTGCTGCTGCTGTTGCTGATTCCATTCGAATCGCTAGTTCCTGTGCGCGAGGTATCCCACATGGAGTTACTCCCACTTGCTTGCAATCCAATGTGACTGTGCAACTTGCCACCTGGTGGCGTCCGCATACTGAGTTTGCACAAGGATCGCAACAACAAAAAGGCATCTCGGTGATCCTGGGTGGGAAAAGCACCGTCGTCTCCTATACCGGCACCTCCCTTGTGCGGAGTATGCAATCCGTCAGTCGAAGTCAACGACGCTGGAGGTGGCTGGTTGGAAGTCTGGGTAGCATTGTGCAAGGACCGCGTCGATGCAATCATTCGAATGAATACCGAAGTGACCAATTGCTGGAGAGAAGCCCTAGCCGTTGTTTTGTTGGAACTCGAAAAGGTGGAAAGGTACACATGATAGAGGACTCTGACTGTTTGCAAGAGATGGGTCCCCCGCAACATGGCTTCTCCATTGACTCCCACCCGACATCCCGTCGACAGCAAGAATTTCATGGCCGACAATTCGTTTCGACTTTTGGACAAATCACTGGCAAAGACAGATTCGGCCAAGAAATCCACCGCCTTGTGATACTCGCTTTGATTGGTCCCAATCCCAATCAAGACACCATCCAAACATCCGTGGGACACCAACGCCGTGGCCGTATCCAATCCCACCGCCAAGATATCGCAAAAGGCTTGATACTGACTATTCTTTTCGGCTTCGGCCATATGGGCACTCGCATGACCCCAAGTGGAAATCAAGTGACAAAAGCGGGCAATGATCAAATTGGCCTTGGTATCCTGATCGATATCATCTTCTTCTTCCTCATCACTGTTATCGTCCTCTCCAACAATCTGGAGAATCAATTCCCGATAGGCATCAAACCGACGATTGTATTCGCTGGGCATTCCAAACACAAAGGCCATAATGGGACGTCGTTGGGTTCCTCCATGAGTAGCCGAGACCCAAGGGCGGGTCTTGTCGGCAAACTTCTGGAGTAGTCTCAAGGCTACAATGGAATTGGGAATGGGGGTATCCGGATGCACCACTCCCACACCGCGCATGGACGAAGAAACGACGGAGGATGGAGTCGAAGCAGGGGGTTGTTTGGCATTGTCGCCCTTTTTGCCGAGAGGAGTGGCATCTTCGGAAAAGGCAGCCAAGGTTTCGGCATCCATTTTGGGCTTTTCTGGTTTCTTCTTTGGCGCCTCTTTTGTATCCGCTTCATCTTCCGAATCTTCCGTGGCTACCGCGAGATGACGGTCTCCGTTCTTACGTTCCAACTCGGGAGGAACAAAGATATGTTTCTTCCCATCCTTTTTCTCCAAATTAGGAGCCACAAAAATCTTTTTCTTGGCGTCACTCTTGGACAAACCAGGTCTGGACGACGAATTTTGTGAAGAAGCACTATTCACGCTACTCCGAGTGTCATTGCCGCCGCCTCCAAGGATTCCCAAAAGCTTGTCAGTGGCCGGAGACTGTTGCAATGGTCCATGATCGGCGGCATCCGAACTGTGAGGTGAAATGGGAACTGCAGGTGGTGCGTCCTCTCCTCCTTCCAGCGACACTTTTGATTTCGAATTTGCTTTTGGTGTAGAATCTTCACTGCCTACCGAATCAAAGACCTGTGACGAAGGCGGCGATGGCGGAGCATCCGACTGAGGAGGAGCTGGCTTTTTCTCAGGTGATTTGGATGGTGACATGGACAGGCCTGCAAAAAGGCCCATTCCTGTGTCCATGGCGAAGTAGTAGCTCTTGTAGCTCTCTCGTGTTTGAGCCTGTGGTTGGTGTAGGACTCGCCGCACCAGAGAGAGATATGATTGTTTGTCTCCAAAGGACAGTCGTGTGTGTGTGTTGTGTTTGTTGTGTGTTGTGTGTCCGTGTGGTATTGTTGGATTGTTTGGTGGGCCTCCGATCCAAACTGAAGCTTTCGGACTCTTGTTTTTCGGGGATTCCAAGAAACTGTTGCGTGCGTAATATACCAAGCTCTACGCAAAATGGATTTGTGGGCTCAACGGATGTCCCTTTTTTCAGAATGACTGGAAAGAAACCTGGAGAAAACTTAGTCCGAGGAGTCGAGTTCTGAATTCTCGTTCGACCCCTCCGATCTTCCATTGGCAACGCGTGGAAGCACAAGTTGAAGTTTTCTCAAGTACGGTGATTCCGTAGGATTCTACCAGCAAACGTTTGTGTGGAGATAGATATCTGTTCTGTTCCAACGATGAAAAAAGCTACTTGACGACGACATCATACTCGATTTGCCTTTTGACTTGTACTACAGTACCACCAGCACTACCTTTTTCTGTTTCTTTATCCCTATTCCTAATTACACGCAACAATGAATATCTCTACGCTATTAGTCAGCACTGCGCTATTGCTAAGTCTGCTGCAAGCAGAAAGTTTTGTCACACCACCATCCTCTCCAAATTCAGGTAAGATTTCTAGTATCCTATATCTCTTTTTTTGTTCAGATTGAGGGATCCAAGTGAATTCCTCCCTTGCTGAGTGTCTAGATGGATCTCATCACCTCTCTGTCTGTTCCCCCTTTATTTTCCACCTGCTTCCGGCACCACCATCTATTGATATCTATGCAATCCAATCCAATCTTTGCTTTGCTTTGCTTTGTCCACAATAAATATTAATATGCTGCACTCTATAATATTCTTCCATCCAAAACGACAGTCGCCAATCGACACGGTGCCGTCGCAGTTCAAGATGGTGGATCGGAAACTCAAACGCAACAACAAAAACAAAAACAGGAAGAAGAGGATTATCTTTGGCAAATTCGACTCAATATTTTCGAAAAGACCAAAACTGTGACTAGTGTCTGTACTTCTGGAACCTTGTGTACCATGTCCAGTCATGAAGGCATTGAAGGGTCTCCCTTTGGTTCCTTTGTCGATTACGTCTTGGACGATGAAGGCAATCCAGTTCTTCTCATGAACGAAATGTCCATGCACACTATCAATATCCAAAAGAATTCCATGAATGTGGCAAACCACGGGGCTACCGTCGATGGATCTTCGCTCGTCACGCTCTTTACACAATTGGCCGCCGACACGGATTCCAACAACAAGGGACAAGACGTTTCCCGTGTTTCTCTAACCTGCAAGGTGGAAAAGATCCCCGACGATGCCGAAGATATGGCTGTCATTCGCATGAGATATTCTCTGGCGCATGCCTACGCCGACCAAGTCATGGACTCTCCCAAGTTTGCCTTCTACCGATTACTCCCCGAAAAGATTTACTTTGTCGGAGGATTTGGTGTCAACTCCAAATGGGTTGACGTCGAAGACTACAAGACCGCTTCGCCTGACATCCTTGCCAAGGAAGCCAACAGCATTGTCAAGAAACTGAACCGCGAATTCAAGAACGACCTTACCCTCATGGCCACGCAGTTGCTGGGAGTACAAAACCTGCAAAATATCCGCGTCACCAATGTGGACCGATTGGGCATGGACGTTCGGGTGACTTCTCAAATGGGAACTCGCCGGAACAAGCTCATGACGGACGAATTTCGCATTGGCTTTCGAATTCCCGTCATTTCGGTGGAAGATGCCAAGTCGGAAGTTCTAAAGGTCTTTCAAGAGTCCTGGGAAAAGGCCAATAACATTAGCTGGGGCGAAGATACAGAGACACCGGGATCAACGGTTCCTATCATGAAGATTGCGGCAGATGGTTTGGAGTAAGGATATTTCAATTCCTCCGCCAACCAACCAACCACTGTCACTATTACCACCACCACGAAGCGCTTGGAACGAACGCAATTCTTCGTTCTGGTTGGCACCCACCCACCCACCATCGCATGTCATGCCATGCTGTGGCATGATTGTATTGCATTGCATTGTATTGCATTGCATTCCATCATAGCAACCAAAATAGCAGCACGCGCACAAGGAGCGCCATGGACTGTCCACCGGCTAGCTGCTTCTTCTAGAACACCCGCCCACCTCTGTAACTATAGACACACCCACCACCACTGTTTCCCTCATACTGTACCTATTATTTCGATATGATAGTAACAACAGCACTAATAATAACAATAATAATAAATGGAAAGGCATTACTACTTTCTATTCGAACGCTCTTTGTAGTTTTGCGTGGTAGAAAGGGCAGACAACTACAGTACTGTACTGTAGATTTAGGAAAAGACCAAAGTCTCGTGTGGGGGAACGAATGAATGAATCAATCGTCTCTGATCCTTTCAATTCTCGATGGATAGGATCTACCGGTAGTTTCAACAAGTAGCTACAGTAGAATGAATCAAGGAACTGCTTGGATTGAAACACGTTCTAAAGTTAGGAACGTTAAAAACACATTTTCAATGTTCTCATGATATAAATATAATCTCTTATAGATCGATATGCTATGTTGTATGTTCTGTCAGGCTTGTGCTTGTGCGTGTGTGTGCTTGTGTTGTGCGTGCGAGTTTTGGAATGGTAATGGTAACCAAGAATAGTGTACAAAATGACTTGTTCCAAGCAAAACCATGGGGGGCTTGAGGACCTTGTAGTAGTAGAAATGTGCTTGGTGTGTTCTCTTGGAACAAGAAATGAAAATGAATGTTTGCGGCTGTATATACAAAAACAAAAGCCTTCCACAACCACCACCACCATCGCGAGCGTAGTATTATTTTGTTGCGAGCCAGAGTCTGCAGGTGGTGGATGGAATATATGTATAATATATATAATGATGGATGCAAGGCCTCTTGTGTTTCACTTAGTTGTTGAAAATAGAGGCAATCTCAGAAGCGCATTCGAGTATAGAAGCGTCCGGAGACAAATCCTTTCCTCGGTGGAATGGATAAGGATCAAGTGCGGCAAATGGAACTCCAGCACTAATCAACCATTCCGTAGTGTCACTGGAGAGTGGTCTTGGTGCGGGTAGTTGTATCTCTCGCCGAGCAAAGGGCATGGACATTTCCTTGGCAATTCCAGCAGCTACTGCGTGCAACTTCTTTTCTTCCAAAGCAGCGGCAGCGGCCTTGGCGGTCATCCTTCGCCTTGGTGGAGCCTTGATGCGGGTAATTTCCAGCGCTAGCTTGCGATTCCCTCGAACAAACTTGTCGTGATAATAGGCACCTGAAAATGCAGGAAGGAAAACGATGAGAATGGTGAGATGCATATAATAAGGAAATGAAAATGGACCAATCGAATCATTCCTCTACCGGTACATACCTTGATTGGGAAAGTCCGCTGCTCGCTGAAAGCCATAAATGTGCAATTGACGTTGAAACGACTTGAAGGACTTTTGCTTGAAGAACTTGGGGATGATTTCTTGCACAAAGAGGGTGGGATTGTGCACGTGGAAATGGCGACCATCGGGTACCCAAGATATTATCGAAGTGTCTCCTGCTGCATCCATATCGTCCAGAATCTGATGAAGTCTCCAAGGAAAGGGAACTACAAAGCGGAAACCAGATCCCGAGTGGACTCGAACGGAGCCATCTCGATCACTCGGGGTGGACTTTGCCTCGTTTGCCTCGTTTGCCTCGTTACTGACACTACTACTTGCGCAAAGTGCTGCATCTTGCTCCGTCTTGAGGCTGCAGTCTGAGGTGATTGGAAGGTTGGGCATGGCCGTATGTGTGGTTGACAGAAATGAACTCTGCATCTCCATTCTTTTCAAATGCTGTTGTTGTTGTTCTTGTTGTTGTTCTTGTCAGCGTAATGAACAAGTGAAATATGCTGCACTACAACACATGAATGGATCCAGAAACGAAGCAGGCTCAAGAGGCTCAAGGTGTGGGAGCCCAAGTTACGGAGCCCGTGAGTGCCGGTGCGGGTGATCGAACATGCCCTTTGGAAAGAAACATTGGCATTTTCGTTGGCCAACATGTACTTCGGACCACGTTTCCTGCGGAAGGTGGCGACGCCGCCACGTCAGAATTCCGCTACGAGTTCTCTACGACCGATTTTCAGTACTTTTCAATGAGGTGGCAACGGCAATGACGCCAACTTTCGACAGAATCTGTCGGTCAACCGATGAATGTGTTCCTTATGTTCCATTCACAAAAGAGAAGGTCATTTACGGCGTTTCTGATCTTGGTTGCATTATTCTTTATATAATCGTGCCATTTATTCCCCCGAGACGGTGCATTTATTTATAGAAGCAGCTGGAGGAGGACACTGTATGCGCGACAGTCAAGTGTTTGTCGAAGTTCCGTGCCGGTACTCGTATGAACATTCTCGTAAACGGGTAGCACTGGGTACGGTACCACCCACTCGAAATCCAATGCAGTGGTACGATACGTAGTATTGAATGTGTTAGGGTCCCTGGTCCCGGTGGGAAGCCCGGTGGGAAGCCCGGCGGGAAGATCTCAAAATGCGTGAACAAGATGATATCCTTCTACAGATGATGTTGATTGACATCATCCTTCTGGAAAAAGACGTGTCCCTTTCGAATCTTGGTGTTTAAGGCAGGCTCAGCATAGGACACTGGTTGTTTTACGCCGCGACGTCGACTCGAGGGTACTGATGAAGCAATTTGAGGGGTAGTTTCCTCATTGACTAGGCTTCTGTCATCTCGATTCTCAGCATTCGTTTGTGGGCTTCCATCGGCAACAGTGCGAGACTCTGGAGCACTGCTGTATCGACGAAAATCAGGCTTTGGTAATATCGACGAAGGCTCGCTTTGCTGTCGGTTCAGTTGCTTTTGCTTTCGTTTTTGCTGAATTCGTTGTAGCAGTGGCGAAGGACGATGACCCCTCTGTTCAGCATGGAAAGGCGTTGCCGCTCTAGGCTGCATCGCAACCTCATATTTGGATCGGGCTTCCGCGGATGGAGTTTTCAATGGAGGCTTTGGTGGCTCGTCTTCACTTGATTCATCGCCTGAGCGACATCTGGGCGGTGTGGAAGGAACTCTCATTGCATTATCATATTTGGCTCGCACTTCAGCAGATGGAGTCTTGACAGGAGGCTTTGGTGCCCCGTCTCCATCTGATTCGTCTTCTGGCCGTCGTCTTGGTGGTGTGCTGAAGGAGCTGGGACTGCTGACGTCGTCGTCTTCCCAAGATACCATCGCTGCAATTGAGGGTCTCTCGAGTTTGTCATTGCTTGGTGTCTTTGTCAGCACTTGATGCAAATCAGGCGAGGGCCCTCGTTGCGTATGTCCTAGTTGAGTGTGCTTGACAACCGTTGCTGTTGCATTGGGACTTGAAAAGGACGAAAAAGGGTCGTAAACATCGGCCTTGGTGGAACTCTGAGATTCATCCTCTGCTCCTGGTGAATCATCAAAGTTGCGTGGAAAGGTGGTTGCAAAGGAAGCTTCGAAAACATCACGGCGCCCAGGAGACTTTGTCGGTGATACTGGAATTCGAGCTGGGGAGGTGGAATTTGACAATCGTAGGTGTTGCATCGGACTGTTGACATCATGGCGAGTTGGTGAAGTGTGGAGAGGTGTGTCCCTCTTGTTTGGCGTTGAATACTGAGAGTTTGGTGATGGAGTCAATACGTAGCTGCTGTTACTGTCATTGTGAGAGACATCCGGAGACGTAGAAGTGGACACAAAGGAAGATTGGAAGGACTCCTCTCGACTGTTTTCCAAAGTATCTTCGTCGGAGGAGGATACAGCAAGTTCCATTGCGGAAGAGCCAGCAGTCGATGATGACAGGCGCGATTCTGGAGAAGTTGAAGAAGTCGTAGTCTGTTCAATGATTCGAGGCTGACTCAATGACACAGGCATTGGGGACACTGATTTCTTTGGTGGAATGGGAAGAGCATCCCTGTCATTGATATCAAATTGCATCCGTTCTGATAAATTACTAGCGATTCTTTGTGTCTGCCGCCGTTGCAATGCTAGCGCTTCGCAATCTCGTTGCTGGTACATCATCAATTCGCGCTGTAGAATGGCAACATGACTGATTGCTTCCCGGCATCTTGACGCCAAACTCATCTAGGTTCGAAAGCAAAACATATACGAAGATGAGTCAACACAAATGGATGGAATTGTCAGGTAGATGCAACGAAATTCGTTGCCTTACATTTTCCATGGTCAATCGAGCGCTCTTCTGGCACTCTTCACGATGACGGACTCGCAAATCGCTCTTGAAAAATAGTTGAAAGCAAGGAAAAGAAACATAAAATTTTCTGTCAGATTTTGACAAAAGCAATGACATTGATTGCAACTAAAATAAATCCAGAGAGACTCACAAGTTCTTTTGCAAACCGAATATTCTTGGCGGATAAGGCTGCTTCTGATGCAGTTGGTTGTCTTGGCACCGATGCAGGTCCTGTAGAAGGTGGAGGAGCATAGCTCCTGCGTTTGGTTGATGACGATGGCGGTTTGGAAAATTCAAATCCGCTTGGTACTTCAAAGAATTCCATCGAACCTTCTTCCGGTTGCTTCCTACGAGAGCCTCGTTGCTTCATTTTGTTCATTGGTGTCGCCATGATGATACACCAGTCGAGGAACAATCAAGTGGATTGCAGTTTTGTTTGGTTTGTTCCAGAGACGACGGTCTGCTTTTGGGGATGATGTCCGTTGCTTTAGAATTTGAACTTTTGCGAGACGGGACAGGACGCCTGCCCGCCTCCGAAATCTCAAAAATGGATCGGATGGGTCGACTTTGGCATCAAATGAAACACAACCGAATTCATGATCTAGCTGCGCCTGTCGACTGCCACATCAGATTCCTGTGGTATTGGAGACAATCTTGCTGGGAGTTTCCATCTGATTCATGCAATAAGCAGCATCCCAATAGTGTCTATGAAACGAAAACGAATCTGCGCAATGGCAATCTTTCGGTTCTCGCTTGCTTATTTTCCGGCAAGCGTCCTTGGATTTTCTTCTCCTGTCTCTGTCCGCAGCAGTCAGAGCATGAGAAGTAGTAGTGTCACCAGCAGTGCCTTCCAGCGACTTTCCTTTTCTTCGTCCAATCGCAGGACTCTTGCTGCTACTTCAGTGGAGCAAGAAGGGATTCCAGAAGTATTGCTACATCCAGAGCAACTTGGTGAAATCCCACTTCCCAAGGCATTGTCACCCAGTGCGGTACTTCAGTTCAAGAATTGTCCGCAAAGCTTTTTGCTTCAGTATCTATACAAGATCAGACAACCAAAAACTACAGCACTTGCCAAAGGTTCCATGTGTCACGAAGCCTTGGAAAAGGTCTTTGATTTGGAACCAGAAGATCGCAATTTGGAGAATCTTCAAAACTTGTTGCGAAAGAGTTGGGGAGAATCGCGGTTCGGCAAGGATTACAAGGACTTGTTTGATGATGAGGAAGGAGAAAGGGACATTCAAGCTGAAAAGGAATGGGGAGAGTCGGCTCTAGAACTACTCCAGAACTATTACAAGGTAGAAGACCCCAGAGGCATTGTGAGGCCGAATCCATTGCGGCGTGAAATATGGTTGCATTCCCACTTGGCACTCGATCCATCGTTGGGTATCACTTCTCCATCTCATGATCCGAGTGTCAATATCAAAAAAAGTGATACCTTTTACGTCCGAGGCATTGTCGATCGCATAGATATGGTCCGATTGCCGGAAACGAATCAAGTTGTCTTGAGGATTGTGGATTATGTGAGTACATCTGTACAGTGTATTCGTCTTTCCTTTCATACTTTGGCATTTGTCTGCTTTTTCAAACGGAATGAATGGTGGAATGTATTGTACGCATGATGATTGATTGGTTGATTGGATGATTCTGACACCACTCCCTTCCTTCTCCAATCTAATTTCAGAAAACGGGCAAGGCTCCCAACCTCAAGTACTCTCGAACCACCAACGAAAGGATTGTAGAGGAGGCCTTTTATCAGCTAAAGATATACGCCCTCCTTTTGCGAGAAAAAGGAGGAGGAAAGTCACAACCCAAAGGCATGGACTTGAGATTTCTGCAGCTATTCTACCTCAACTCGGAGTCGGGAGAAGCCAAAATTTGGGAATACGACTTGGGGGAAACTGAAGAGGAACGAGATTTAGAGCTAAATGAAGTTCATCAAGATTTGGTGAATGTCTGGAATGCAATTGTTCGTTTGGTAAAGCAACAAGATCCCATGGCATTTATTGGTTGCGAAAAATCCTTTTGTTTTTGCCACGAGGGCCGGGACAAATTCGAGGATGGTACCTTGTGGAAACCAAATCCATAGGCTACGAGAGATTATTCCTGGATGAATAAATCAATCAATCAATAGCTTTATATCGTTATCATTATATAGAGAAGAATAGGAACCAAATTCAGATGTAGAGACACGTCATTCAAGGAAGAATGATAGAGTAGCTTCATTTCCGTTTCATGAACAGAAATCACTTTTTCGACCTTTGAGACTCTTCCTATTGGATTGCACCGAGCAGGCTCGGAGGAACTCCCCTTCCATTTCCTCCAAAGTCGGAAGACTATCAAAGGATATCCGACGGTGCGTTGGTCCCTTTCGCTGCGATAGTCGCGACTTTCGCACACGATGATTGGGACCACTCTTCCGTTTGGAAAACGAGACGCTACGCTGATTGTGGTGGTAGTGCTGGTTCTCAGTGTCCTCGTCCGAATCTTCGGGTGGAAGCAATCTTGGCTGCAATCTCCTGAATTCAGTATCTGTAGGACTCGCCTCCAAAGCAAAATCAGGCAAGAACAAGTTTGTGGGCAACATGGGCGGCCCCTGGTGACTGGAACATGTGGACAAAGATGATTGGGATGAGAGACTACCCTGTCGATGATGTTGCGCATGTAGTTGTTGCTGCGGGAAGCTTTGCCTTGTCAAAAGATTGATTTCCGGTGACGAAGTGGCTAGAATGGCCAATGGGCGCAACAATAACTGTTGCGTGTTGGCTCGCTCAAACTCGTCGTACAACGATTCGACGTCAGTTGCTGAGTAGGAACTTGCCAAGCTTGAAAAACTATTGGAATGTCGGTGATGATGCCGATGCTGTGGATCACTTGTCATGGAGAAGGAAGAATCACAGCTTGCAACAGTCGCAGTCATAATACAGTCAGTGCTTGTATAATATCACTCTTTTTTCTCAAGATGATACAACAACGGTCTATGAGGATGCGCTTTGGAGTTGGGAACGGAAATCTTTTATAGAATGAATGCCACCGCAGTAATCCCAGAAACGTAATTTTTTGAACGAACATCGTTGCAGGGCACTTGTTCTATCTTGAGTGAAACGCCTTCCCATTGTTGTTGCACTCAACTGACGGGTCTGATTTGCAAGAACATTCCAAAAATTTGAATGATAAATGGGGGACAGATTATAAAGGGGGAATATAATTAAGGTTTGGGGTCAAAGATACCGGTACGTCATTCAACTTCATTCATTCCAAAACTCACAACACGAAAATTCTCGTACCCTTTCCCGATCACAGGTAAAAAGCCAAACAAAGACCACTAAAGAAAACAGATATGATGATCAAATCCTTCCTCACGATACTAGTTCTATCAGTCTGTCAGTTCTACGGAAATGCCTTTGTCACTCCTTCGAATACCAAGGTTCCAGTGAGCATAGTATCTCGTCCACAGCAGCAGCAGCACTCTCCACTGTTCCTTTCGGATGACAACAATAGCAACAACAACAACAGTAGCAGTGACGAAGACCGCTTACGTGCGTTGGGATACTCGGAAGATGAAATTCGAAGAAGCAAAGAAAAGGATGCAGGTCCACCCCGAGAGGTTCGAGTGGATCTGGTGAATGATATCGATGCCACCACCCTTACATTCGTGGGTTTTGGCTTGATTGCCTTTAATTTCTTCGTATTGGCCAACGCTGGGGATGGTGGTATTGCTGGAGTCGTAGCGTCCATCATAAACACCATGAATAATTGATTGAAATAGGCACAGAAGGCTTCGGTGCCTATAAGCTAGATGGAAAAGCATTCCAACAAGCGAATCAATCTGGCTTTGGCTAGAGCAAAATATTCAACGACAATGATAACAAAATGCCAAGCAAGATGCACATGACGGTACACACCTACACATCTTTCGGCAGCAATGACTATTAATACAATTAGAAGTACAGCAACATCCTTTCCCCTTGTACAATTGTAGTAAAAATGTAAAAATTAATACTAATATATTTATTTAGAAGGAACCTCAATGACTTCCTTACCACCCATGTACGGTCTAAGAACTTCGGGAATGAGTACGCTTCCATCAGGGCGTTGGTAATTCTCAAGGACGGCCACCAAAGTTCGTCCCACAGCAAGACCACTGCCATTGATTGTGTGGCAAAGCTCTGGCTTGGGTTTCTTTTGTTTCTTCTTCTTTCCTCCTTTGGCAGCAGCAGCAGCATCATTATTGTTTGGATCTTCTGGAGGAGCTTCGGGTCGATAACGCAAGGCCATGCGTCGTGCCTGGAAATCACCAGTGTTACTACAGGATGAAATTTCACGATATTCTTGTGCTCCAGGAAGCCAGACCTCCAAATCGTAACATTGTCGAGCCGCGAATCCAATATCACCCGAACACAGCCGAACCTTGCGGTAGGGCAATTCCAAGGCTTTCAGACAAGCTTCGGCGTGGGAGGTCAAGGTTTCGTGTTCTTGGTCCGAGTTGGCGGCCGACGTAATTTTGACCAGTTCCACCTTTTGGAATTGATGGGTACGAATCAAACCCTTGGTATCCCGGCCGTAACTTCCAGCTTCGGCCCGGAAACAAGGAGTCCATGCGACGTAGGAAATGGGCAGCTGTGATTCTTCTAGAATGCTATTGGCGTGCATGTTGGTCAATGGGACTTCCGCAGTTGGAATGAGAAAGGCATTCTCTCCGTTGCAAGTATGAGACTCGGGTGTAATGGCAAACAGATCTTCTTGAAACTTTGGGAGTTGAGAGGTTCCCTCCAAGGCAGAACTTCCGACAATAAAGGGAACATTTACTTCCGTGTACCCATGCTCGGTAGTGTGCAAATCCAAAAAGAACATGGCAATGGCCCGTTCCAATCGAGCAATTTGACCACTGAGAGCCACAAAGCGTGCACCACTCATTTGGACAGCAGCTTCCGCCTGATAACTGCCAAGTCCCGAGGCAACGTCGTCGTGCCATTTGGGTTCAAAGTCGCTGTCCCAACCTAATTTGGTAGGAAGTGCTTGGATGTCTCCCCATTTGGAAACTTCTTCATTTTCGTTTTCATCCTTGCCATCGGGAACATTGTCGTCCAACAAGTTGGGAATTCCCGCCAACATGGTATCCATGGTTGATTGAATTTCTTCCAACGCTGTTTCTGCCTTTTCAGCTCCTTCTGCAGCCTTGGCAGATATTTCCTTTTGTTCTTCAACTTGCTTGGGATCTGCTTCGTCTTTGTTGCGCATGAGCATACCGACCTTGGCACTAGCTTCCTTGCGTTGGTTCAAAAAATCATCTCGTTCTTGAATCAGAGCGACACGTTTGGATTGCAGGGACGCAATGGTATTGGCCGCTTCGATAGTTTCGTCAGAAGCTCGACGAGACTTTAAATGAGACAAGACCATATCCGTTTGTCCGACAATGGTTTTGACATCCATGCTGAAATCTTGTCGTGAAATACGGTTGTTGTTGTTGTTGTTGTTGTTTTTTACTGTTGGTTGTGTTGTCTCTTCATCAGTGGTGGTAGAAGAGAACAACATAGATTGTCCACTTTGTTGACGAATGACTGCTGCTGCTGCCCTAGTGGTGGTCCGTGATGTGGTTGTCCATGCGGCAGCATGTTTGGTGAAGCAGCCTGCCAAAGAGGCCATGACTAGGATGGATACTCGAATTCTCATATATTTATATCGAAGGGCGGGTGAAATTGTTGATGACCTTGTTGTTCTGTCAATCAATTGGTACACCTATTATCCGGTATAGTATGTGTCAGATGACAACCGATTTTTTGTTGTTGTTCGGGTTATGTGTGGGGGATCTGAGCTGTCTTTCGTTTTGTTGTTGATTACTGATGGGCTGATGATGGGTGGTGTCGTGCAGCTGACGTACTTTCGCGAAAAGCCACGTGTATGAATGAGTACAAAAAACCTCGTACAAGTAATATCCGCCGGATCTAGCTACAGTACCGTACCGGTATAGTGAAACGCACTCTCGCATCTCGCATCATAACGAAATATAAAATTATTGTCATCCATCAACAACATCAACGGGCAACTACATCTGTATCCAAAAGTGATACAAGATTCTTATTACAATAGAGTTTACAGAGAGCAGTGATTGTAGTCTATCTGAAGCAGAAAGAAAGCCAAACTTCTTTGTCTGAACTCCTCGCTCGACTGTTTGCAATATATCGAGAAGTTTCTGGTCAGAACTCTTGAGATCAAATCCAATTGTCCATTCATCATTCATCATTCATCATTCATCATGTCCACTCCAGTTTCCATTGAACCTCCGCCAACGGCACACCTGCGCACGGGATCACAACAAGAGCGGGAGTTTCAACAAAAGATTGAACAAATGATTGTCATGCAATATCACGAACAAAGTTTGGCCGAAGGAAAGTTGAAGGTTGCCAGTGACATTGAACCAATCAACAGTAATACAAAAGGTACTGCTGCTAGTCAACAACAACATCAACATCAACAACAACAACAACAACAACAACAGCAATCTCTTCCGCCACTGCCACCACAAGAACAATTGCCAGCCACCATAACCGAACTTGCTACAAGTGGCGATTCGTCCGACAATAGCATTGTGGGAGCAAGTACTTCTTCCACACCATGGCCATCAGCACAAAGATCCAACACTCTTACATCACATCCTTCTCAAGCTGGTGTTGGAACTGGAACACTTCTATTTCCGGAAGATTATCAGTCCGCAGGGGCCGCCATCACTGCAGGGTATGGAGCCATTCCACAACCACCACCACAAGCACAACTACCACAAGCACAACCACAAAAATTTGATGAGCTAGAACAAATGCAACAACATCATCAGCAACATGATTTTCATTATGGCAATCCTGATTACAATCATCGCGAAGACGACGACGACAATGATTCAAATAAGAAATCGTGGTGCGAAAAGTGTTGCTGCTTGTGTACACCATTCCTGGAACTTTTACGACAGGAACAGCTGCGTCGATCCTTTTGCTATGGTGCCATTGATGGTACCCTGACTGGATCCGGAATTGCCTCGGCCTTTTGTGCACTCGGTGTATTGAATCTTCATACGACTTGGGAAGTCCGGTTGGCGGTCTTTTGCTTGAGTGCTTCGGCCTGCTTTGCGGATTCCTTGTGCGTGGCGATTGGCCACATTTGGACTTCCTACGTCGTATCCTCGAGTCATGCGTTGGACCGAGCCAAGGAACGAAAGATTTTGGAGGATTCCACGGGGGATGCCAAGGCCAAGCTGATTGATATGCTATTGGCGCGGGGGGTACTCAAGATTGATGCCATGAGTCTGGCGGATACCCTGGAGGGGTACCCGGATTTGTTTGTGAATGCATTGGTGGGAGACTCGCTATGTGCCGGATCCGAGGAAGCGGAACAACAGCTAGACCAAGAACATCCGTCTGATTCTATGCGAAGCAGCCGGTCACTTCAGGCTTTCAACTCTTGGAGGAACTTTCCATCGTATGGTCAGCTCGCTCAGCTCGAATATGAGCTCAGTCCAGAGCAAGCCAATGTGGACATCGTCGTCAAGGAAAGTCAACGAGAAGGAACATTTATGATGATCGGTTTTGCTATGTTTGCCATTCTCCCAAGTTTATTGTGGCTATTCTTACCGATCTGGATAGCACCATCCTCGCATGTTGCCAAGGGAGAGAGTGGGCGAACCATTTCACCCTCGAGTTTGATTGTTTCCATAACGGCAATCATTATGTGGTCTCTAGGAGCCTGGAAAAGCACCTTTTTGGGATCCCACCCTATGACGGTGGGTATTGAAACCGTCATTGTATTGCTAATCTGTGTACTCTCGGCATATGGTATGGGATTCCTACTGAAGTATTGTTTTGGTGACGACGTGGAGATGTTTGTTGCCACAGAGTAATCATTTCAATTGTGTATGCATGATGTGCCATTTGCAATACTTTTTTTAAAAAACTACCACCGCTACTTCCAGCATACATGCTACTGTAACTGAAATAATGAAATAATGTATATAGAAAATGACAAATTTGATGCTAACTAAGCATTTGTGATGCTCTGCCAAAAGTACAAAGGGGAGTGCAGTACGCTCAGTTGCATTCAATGCATTCGTTCAAAAACCGAATCTAGCCATTTATTCCACCTTTCAATTTTCATTATTACACCAATCGCTCGAATTCGACACCGTCAAGTCTTCCTCCCCGTAATGTGCGAGTCACCAATCGTTCAAACTGACCAATGTCCTTGCGAAAAAGCTCTGCAGCCTCGTGGTTCAGAGGATCATCGGGATTGGGTTCGTAAAATAGGTAAATCAATCCATAAATTACCGAGTTGATGTCCAGTACAGGCCGCCAATCTTCTCGAAGAATATTCAAACAAACCTTCCCTTCCAAATCTATGTTGGGATGGTAAATCTTGGTTTGACATTCGACCTTGGGCGGTGAGTGTGGGTAATGTGGTGGAATCCCAAATGTGAAATGATACGTCGCCCCTTTCCAGTAACCAGAATCAGGGTTGATGGAAACTACAAAGGCGGTCAGATCATTAGGATTGGGAAAGTCAATTTGTGCTACTTTGCCACCATCCAACTCTCCAATATCTACAACAACAATCAAAGCAACCAACAAGATGGGTTTGGGTTATTGTGAGACGTGTGCGGTGTGCATTTTTTTTTGTATCGTTGAATAAGAAATTACCTTTTTGAATACGAATTTCACCCGGAGATTTCTTAGTCTTTTCGCCCTCATCCTTTTTCGACTTCTTCTGGCCGCCAATACCAAAGAGCGACACTTGTCCACCTTCACTGGGAGCTTCAGCTGGAGACGCTGCAGCTGCAGCGGCCTCTCTCTTCGCTTCTTCTTCTGCCTCCTTCTTTTCCTTCTCTCGTTTCTTTTTCAATGCCAACATGTTGATATATTGCGATGAGACTAGGAATGAATGAGGCTTTGTGCAGTGGCAGCAGTGCGAGAATCACGTTTCGGGGATCGCAGGAGTCACAATCAAGTCCCGTACTTCGAAACACGAGACCCGCGATAATTAATGAAAAGCAGAGTAATAGGTACCATTGCCCGGTACCGGTACAATGCCTACGAATTAATACTGTTACATATCCTTAGATTGGATTCTACGACATCCAACTGCAGAGTGAGTCGGAATAAGGCGTCCGCGTTGCCGCTATAATTTGCTGGGAAAAACACAGTAACTTCTTCCTTGTTCGTCCATCTTGACAGCATGCTTGTCAGTTTCACTCAACGCTTTGGGATATCCAAACTCTTGAAAATCTCTTGCGTGATGAAGTTGTATCAGTGCAATCGAGCGATTCGTCAAGTTTTGCAAGGACAATGCTTGGGGCCCAGCTCCTTCTGCACGTGTTTCAAAGTTTGGCAAATCCAGTGGCAAGTCATATTTTGTCATGAGGTTAGGAAACTCGGACGCTAGGCTCTCGTATTTCAGAATATGATTCACTCTCTGTGTTCTATTGAAATGCACAAAATCATACTGAGGAAACCACCACATTGGTTCGGCCTTGGTCGAGAATGGCTCATTACCCCTGCAAAGGTTGGACTCGACAAATTCATTCAACTCTTTCTCATGATGATTCGGACTTGTGGAAGAATCAATGTTACCAGCTCCTTTTCCATTCAGAGGGGGGTCAATCAGTTCCAAGTATCTCATGATTACCAAATCAAACGGATTTCGAACAATAGTGAATGTATGCTTGCCTTCGAACATGTTGATGTCCCAAAGGTATGATGGAAGATGCCATAGTTGTTGGTTCCCATCATGGCTACCACCACGATGATGAGTCGTGAGGCCTAGATTTGCAAAGTCAGGGATATTTGAACAGTGTCCTTTTTCTACTTCGTCGTCTCGGGTATTGTGATTGCCACTGAAATCAAAATCATCTTCATCATCGTCCTGTTGAAAGTGGCACCTCCCCCATGGAATCCCCAGACTGGAGGCTGCCTTTTCGATCTGTTCAGCTCCAGTTCCAGGAATCGGAATCAATTCCAATAGTTGCTGCTTCACCTTGAGGTGATGCGCCATTTGGAAACCATATCCTGACGAAGGAGAAGAAGTGGGGCGACGGACCTTGTGGCTGTTGACTTTGTATTGGAGATCGGATAGACCATCATAATCTGATCGCTGGATTTGTGCAATGCCGTCGCGGACTTGTTGCAGGATCTGAAGGGAAACTTGATAGTTGGCATTCTTGCCCTTATCGGTGTCCTGGATGTGATGTTCCCTGTCGTCACTCACTGTGCGGAATCGCCCGAATCCTGGTGGAGGTCGTCGCATGAGAAACTTGCGTTGTCGGTTCACTGAAAGGAGTTTCTTGTCTCGTAATCGAAGGTACCTACATCGTCAACATATCAAAGTGTCGAGCACGAACCAATCAGGTGAGAATCATTGCTCATTAGTCGTGCACTGTCGGAAGCTAGGTCGTTGGCCACTTACAAATCGTCATCTTCACCACCCCATGATACATAGTCGTTGCTAAATCCATTTATGGCTTGCCAATGTTGCAAGTGCAGTGTCACAACACCCCCTGCATGCTCTTGATAGCCTACTGTCCAATTCAATCCAGTGCGAAAGAGTTCGGATCCGGTTTGGGTCGGTACCGAACACCGATCATAGTAGACTGGACCCTTGACAGCATCATTCTCGCCCGTGTCCTCGGGTACAAAGTCTACATCATGAAAAGTCAAGCATTCCACTTCGGGTGAATGCCGTAGAATCTCGGCAATGCCCACATTGCCCAACCAACCTCGATTGAAGGGTTCGTCGTCGTCTTGTTCGATGATCCACAAGGAAAATTCGGAAACATGTTGTTGTTGGCCTTTTGCTGGATGACGATAATGCTTCTCAATATATGGATACAGGCGTTTCTGAAATTCTTGCAAGTGATATTGTCGATTGCGATAGGGAACCACAATGGCATGATAATGAACCATGGGTTCCACATGTAGGAATGATGGCACTTCCGAGATGGAATTGTTGGGAGAAATACCAACGTCAGTGTCAGTAGCAGCTTGCTCAATCTCTGAAAAAATGACTTTGGGAGTTTGTTTCAACTTGTGAACTCCCATTCGGACACCTGTCGAACGGCGGTTCCTCCATTTTTCCTTTGTCTTCCTTGGAGGGAGGTAGTCCTCGTCGAATGGAATCGTGGATGGGTCGGTAGCAGGATTTTGGCTTGGCTTTGTAGCGTGAGCATTACCCCTTGTACTCGTTGACTGTCGTTCCTTTGTTTTGAGGAAAGTTGTGGGTTTATATGAAGAGGTTCCTTTCATGAGCTTGGTAGGATAAAGATCCTGATTTGTCACCAAAGCCGAGATCATGAAAACAATACCTAACAGGGCATACTGAAGCAATTGTTTTCGTCTCATTTGCCTATTTCCTCGTCGCTCAGATCTAATCAACTTCGACATTTTGTAATATCATCTTGTATTGTGTTCTCTGCGATATAGCCTTGGAAACTAAAGTCTGGAGACTACTACTGCTGTATTGGTTTCAGGAAACACCCAATGATGAATGCTTTTTTGATTTGTGTGCTCGACGATTTTGGGTCTTGAAAAGAAAGGGAGGGGAATCAAGGCGGTCATAAAAAAGAAAAGATCTCGTTGGTCGCACCCGCATAAATGTCTGTGAGATGTCCATTTCGCCGGTACAAAGACATTGAGAACATGTTGCGCTTGCCTCCAAGCATTTGTGGTTGTGTGACAATAAAAGAGATCTTCTTTCAGCGAAAATAAAGTAACTCATTCCAGATTATTATTGTTGTTATTCATACCGGTACCAGGGTGCAAATACACATTAAAGGCAAGAGAAATCTGAACCTATCACATAAGCACTTTCCCATTAGCAGCAACCGACAAGGCCTCGATAATGGGCAAGGACGAGGAAAACTACGATCCGGAAACCTTGCGGAAGAAGATCAAACGGGTGGACTCCTTGATTCAGGATGAAGTACCTGCGAGTCCAGCGCATGCTCGGCTAGAAAGAAAAAGAGCAAAATATGTGAAGCAACTCTCAGAAAAGGAAGGCATGAAGGTTGATCTTGACGACGATGATGCTCCAATGCCACCGCCTCCTGAGAGGACTGAGTCTCTGATGATGTCCATTCGAGAAAGCGAGGATGATCCAACGCCAGCCAAAAAGGCAAAGGAACAATCGTATACTTATGAGACCCTTGAGAAGAAGATTGCTCTAGTAGAATCTTTGATGAAGGACGAAGATGATTCCTTCAGTGATGAATTCAAGAAACTGGAACGGAAGAGGGACAAGTATATGGCTCTTTTGAAAGCCACTGACAAGTGGAAGGAATTGCACCCCGATGGTGACAGCGAGGACGAGGAGGAGGAGGAACTCAAATGGGAACGTAAGGATACTGCAAGCAAAGAAAATGATACTGCAAGCAAAGACAAATCAACCGATGAAGAAGAAGAGGACGACTTTGATGTGGATGCAGTCGGCTTGAAGGCGGGAACCGTTCCTGACGAAATCAGGCTGGGAGGAGAAGGCGGCTACCAATTGACTGACTTCCTAGACGACTCGAAACTTTCAGCCGAGAAAAAGGAGTGCAAAGAAATGCTTCTTAAGCTCATGGCGATGAATGGAGAAAAACCTGGAACGGAATGCGATTTGGATGAGGATTTCCTCATTACTCTCTGCGGAAAAGTGAGTGAATTATTCCTGAAAGATCCAATGGTTCTAAGACTCAAAGCGCCGATCAAAATATGCGCTGATATTCATGGGCAATTCTTTGATTTGTTGCGCATCTTCGATTACGGTGACTACCCTTCCAAGTCCGACTATCTATTTTTGGGTGACTACGTCGACCGTGGAAAGCAATCCGTTGAAGTTGTCGCCATGTTGTTTGGCTTCAAATTTCTCTTCCCCGAAAAGCTGCACATGCTCCGTGGCAACCACGAAAGTGGCAGTATCAACCGAATCTATGGCTTTCACGACGAGTGTGGTAGAAAGTATTCCAATAAGTTGTACAAGGCCTTTGTCAAAGCCTTTAACTGCTTGCCTGTCGTAGCCGTGATTGATGAAACTGTTGTCTGCATGCACGCTGGTATCAGTCCCAGTTTGATGGATTTGGACGAGGTCAACAAGAAAGAGCGTCCATGCGAGATCCCGGAAGAAGGTTGGATGTGTGACTTTGTGTGGGCCGATCCCGACCCAGATGTGAAGGTAAGCAAGCTGGAATATTATGATGAAAAAAAAAGACAAGACAGACGAGCAGCCGAATGTCGGGTGCTCTTTTGACGGACTTGACGCTTTTTTTTCGTTCGTTTTATCTCACTGGTTCCTTTTTCTTTCTTCTGGACACTATCTCCTTTACTTCATGGCAATAGGGCTTTGAGGAAAGCGACCGTGGTGTCTCGTATTTATTTGGAGGTGACGCTTTGTGCCAGTTTTTGGAAAAGAACGACTACGAACTCGTCGTTCGTGGTCACCAAGTAGTCGAAGATGGATACCAATTCTTCCATGAACGCAAACTGGTCACACTCTTCTCGGCTCCAAACTACTGTGGAGAATTTGACAACGCTGGTGCTATCATGATTATTGCCAAGGACATGACTTGTTCCTTCCAGATTTTTAAGCCAGTTTCAAGACGACGCCAATCGTTGATTCGAGAGTTCAGCACAAAAGGAGGTTTTCTCCAGGAGGTTAAGAGTGAAGATTCAGCAGATACAGCTAAAAAGCTCCCAGAAGACCTGGATAATGGAACTAGTATCGCCAAAGAAAAGAATGCCGATCGCAAGAGTTATTCTCGACAGTCAGTGGATTTAGGCGGAAGCGGATTCTCAGAAGTCTTTTTTGCTAAGAATCTGACGACGACAATGCAAATTGAGGATTTGACGCGAAAGAATACTTCTTGGGGAGATATCTGGGAGGATTTGTTCTACGACGACACCCAACTGGCGGAATTCAAGTACAATGCCTTTATGGAGTCACTTGAGGACGAGTATTAGACCGGAAGATTTTGAAATATCATCAGTTGTGGAAATGAAATTACATGCATAATTTTCAATTGTTGGATGTGCTGTTGACGATTATACAGAATGAATGTTACTTCCGTTTCCAGATGCTTACTTGACGAGGGAAATAAGGCACATAAATAGCGATAGAGAAGCTTATAAAGTAGTAAGTTGCACTATTGACCAGAATCGTACGATGGTGCCGTGATGATGAGAAGCCGCCACAATCAGAAAGTTCATTGCTGGTGGCCTTTTTGGTAGTCGTTCCCGGTCCTGCAACGAGAAACGAAATGTTGAGCTGCCCTAATGAACAGAGTAGGGCTAAATGGAAGGGTGACATAGAATAATTTCAATATTTATTATATCCTTTAAGTTGGACTTTTTGTTGGCTACACTCTGACAAGCAACAAGTCACTAGTTAGGAAACAATTGCGTTGAGCTTAATGACAAACTGTCCGACGATGCTCATCATAAGAATGATACCGAGAACAGTAGGCCCAACAGTATCATCGTATGGTCCTGGATGCTTATTGCGAATCATGTAGGCCCGTCGCATGTCTAATTTGGAACAACAGCAAAGAAGCAGAAGTGAAATGTTAGTTGAAACAGCAGAATGACCAATTCATCTGGCAAGAGAACTTACACTGATACATGGAATATACGATAAAGCAGACCGCAACGGGAAGCATGATGAGTCCATAGAGTTGAGACCCCGGAGTACTCTTCTTGGTGTTGGAAAAGGCAAGAATTGCAATCGACGCTCCGGCCAAAATGATTGATACGTGCATCCACGCCAAAAAGGTTCTGACATTTAGAGTGGTTGCAACGCGTGAGTATAAAGGAAAATAAGAGATACAAGAAATTGCATTGAGCCAAAGAACATTCAAATTGCAGTCTCCAGACCCACCTTTCATTGGCAAAGAAAACCTTCGGTTCAATCTTGATGGGAGCCTTTCGTGGCTTGAGTTGGATGCGTTCCTGTTTTGGCTTCGAGGCACCGCCAAAGAGCTTGCCAAAGAAACCGGGTTCTTTGCTGGCTTGATTCAGAACTGGAGTTCGGGGCAACCCCTACAACAACAGCAATAACAGCAACAACAACAAACCAGTGAGTGACAGTGTGGATATCATATAACAGAAGATTCGCCAGTATCAAACATATCGAATCTTCTCTTCAAATCCATAATCCGAAGTAGTAGAGTTGACAATGATATTTTCAACCAGTTGCAATTGAGCAACATATTCATCCTCACCTTGGACGACGCCCCCAACATCCGTGGCTCAAAGTCTTCGGCCGTGGCTCCTGGTGGAAGATCTTCAACAGTTTCACCCTCATCCCCGTCTCCGAATTGGCTGAATACTTTCTTCAGAGGATTAAGGAAGTAGTAGTTTTGATTTTCACCTCCACTCAGCAACGGAGTCTTTTCTCCTTTACCTGCCATGGTTTTGTACGTGAAAGAGAATGATAATGCTTCAAGCTAGAGCCGGATGCGGATATACTACCGGTATTATAGTTTTGTACCATAGCCACCGAACGACCTCTTGAAAAAACAGCAGCTTTGCTCGGGTTGGTCGAAGATCATACCGATGGACGGGCCGGCGGGCGCAGTCGATTCCTTCAGTTTTTCTCCCCTGATACTGATACTGTACTGCTATTCAGGAATCGGAGGCATAGATGGGATGCCTCCAAAACCTGGATGCAGCATCGTGGCGATCCTATTGTTACGCCTAGATGCGATTATATTCTTGCTTCTGACTGTTCAATCTTCTTGAACTGTACCTAGCAATGGTGCAAATGGTGGGAGAAAATAGAGGGGCGATGAGGTCGGGAAAAAAGCAAAAGCTGACAGTCTTGACCGTGCAGCTATGCCCGTTCTAGTGTCTCCATCATCTCACAAGCTCTCATTGCGAACAATGTTGTGTCTCCAACCTTCTGTCCTCTTCACTCTGTCTGCCAACTGTACTTCACTGAAGTGGCGCACCTCAGTCGACTCAACGGAATTGAGACTAAAGGGAGCTCTCAAGTCCCATGCGTCTTCCGTCTTGCCAATCAAATTTCCAAAAACGAAATTTTTTCAACTCACTTTTTAGATTGAATCATCAATTCAAGCAAAACATTAACCAAATAGGAACACTTTCACTCAATAGTATATCTAATACAGGAGAACTGATATTGTGGAAGTGTTGTATTGAGCGCTAAAGGCACTTACAATAGAGCACATTTTGCTTATTTATAAGATTCAATTACAAAAGACAATACAAAAACAGCCCGTCAAGACAGCACTGCCTTATTGAAGAAAGAGTGAGTGATTTGTTGACATTCTCCATCTGGTGCTGGAAGAGGACGTGTGATTCCTCAGAAAATCAAGAGCAATTCAAACCAAGTCTCAAGTTTGGTGAAACATCTAATTCAAACAAAGGACAAAACCAACATCAAGGCTAAATCCTCATACAAAGAAGCCAAAGAACAACTGGCTACATCCAATTGTCTGGAATGAGATGTGCTGAAGACATGGAGTCTTTGATTTGAAACGGAAAGTCAATCAACTTTGATGCTATCAAACCAATATTGACTGTTCCAGTCAAAACTGAAGAACTTGCAAAACAAACAGAGATGGATGAAAACAAAATTCTCTATTCTGCAGAGCTTGCCAAAAACATGAAACAATCTGCATTCTTTGAAATGAACAAGTGAACCATTAAATCAACAATCATGCTTTTAATTAAGATCATAACAAAAGAGATGGATACCAAGCTTCACGGTGAAGCCAATTTCACAACTACTCTTGAAGACCCAATCAAATGGGCGCTGTGATCATGCAAGACAAAAAGCCAGTAGCGTTCTGGAGTCAAAAACTCAACGATGCACAAAAGGATTATTCAGTCATGGAAAAAGAAATTTTGGCTATTGTGCATTGCTTGAAAGAGTTTTGTTCTATGCTTTACAGCAGCTACGCAATGGACAATTTTTACTGCTCACAAAAATCTCACTTTCCGCACATTGAATACACAACAAGTTTTATGCTGGCTAATGTACAGCCATGTTTAACTACTTGCCTAGAAAAGATAATGTTTTGGCCAACTGTGGTTTCTTGCGTTTACCGCAAATGGAGAAACTGTCCGAGGGGAAGAGTTTGCTTTCAAAAGGTAAATTGATTGCATTTGACAAACTCAATGTCAAAATGGATCCTGAAGATGAAATGTATTCTTTCAAAGAAGAAGTTCTTCTTCCTCCTCCATCTGAAGCGGAATTTAATTGTACCTTCAGATCTATGTTTGCTTGATTGTGATCATGGACATGGTGCAATAAAAAATGATGAGATGCTTGAATCATTTTTGAATCATCCTACATTGGAAGTTATGCCAAACCCAATTGCAATGGCAAACATCCAACAACATCAGCTCCAAGATGTTGCACTCATTCAAAAATTGCAAAACACAGCAACTTGGGCTCAGTACCCCATCATGCAAATTGACAATCAAAATGTGATCTGCTTTTGTGCAGATTTGAATAAACCTAACAAAGGGAGATTTCACTTGCCTGAAACTTTGGTTGCTCCAGTGATTGTGTGGTACCATTTGGTTCTTGGACATTGAAGCACTACCTCTTTGTACAATACAATCGTCAGACGATTCTATGCTCGTGCTTTGAAAAGGAAAGTCGAATCTCTCAAGTGTGAAGTTTGCCAAGCGAACAAAAATGTAACAATCCAATATGGACATCTACCTGAAAGACACGCAGATTTGGTCCTGTGTTTTTTTGTGGCTGTGGATTTGATTGGACCTTGGAAGATCAAGGTCAACAGTATAGAAATTGAATTCAATGCGCTCACATGTATTGATCTCGTAACAAATCTCACTGAACTTGCGCGTATTGAGAACAAAACTTCAGCCCACGTCACAAATGTCTTCAAGAATCTTTGGCTTTCTTGATATCCAAAACCATACAAGTGCATTCATGATCAAGGAGGTGAATTGTCACAATTTTCAATTGAAACTACAACAGTGGGGAATTTGCAATGCATTGGCGACAAGCAAGAATCCAAGTGCCAATGCTATGTGTGAACGAATGCATCACACTGTTGGCAACATCCTACAAACAAGATTCAACAACAACAACAACAACAACATGGCTCCCAACATTCAGACAACTACTCAAGCCGTCGATTATGCTCTCACTGCATGCAATCATGCCATGAGATGTTCTGTTTCTCAATCTTTGAAAAACAACACTCCAGGTGAAGTTGTATTTGCTCATGACATGTTCCTCAACATTCCTGTGATTGTCAATCTTTTGAGTATACAGGAGAAACGACAAGCTTTGAGCATAGAGGGGAATAGTGAAACGGCCGATAGAACAGGCCCAAGGTATTTGAACTCTAGGAGCTCCTTCGGTTGGGTACAGAACTAGACCTTAGTCATTAGGTCGACATAAGCACTCTCAAGTACATCGATAATTTTCTTTGTGACTCTGTGAAGGTTGGGTTACACCGGAGCTCATCCTCGCTGAATCAAAAACTGACCTTCGCTGAATGTGACACAATCTGAATAATAGTACAACTAAGACCGTATTATCATCTCTACACAGACTCCAATCAGTACCCCATCACCAAACGAGTCCATTCTAATGGTACCCTTACCATTCGACTTGCCCCTCATGTTATTGAGCGCGTATCTCTACGGCGAGTCAAACCTTACCCATGATGAAGTTGTATTCCTGTTGCCCTCGCATGTTTGCTTATTCCATTTACATTTTCTAGATTGGACAAATGGACTTGATTAATTGATGGTTGAACTCTTCATTCAGAATACTCCAAGGATGTAAAGAATCCCAATACCATTCCCTTGGCACAGCTTTGCTCATCACAGCACGATCGAATACATTGCATCGGCATTTCAGTTTCTTTGATTCAAACACTATAGGTTTCTTCGTAGTTGATGGATATGGATTGCTGATCAAGAAAGCTTGAATTCCTTGCTGATGAAGCTGAAATTCCTCAAGGATGCAGGACAGATGCGAAAGCCTTTTGGGGTTTCTAGTCCAACCCGCACTAACAAAAGCATGCGTTGCCTTCAGTTTTGGCAACACTTCCCACACAGTCTTCTCAAGATTTCCTTCAAATGCATTTGTTCGATTTTCTTGGCCACACTCTCCAGCCTTACACTGAGAGCCACTGGGAAAGTATGAGGTGGAAAAGGGTGGAAATTCTTTATCAATTCGGATGAGGTCCTCAAAATTCTGTAGATAAACAAGTTTTATATCTCCAAATTGAGTGACTCGATGAATATAACGATTTTCATAGGACTTGTTCGCAGCGAACACTCCAGAACGATGGCAATCACAAAGACTGTATTGTTTTGACGCTTCTTGAAGTATCTCTGTAGTGTCTTGATACCAGATGTTCCAATTGTTCCGCATCTGTTCATTGATGAGGACACATGTTTCATCTCTCTCATATCCTGATGGATAATCATTGCATCTCATAAATTTACGGTACTTCAAGAACCCAGCTAGATTCAAAAATTGATAGCGGACCCTTGAATCTCCAATGAAAACAATTACTTTGTTCGCTAAACATGCTTCGTATCCTTCGGAAGAATAAAGTTGTATTGTCCTTGGTGGCCACACATCTCCTTCTTCATCTCTCCCCACAAACCTAGGTTTGTGGAACTCGTTATCAATACACCAGTTCAAAGGAGCGAGCGAATTGTTTACACAAGATTCATTGTTGAGTGAGACTTTCACTGTATCTCTTTTTGGATCAACTTTAGTAGAGATTTGCACATGTTTGACAATGATCTGAACCCGATGGAGGAGATGGATTGCACCGAAAGCAATGCAAATAGCGGAAAAAGCAAATATTCCTTTGCTAAAATTCGGCATGTTTCCCAATCAAAATATCCCGAAGATGGCTGGGAGCTTAATTTCGGGTTTAGGCCACTTCCAAGCGAACCTGAAACTGACGATTTGGCCGGACTTTTCTGCGCGCAGTTTCCGTTTCGAAGAAAAATCATTTCCACACGATCGATTTCCCTAAGTATCAAGGCCATATCAGTTTTGGTGGCATGTGCACTTATCAAAGGTTGTCGTAGACACGTGCATATCAACTTCAAACTGAAAATATTCATTCTTTTAGATAATCGAAGATTACCCGGCGCCGCCTCCACTCCTGGGCTTGAATCGCATGATGTAGTCTTTGTCTGGAGAGATCGCGCACGTATGCTACCATGGAAACTGTGGCAAAAGCCTGATGCTACATACGAGAAGCGAGTAGGTTTGGCACAGTAGCGAGGTACTAAGTTAGTGACTGGTTTGCACCGAGGTCGAATCATAGGATTCGAAAAGGACAATCAATAGGATTGACAGACAAACCCGGACCAAATGGGGTACCGAGCTATGGTGCAAATGAGAGAGAGGGTGGTGAGGGCGGGAAAAGCAAAAAAGCTGACGGTCTTGACCGAGCAGCTAAGCTCCTTCTATCGTCTCCATCATCCCACAAGCTCCCATTGCGAACAATGTCTTCTCCAAATCTTCCGTCCTCTTCGTCGACACTCTTCGCTCCGTCCGCCAACCGTGTACTTCACTGAAGCGACGCGCCGCAATCGACACGACGGAGATTGAGACTAAGGAAGAGCTAGAAACGCCCATACGTCTCCCGTCTTGCCGATCAATCACCGAAACTGAAAACTGAAACTGATCAAGTCAAACTGATTGCCTCCACCACCGAACCCGTCGTCGTATTTAGGTATTGCATATATTCGGGCAGCTCGCAGCATGACACAGATGTGCACTTATCGTTGGTAGTCTGCTGATGAAGCCAACCAAACGTGCTGGTGCGAAAACTTCAGCTGCGAGAATCTCTTCCTTTTGTGCACTCTTGCTTTCTGTTAGGATTATCACGAAAGCGGTTTGGGGAAGCAATGATCACTGTGCTGCTCAGCCCTTTTTGGACGATGAGGATGCGAACCAAATTGCAAATTCGGCATATCCAAGCTTTTGTTTTACAGAGAAAGGATCGCTGCACTCAATTGCCCTCGATATGTTCCGGCATTCCAGCCCTCCTGGGTCTCGCTCGTTTCGAAAACTTCGCCATGTACTTCACCGAAACCCATCCTTTCACATCAATTTCCCACGGAAAATATTCAAATCAAATCAAGAATCATTGACTTCAATGTTCACTAGCAACGGTCTCATGCAGGAAACAACCGACATTCCAACAGAATCGAACTGTTCAGATATAACCTTGGTAGAAACTTTGCTCCATTCTCATTGCCCTATTCAAAATCCAAACTTTGTGGATGCTGGTCGCATCATCATCCAGACTGAACAAACCCTAAAGTCACGTCTTGGAGACTGTCATGCATCACTAAACTGCATCATTGTCGAGTTCTCGGATTACAATTTCAGGCTGTTGCAAGAAAAAGGTTGGGGCGATTCCACGATTCTATTACCAACCATGCATCAACATCCAAGCCGACTAGTACTCATTCCACCACCACAAGACAAAGAAGGCACCCTTCGGTTGATTCCATTTGTCAATCGCTCCATAGACGTCTCCTTTTTCGGGCTCATTACGCCTCGACGAAAAAGACTACAAGAAGAGAAAAGAAAGTTCTTGGAGCAGAATCCCAACCGAACAGTGACATTGAAACAAGTTGGTTCCTTAAAGACTCAAGTCATGTCCAAGGCATATGGAGATTCGAAAGTATGCCTTGTGACACATTCGTATAGACAAACGTCAGGAGGTGAATATCACCGACTATCAGAATTTGCACCCTTTGGGTGCATACCGATCATGGAAAAGTTTGCAGATACGATTGGGATCGATCGATACACAAAATGCGGCCGAGTCCTATTTGCAGACTTTGGAAACCTATTCAGTCATGTGGAAGACGTCCTGCGCTCAATCGATGCTGGGGTATATGAAGGACCTGAGGAATTCGCTCATGTCAAATGGTGGAATAAAGGAGTACAGTGGGATTCACTACTGTCGGACATATTCTTATTTGACAGCCAAGAAGGGGCACGAGCATCATGACGTAAAGGAATGTCAACTGAAACCAAAAAAAATCTACACTGAATATGCCAGAATATTGTGTTTCGTAATATACAGTAAGGGATCATGATAAATTACTTAGTTTCACAGATACCGCTCACTATTCCTTGGGAAAATTGCAAACAAGCTCGGATTCGAATTCGACCAGCCTTTCAGAATATTCAATATGGCCAGAACCGCACAGTGCTCGCACCCATCGGTAGCTGGACTAGCGCAAGCACCGCGGTAAAATCTTGGATAATACGGAAGATCGAATTTCCATAAACTCACTATGTTCCGAAGAGTCCCCTGTTTGCCACAGAGATCTGATCATATTACTTTGCATATTAAAGTTGTAGTTTGAAAGCTAAGCTATCTGTTGTCTGTGGACCGTTTGGTGCCTAGCTGGCTGTAGCAGAAGCTCTAGAGCCTAGGAACAGCGGATTTAACGAAATTTAGAGAAAATCCACCAATTGATTGCCTCCCTTAGAAGCAATCATGGTGTTATTGCGGACTCTGGAAAGCAGGAACTCTAGCTTGCTTAGGAAGTCTATTTTTTTGACACAAGTGGTGGTTTGGACGCAGATGCCGTCCCAAGGCCAATCTGATGAACCGTTTCATCGTCCATTTTCAATTTGTATGGAGAAAAAAAATTCTGTGGAATATCTCAAGATAATCTACCGGTAGAGACTTTCAAACTGTCATAGGACACGTCAGACAAACAAGCAATAAATGTGAAAACTTTTCAAGTCATCGAATCGATTTCTCAATCGAAAACGATAACGCGGGTAACCCGGAATTACCCAAGCTCCCTGCCTGGCGGGTGGTGTGAAGCTGGTCCTTTGAGTCGCGTTGTCGGATTGGCGGCAAAAATTCGGTATGTAAAACTTTTTGGCGGTCGTGAAGCCCGCCCATGATCAGATGGCCAAAGTAACCTGAATATATAAAGAGATGATGACACTGTTGACCGATGAGTATAGTGTTGAATGACTCATCGAACAACAAACGAAAACGAGAGCAGGCGACAAAGAATAGATTGATGATGAAAGCTGCCGGCAGTTGGCAATTATGATGCGTTTTTCTTCTAATCCAACGAAGCGAAGCCACAACGGCGGCGGCAAGCGACGAGTCGGACCCCTAAACCGAGCCATCAAATGATAAAGAAGACAAGATTGGAACTGAAGCAGAGGAAGAAACATAGGTCTCGCCAACAATCTACCGCCACTGCCGAAATGAACGAGCTTGATACCGGAGAATGTGTTGCCAGCAAGGGGAATAATATTGTTTTGCCATCTACTTTCTCGTTGGCTTCAACGATCAGCATGGGCGCTGTCGTCCACTGTAAAGGCTGAACGAAATGAGAACATCTGAATTTCAAGGCAAGGAAGCGGATGAAGGCAAACTCTTGCCAGTAAATGCAATGAGGTTGTTTCGTCATCTTCTAGTTGGCTTCTTGCAAATCAGCATGGGCGTTCTCGTCAAGTGGGTAGAGTGAAAGAAATGAGAACTGGGCTTTGATGCAAACTGTGTGAGATATTAGGGAAGTGCAGCATATAAAGGAAAATGCGACTGTAGCTGATTCAAAAGAAAGGTTTCAGGGGCAGGAGCAGCAGCAATTGCTTGGCGACAATTTTCCAATGATTGATACACCTTCAAACCAGCATGCCTCCTCCAAGGAGCGCTGAAACACGATACATGGAGGAGTAATGAGGAGTGTGACTGCTTGTACAGCAACTCGCCTGGCAAATCAAAGATGACGAAAATCTTCACAGCATGGCTGTTGAAACAAGATTGCTGTGCAGCACTGGTTGTTCCATCATTAGTAAGAATGAGCAGGTTTCCAGTTGTATCTAGGCAGCGATTTCCCTCTACCGGTATGCCATCCCAGAACTACGATCGTCGTCTGCACTGCGTTCACACAAGGGTGTGTTTAAAACTAACGTGGAAAAGTACCCAATGGTGTTTGGAAAATACGACTCAATCGGTTGATGGTCAATCAACGGACGCCACGCGCGTGACAGACAGTAAATAAGACATCCAATGCTTCGCCAGCCACCCCGAATTAGCGATGCCCCATCCAATTCAAACTCCCGCAGAACGACCCAAGATCGTCATCCAATCCGAGCGAGGTATTCTTGCTTTTATATTTGACAAGCACTCAACTCCTTGCTTGCATTGACACACACACGATAGTTGGCAAACCAAATTTTCATTCCAAGGCTTCATTTGACTCCGTCACCATCGTCTTCGAAGTCAACATCATAAACGTCTCCCATTCCAATACTGGTAGACAATAATACAGCAAGAACAAACAACAAACAACAGACAACAACAGGCACATTCAGAAGAACAATTGATCCATCTAAAGCAGATTGATTCATTGATTCATTGATTGATTCATTCCATCAGATTGATTCATCTGTTATCATTGCTGAAGACCAATATTGTCAATACCAAACATCGCACATAGCACATAGCACATATCACCATGCAGCAACCAGAACAAAAGACTGACACGAAGCAATATTCTTCGTATGGAACTGTCCTCGAAGCTGCCTTTGTGGACCCAGCCTATACTTGGCCTCCACCAGAAGGCGAAGGAAAGAATGCCATTGAATTGCAAGCGAGTGTCAATCTGCTGGACGACAATGCTTCGGTAGCCACCACGGATTCCCAACGACAACGCATGACGATTCCACCCAAACCAGTACCCAAACCACCGCCGAAAAAGAAATTCTGGCAATGCTGCTCCAAAGCGAATGACGAGGACATGCTCGAAATGCACCAATGGGAACTCCAAAAGAAGGCAGCCTTGGACGCTCGCAAGGATCATTACGATCTCAAGATGGAACGCGCCAAGGAAGTCCGTCGCCGGAATCGATACAACCGCGTTCCAGAAGGAATTCTCATTTATCAACTGAATACGGCCAATCAGACTCTAACACTCATGAGTCAACCCCATTCTCAAACAGACACCATGACCTTGGTCGAAGAAATGGTCATTGCCAGTGCCAGACCGGCCAATGGAAGAACCCGCCGTGGGATGCTCGTCAAGGGCGTCGATGGGACTACCGTGACCCTAGTCGCCTGCGAACAACGAACGGCCATTGCTTGGATGGAAGCCATTGACATGATGCTTGCCAACAAGAGGCGATTGCGAAAGACTGTAAGTACTGTATATGCTTTCTTGTTGGATTGTGGTGTTTTGTCTTTTCACACAACTCACACATTTTGTATTTATCACACATTTGAACATCTCAGGGAAGCAAGAGCGAATCCAGAGAATGGAGAAAGAATAACCTCAGTGGCGAAGAATTGGATCAAATTGAAGGTCAATATCTTAACTTGGCCAGTTATTCCAACAAGCTCATTCGGGCCGACAAGAAATCCAAAAAGTCGGAAGCCAGTGGGATCTATTACTCGATTGAAGTCTCCAAGGACCCTGCCGAAGCCTTTGAACAAGAAGCACTCGAATCGATTGCCAAGCGTCGTGCGGTCATTAAGGATTCCTGGGACTTTTATCGAATGATTTGTTCCTTGTTGAGAGATCGACGCAAATACGAAGAAGTCTATCGCAAGATGCAACTCGATCCGGTATTTCCCTACCTCAATTCCATGACGGGATTGAACGATCCTGGTGAAACTGGATATGTCAACCACGACAAGGCACTCATTCAAAAGGATTTGCCCAAATACTCTAAAATGACTAGACGGGAAGTGGCCGAAGATTTGATTCAACACGCCAATGCGGCACTGCCGTCGTTGGTGGAGATCTGCAAGGCGTTGGCGGGCAGCTTGGGAATGGAAGAAGTAGGTGTGGGACCCATCAAGGAAATGCCAGCTTCGCTACGCAAGGCAGAAAAGAAGTATGATGGAGATTTGCTGAAAGTGACGGACTATTGCCGTGCCTTGGTCGTTGTCAAGGACTTTCCTTCTCTCTTGGCGCTCTTGGAGTTGGCCCGCGACTCGTTTGGACCCTTGATTCGTCGGGTCAAATTGAGCAGCCTCAAGTCGGACTGCAGCGCCAAGACGGGTGGATACCGTGATTGTATTATTAATATTGAATTGAAGGAGCACATTTGCGAAATTCAAGTCCACTTGTGGCCCATGTGGTTGATTTGCGGTGTCGATGGATTCCGTCATTACCGCCACTGTTTGGAATACAATACGGATTCCTTTGAAAATGCATATGATGCCTTGGAGGGATTGGATCGCAAGACAATGGCAGAACTGATTGTCATGGCCGAAGAAGCCGTCGCCGAAACCCCATTGGATGATTTGGAATGGTTCCAAGAAAAGTTTATCTTGGATTATTTTGCCGAGATTGGACTCTTTATGAAGCATGGATTGCACGTGTGGGCTGAAATTACTCTTCGGCATTTGATTCGACTACGAACGGGTGCTCCTGACATTGGTCCCGAGCATCACGAAACCATGCTGTTATATGGATACTTGGAACAAGTCTTGAGGAGCATGGGCCAAAATGACGAAGCGGAGGTGATTCGCAAGAAACTCAAGGCCTATGACAAAATGCTCAAGGACGAAAAGGAAGAAGCCCAAAAGTCCATGTGGGGTACCCTGGTGGCAGCTCCCATGGAAGCTTACGATATGATTTTGGACCCCAACCGAAAGGAACGAGAAGAAGAAGAAAAGATGCGACGAGAAGTCAAGGCATCCAAACGAGCCTGGAGAGGTATCCGAAAAGAACGATTTGCCTTTTTGGACGTGTCTGGGAATGGCAATGACATGTCCTCCAGTCGGGACGAAAAGAAGACTGCCTACTAGCTCGTTTGTATCGACGTTCTCTCTTGGATTGTTCTTGATGCAGTGTGTGTTTGAGCAAGACTGTATGCATTTGCGTTGTTGTACACATACATTATTATAGACATCACAACAAGTTATTTTATAACCTATGAATTGATTGTATCCTATGATGGTAGGACCTACCGGCATTGCTATAACCTGCATAGCCAGACTTGGAGTAGATTCATTCAATTTAGTTTTGCTTCTCCGAATGGAAGAGCGCCGTTGGGGTTGACAAAATGGTACGCGCATCATGGATATACCTTGGACTTGCCATTCATAACTCACTCACTGATCGTATCCATCATTGTAGTATCGCTTGTTGTTGTTGCAATATTGCTGCTGTCTCCCCGTTTGGTAGCTTCTTCTTGTCGCCTGGTTCGTCGCTTGGCCAATTCTTGGGCACCCCCATCTGCAGCCCAAATCAACGCTGCATCATTGTCAGCATTAGCATTAGGATTGTTATTGTCATTGTCATTGTCAATAGTATTCTCATCATAAAACAAGAGCCTTTCAAATTCTTGGAACCAATGCAGTTGTTGTTGTTGGTGGTGTTGATGAATTGCGTCAGAGCTACCATCATTATCATTATCATCCTTATCGTGATCCTTGTTGGTGTCGTTGTTGTTTCCTTCCATTAATTTGGTAAAGATTTCGCCTTTCAATTGATTCTTCCAGGCATGTTTCAAGGCTCGACGGCCCAAGAACCGGGAGGGCTTTTGCTTGCTTTGCACAAGGCCATTCCACAATTGCGCCGCAATGCTCAATTCGAGCAAATGTTGTTTGGAAGCGCCCGGTTTTTTCACCATCATGGAATCTGCCATGACCGTGCAATGGATGGGAAAGGTGAATTGATTGAGTGTTTGCAAGATGATCCGCGCCAGCTGCAATACTTGTTGTTGCACACTTTTGCTGTTGCTGTTGCTAGTATTAACAAGCCCGGAAGATGGAATCAATCCCAGCAACGTCTTGGAGGATTCTGTTAAGGTAGTAGTATTAGTTGTTGCCATTGGAACTGACGAAGTAGAAGACAATGTACCATCATCTGTCGCTGACGCAGTCAATACTTTGGCGCATACCAAACTGATATAGGACTTGATGGCAGCATCAATGGTGGGACGATCTTGTGCCAACGATTGGGTCATGTCGGCTTCTTCCTTGGTTGGTGCTGTTGTTGATGGTGTTGTTGTTGTTAGTGGTGGTGTTGCCATATTGTTAATACCGGTACTCTAGGGCTATTATTGTATGATTGCAATGATGAAAGCAGCACGTTTGATGAGGTACTGTATCGGTAGGCAGGATTGCGGCAATACTCTATGATATTTACACCATCCGCTTCGAATGTGTTATTGTGCGGCTCTCTCTCTCTCTCTCGCTAGTTCTCCAAATACTTCACACCAGAAGACGGAGCAGGTAGGTAAAATTATTGAATTATCACTCTGAATCATCTGAAAACGACAGGTGGTCATTTTATGCTACTATTGACATCGAACAAAGATGCAAGTGAGCCATCAAGTGAACCAAGCAGTCGCCAGACGATGAGCGAGTCACCCACGAGGGGGCCTACAAGCCAGCCATCTGCTCGGCCTACCATCAGACCTAGTGAAGTACCATCCAAGAGCCCAAACGGGCGCCCATCTAATTGTCCAACTGTAAGCAATGCTCCTTCGAACGCGCCTAGCGGCCGACCATCTACACGTCCTACCGTTAGCGATGCACCATCGGACACGCCAACGAACCAGCCAAGCAATTGTCCGACAATGACTCCCAGTGACTACCCAACTGTTTCACAAAGCCCTACAAAGTCTCCGACAGAATCTCCGACACGAGTTCCAACGGTCTCACCAACAAATCCACCAACTCGACGACCTACAGAAACATTCAAAATGAAGCTACGAAGCTACTTTGAACTTGGAAGATGACATTGGAATCCTAGTCGAATCCAACAAGGCCGCCAACCAAGCTATTACACAGATTGCAGAGGAGGCCCGAAATTCGGCAACAACAAGAGGCAAGAGTTCCATCTTGTACGATAAGACCTTGTTTTGATTACAAATTTTGTTAATTGAATAACTAATATTTGCTTTTAATGTACATACATTAGAGTTGTAGGTATATGCACTTTGAATTGCAAATTTCTGTCTAGAATCCATGGAATTTCGAAACATTCAATCAATGCAAACTAGAGCCAAGAATCTCATTTCTTTCGCAGCATTGCAAAACAACACCCAAAGTCGATAGATATAGGTATACTGATAACTTTTGCAACATTACCTACTGGTACGTTGGTGCAACATAACTTCTTGCATTCTCCCTGTCGTACACTGCCGCTAAACCTATCCTTCTTCCTGCGTCGTCAAACACTGTCCAGACCAATATTCTATCTATGACAAACAGCTCACCATCAGATTTCACCCGTACAGCATCACTGATATATCCGTACCCGCGAGACTCGATTTCCTTGATAAGGGTTTCGCGATCTTTCATTAACTCAGGAACGGTGGAAAGCCTACTTGCAGTTCGACAAAGATCTTTTATCTCGTAGCCAAAAAGCTCAAGACTCGCTTTGTTCCCATAGTTGAATATGGGGTCAGGTTGCATTCCGTGCGATAGTACGCCAAACCTCTGATTTTCATCAAGAAGATCAGCAGTTGTCACTTCAACATCCTCCGATCTTTCGTTTATCCAGTCAAACAGACCAGTTCCTGAAGACTTTTTCAGAGAACGATCTAGATGTCCAATATGAGCACTCAAGTTATCGATACAACCACCGCTAAAACACTGGTCATATGGATCATCAGCGGCGGAGTTGCTGCCCTTTGCCATTCTGAAGCTGGAAAACCAACATCGATCTTGGTGCCATGTACTTGATAACAGTGCAACGGCATGATGCAAGCCAAACAAACAAAGGAGAAGCGTCATGAGCATATTGTTACCCATAATGACTTGACAGGCGGGAGGTAGATTGCGTTTAATCTGCAAAGTGACCCGCCTTCTTTTCCCAGGGCAGCTTTGCTTCCTCTATACCTTGTTGGTGTTTTATTATTGTGCACGTAACATTTTTTCCAACACGAGATTGCGTCTAAAATAGAACCTCATATATCGTCACCCTACGAATGACAGACGGGGAAAGGTCGAATGCAAGACGATGCAGAAGAGTGCGGCATTGGATCTTGATTGGACCGACGCTCACGCCCGCCAGCCAGCCAGCAGGCATGCGAATCGAATCAATCATTATCATCGTCAAATACCATCATCGAACAAACGAGCGTTCCATGCTGTATCGCAACATTCAATATACCTTCACCAGTATTACATTTTACACCAAACCAAACAGCAGCACTGTAGATACGGAGAAAAGAGACGATACAGTCGGTTTCATTCATCCCTTAAAAGAAAAAATTCAAAATGGAACCAGAAGTAGGAGAAATTCCAATGAAGACGGCGGCGACGAAGACTCCAGCTGTCAAGAAGAATGGAGCGACAGTCAATCGTGGAAAACTGGACGATGATGATGGCAGTGTCGAAGCTCCACCACCACCACCACCACCATCAACAGCAAAAAATGATGGACATGATGTTGAAGCTCCTCCTCCTCCACCACCACCACCGCCACCAGCAACTGAGGAATCATCTTTAATGACTGAAACGAATAGGCAACGACCAAAGATGAACCAGCAATACCACCACCAAGAAGAAAAGAAGGACCAGGATGATCCAGAAGTAGAGAAACAAGAGCAGGCAAAAGACAGGGCAGCACCTGTCAAGGAGGAGGAGAAGCCTATGGATGTCAAAGTCAACGACCACCACCCGACAACGACAACGACAACAACAGCGGAACAAGAATTATCCACTTCGCCGACTCTATTCAAAAAGTACAAGAATATCTTTTGTTGCGTCTTGGTCTTACTTTTGATTGCCATTGTGGCTCTTTTGATTGTTTTCGTTGGCCGAGCCGACGAAACTGAGAAAGCTGCTGCTAGTCATGCTCCCCCCCTTCTCACTCCCGATGGTGATGGAATTCTCGGTGGGGACGGTAACCCCAGCGAAGACGAAACCGCACAACCCACGACACCCAACCCGACAGTCACGCCCGGATTGCCCACCATGGCTCCCACTGGACTGCCCACCATGGCTCCGGCACCCCCAACCCGTACTCCCACGGGAGCTCCCTCCCGGACTCCCACCACTCCCAGTCCCACCCAAAATCCAACGCAATTCCCCACGCCCATTCCCACGATCAATTTTGAACAACCCTTGACTCAATATTTGCAAGACAATTTTGGGATTAGTGCAAATGGGAATGAAAATAATCAGCAAGTCTTGCAAGTCATGTTGGAAGAAGCCAAGGCCGATGGGGGCAATGGTGAGCTTGCCTTGCGACCCAAATTGGCCCAACGATTTGCCTTGTTGAAAATGGATTTGGTACTCTTTGGAACACGCAACAATGGCATTGTCGGTGATTTCTTTGATCCAATTAAGAATGATAATGGTGGTGATTCGGTGGTGGATACGATTCTTATGGACAATGATAATAATAATGATAACGGTCGTCGTCGACAGTTGCAATCCTTGTATTCGAGATGGGGTGCCTTTAATCAAGACGAATGCGCATGGCGAGGCATTACTTGCGATTCCAATCAACAGGTGGTTAAAATTGAATTGGGACAACGCAATTTGAATGGAAGGATTCCGACCGAAATTGGGTTGCTCTCTGCACTGACTTGGCTTGATATTGCAGACAACAAGCTCCAAGGAAGTCTGCCAGAAGAATTGTACAATTGCTTGTCGCTGCAAAAGATTTTTCTCTATAAAAATCAACTCGGCGGCACCATTTCGGAAAAGATTGAACGGCTGTGGAATCTCACTGATTTCAACCTTTCGGTCAATCAACTAACTGGGCCCATTCCACCTACCATGAAATCGGGCGGTCGAGGTATTTTCAAGATTCGTAAGTGTATACGATGTTGTATGTTGTACTATATACTGTATTGTTTGACGATCATGATCCATGATCCATTGCTACAGTATCGTTATGATTGATTCCATTTGGCTCACCACAAAACGTTGTTGTTCTCTATTCTTGTTTTATTTTGACAGGAACCTTTAGCGTATTTGACAACCAAATGACCGGCACCATTCCAAATAACCTCAAGCTACGGCAAATGTTCAATTTTGATCTTGGACGGAATCAATTTGGTGGGATCCTGCCGGACTTCACGGAATATGTTCGGCTACGTCACTTGCATCTGGACCACAATCAGTTCATTGGGCCAGTGGGAAATGTCATTAATGCAGGCGACGGTAGACTCTTGACATTGAGTTTGAACGACAACCAATTCACGGGCGCCTTGCCAGGAGATCACATGTTTATCACGGAAATGGTGCAATTCACAGCACAGAACAATCGATTCACAAGCATGGGAGAAAGAACCTGCTTGCTCAATGTGTTGCAAACGGGAGAACTGCCTGAATTCAAGAGTGATTGTGATATATGCATTTGTGGAAGGAACAACCAAATGTGCCGAAATTGCTACGATTAGGGTATTGTATTGTAGTATAGTGCATTGGAATGGAATGGATGCACTTGTGAAGTGTGCATTGGGAACAATTGTAATTAGACTATAGAACTCTGTCAAATATAGGAAACGGCGTAGCTGGGACGAGTCCTTTCACATCTCCCATCTGTCGGCAGTTGAGGGGGATTGGATCCACATGGATCGAATCTCTTGGCACTTAAAAGAGATATTCATTCGCACTAGTCGGTCGAGGATGCTTCTTCCGTTGTCGAAGACTTTTATGTTGCCATTTAGAAGAAACTTATCAAATCTTTCCGTTCGAACGGTGTGTCAGCATTGTTGCCATGCGGGCTGAAAAGATAAATGAATGAATCAACATCATGTCAAATGAATCTTTGGCAATAAAAAATAATGAAGAATCATGAGAAGAGGAAAAATTGTGTATGAAGAAGAATCATCCTACCTACTAGTCGTAAAAGAAAGATAGAAGAAGACGCTGTCACTAAAGAGGTCAAGGCAGTGCCTGAAACCAAAACGAGAAGATGAATACGGAGTCATTGGTGGTGAAAGAGAGATCAACAGAGAACGAGAACGGTCCAAATCTGTCTGAAGTTGAATTTGCCGATTCCCGTACGGAACAAAGTCCAAGCAGAAACGATGTCAGGAAGGAAGACATTGAAATATCAGCGACGGAAAAGGAGGAGATCGATACGGATCAACCTTTCAGAGAATCGCCTGTGACTGAGAACAAGGAGGATCCAACCAAGAGAAATGCCACAATTGTGGACCAGCAACAAAGCAACAAGCCGGAAATGTATACTGAAAGTAACGACATTGCTGAATTAGGAGATAGTGAACCCCCTGTGGAGCAAAAGTCAACCGAAGGTGTGGACCTTCCTGCTGAAGAGGAGAAGAAAGACGACGAGGAGCTCGTTCGAGACGCTGACCAATTGAAAGAAAGAGCAAAGGCGATGGTGGATGTTGAGTCTCCATCGGAGCAAGCGCCTGCAGACAGCCACAAAGATTCAACCAAAGGGAATGCCATAACCATGGATGAGACAGAAACCAAGAGAAACACCATCAGCAGTGACAACAACGAGTCGCCTTCTGTTGGTCAAGCCGAAGAATCGCGGACGCGGCGTGGAACATGCCGAAACCTTGTATTTAGTGTGCTATTTTTGATATTGTGCGGAGGCGCTTTGTTGTACTTCCTTGTCTTCAACAACAACGCCGATACCACAACCACATCATCACTTTTAAATGATATTAATAGCGGTGGCAGCTCGGACTCATTTTCGCCGAGTTCTTCTCCAAGTACAACCTTGACGGGCAGTACAAATGCTTCAATGTCGAGCGGTCGTCCCACAAGAATCCCGACACGGGCTCCCTCTTTGTTTCCGACCATCAGCGGTGTTCCTGCTATCAGCGATGCAACGTACGCTGTGTCTTCCAGTCAACCATCCAAGCTTTCGTCTGTCAGCGAAAGTCCCTCAATCGGGCCTACCGTCGAATTATCAAAGCGTCCGACGATTAGACCTAGCGAGTCACCCTCGACCGGATCTACGGGGCCTTCGATCCAACAAAGCAATCGTCCGACACCGACTCCCACCAATCACCCAAGCGCTGCGCCATCGGATGGCACTCTTGCATCGACAGGGACTCCTACTGATCACCCAAGCGCTGCGCCGTCGGATGCTACTCTTGCACCGACTCGGACTTCCACTGATCACCCAAGCATTTTGCCATCGGAGGTCGCTCTCGAACCCCCCACAAGGGCACCCACTATTCGACCAAGCGTTGCTCCATCCACGACTACTGTCCAACCAACAAGGACTCCCACCTCGTTACCTTCAGTTGCCCCTTCACAAGTTACACTCGACCCGACAGCGCCGCCAGTTCCAACCACATCTCCTACAGATCTAGCAACGATGCGTCCAACCAAGTCTCCGACAAGAGTTCCAACAACGACACCATCCCGGCTGCCTGTCACCCTGCCTGTCACCCCGCCTCCCACTGCTTCGCCTTCAGTTGCTCCTGTTTCACCAAGACCCACATCTCCACCTACTAGACCTCCTGACCCCATTCCCGAGCTTGGAGTCAAGCTGCGAAATTACTTGGAAAATGACTTTGGAGTCGGAATTGAATCCACCAATGGCAACCAGGCTGTCGCTCAGCTATTGGAGGAAGCCAGGGCAGATGGCGAATTGCCGCTGACACCGAAACTAGTTCAACGATACGCAATGATCAACATGGAATTCGCACTCTTTGATATCAGCGCCAGTGGATTCGTTGATCCAATAGTAAGACAAAACCAGCGCAATTGGGGTGCATTGAATCAAGACGAATGTTCTTGGAGTGGTATCAAGTGCAATGGGAATCGAGAAGTGACAGATGTTAAGCTTTTAGGAAAAGATCTCCAAGGCAGCATCCCAAGTGAGATTGGGATGCTACAGGCGCTAACACAATTGGACCTTGCGAGCAATAAGCTTCAAGGAAGTTTGCCGGAAGAATTATACAATTGCGTGTCCCTTAAGAAGCTATTCCTCTATCAGAATCGCTTGACGGGAACAATCAGTGACAAGATTATTAATTTGTGGAGTCTTACGGATTTCAATCTCAGCAGCAATCGGATTTCCGGTAAGTTTTGCTTCGAAACTTTGGTCACTTGTGTTTCATTTCTCATTTATAAAATGTGTCCACCATACGATGATATAGGGCGCATTCCATCTACAATGCGATCGAACGGTCGTGGAATCTACAGAATTCGTAAGTATGACGTTGTGCCAATGGAACCAATCTGATTATACCCTTCTCATCTTCAGAATTGTTCTTCTTGTGATGTGTTGCATCGCATAACCTTCACAATATATGCTTGATTTCACAGGCACATTTAATGTGTACGACAACCAAATGACTGGAAGCGTAATTCCAACCCTAGATGGAGCCAATCTCAGGCAATTATACTATCTTGACCTTGGACGAAACCGATTTTCAGGAATCTTGCCGACATTCTTGGATTTTGTTCGGTTACGTCACTTACATCTGGACCACAATCAGTTCAGTGGAAGCCTGGGCAACGTCATAAATTCTGGCGATGGTAGGCTTCAAGTCCTCACTGTGAATGACAATAAGCTCACCGGCACACTGCCCGGGTGGCATACGTTCATCACGGAAATGGTTCAATACACTGCACAGAACAATCAATTCACAACCATGATTCACCGAACTTGCAAGCTCAATGTCATGGAAACTGGAGAGATGCCAGAATTTAAGAGTGATTGTGATGTATGCGTTTGTGGGAAAGATGATCAGATGTGTAAAAACTGTTACAACTAATGATGGGGGTATTTTTCAGAGTGTAACTGTTTTAAATACATACATTAGTTTCTTGTCTGTAACAGCATGCATACTAGAACTCTGTAAAAAAACTAAGTAGTTTAGGTGAGCAATTTTAAAGCACGAACAGATTGAACCCTGTACATGTGGTACTGCGAATTTCCGTTGGCAAGCGTGCGAATGCGTTTTGAAAAATTAATGGTGGTATTTTTGGTATTTTTGACCGAAAATAGAAACTACACGACGAAAAATGCATCAATCGATCTTCACCATCCCATGACAAATCAATGTAAAAGACTATTTACCATTAGCAGAAGAAGCAGCCGGTATGAATCATCCTACTCAGCAAGGGACAAACAAAATAACCGCGTCTTCAGACTCCCATCTAGCGCCAGAAACAGAAAAGAAGGAGATGGATCAAAAGGAGCCTGCAGAACAATCGCTCACTGAGAATAAGGATGCAACGACCTTGGACGAGAGTGCTGGCGACGAACCTCCTGTGGAGCTTCCTGTTCCACAAGTCGACCAACTTAATAAAGAAGCAGTGAACATGGTGGTGGATGTTGAGTCTCCTGCGGAACAGGTGCCTACGAACAACGACAAAGATTCAACCAAAGGAAATGCCACCGACGAACATGAAATGGAAAGCAATGAAAGCACCAGCAAGGAACAAAGCGAAGGAAGGGCTCCTGTTTTTGAAAAAAAGTCAGCATCGTGCGGAACGCCTATCAAACTAGTGTTTGGCATGGTCTTATTGGCGTTGTGCGCAGGTGCAGTGTTGAATTTTTTCTTTTTTGACACTACTGATACTGTCCTCAAAACATCACGTTTCAATGCTACTGATCCTGCCAACAGTTCGGGTCCAAATCCAACTATCATCACAAGCTCTCCAACGACAACTAGTCCTCCCACAAGAACTCCCTCGAAATCTCCCACCATGATTCCTACTATCAGCGGTGTTCCGACTGTCAGCATTTCGCCAACGATGAGGCCTTCTAGCCAACCATCCAATCGTCCAACATTAAGTGCATCGCCATCTAGCAAGCCATCAAGTGGACCAAGCAGTCGCCCGACGATGAGCGAGTCACCCACGAAGGGACCTACAAGCCAACCATCCGCCCGGCCTACCATCAGACCTAGCGAAGTACCGTCAAAGAGCCCTACCGAGCGCCCATCCAAACGTCCAACTGTAAGCAATGCTCCTTCGAACGTGCCTAGCAACCGACCATCTACACGTCCTACCGTTAGTGATGCACCATCGGAAATGCCCACAACCCAACCAAGCAATCGTCCGACAATGACACCCAGTGACCGCCCAACTGTTTCACAAAGCCCTACCAAGTCTCCGACAGAATCACCGACCCGAATTCCAACGGTATCACCAACAAATCCACCAACTCGACGACCTACGGAAACGTTCAAAATGAAGCTACAAAGCTATTTGGAAGATGACATTGGAATCCTAGTCGAATCCAACAAAGCTAACCAAGCTATTACACAGATTGCGGAGGAGGCAGATGAGAATGAATCTCTAACACCAAAACTTGTTCAACGATACGCAATGATCAATATGGAATTGGCACTCTTTGATAGCAGCGCCGGTGGAAATTTGGGTCGATTCAAACAAGATGAATGTTCTTGGACTGGGGTCAAATGCAATGGAAATCGAGAAGTGGTTGACATTCGGCTTTTAGGAAAAGGAATGCAAGGGAGCATCCCAAGTGAGATTGGCTTGTTACAAGCGTTGACACAATTGAACCTTGCAAGCAACAATCTTCAGGGCAAGCTTCCAGAAGAATTGTACAATTGCCTGTCCCTTGAGAAGCTATTCCTGTATCAGAATCGCTTGACAGGAACAATCAGCGACAAAATTATCAAACTGTGGAGTCTTACGGATTTCAATCTCAGCAGCAATCGGATTTCTGGTAAGTTCTGCTTCGAAACTTCTGTCTCTTTGTGTTTCATTTCTCATAAATTATATGTCTACCATACGATGGTATATAGGGCGTATTCCATCTACAATGCGTTCCGGTGGTCGTGGGATCTACAAAATTCGTGAGTATGGAACTTGCCTGCATTGTAGCAACAGACTCTGTAGTGCTCCTCTCACCTTCGGTATTTTGTTTCACTTTTTGTCTTGTTTTCATCATTGGTCACTTTGTGTAAAGGCACATTCAATGTGTATGACAATCAAATGACTGGATCATTTCCAGCTGAAGGTTCCAGACTACGCCAGATGTTTTATTTGGACTTAGGACGAAATAAATTTTCAGGGACCATCCCAAGATCAGTATTTGCGACTGAATTTGTCCGTCTACGATACTTGTACATTGACCACAACCAGTTCACGGGAACGCTTCCTTCCGATTTAATGAGCGCCGGAGACAACAGGCTTAAAGCCCTTGCTGTGAATGACAACCGGTTCAGGGGTAAGTGCTATTCGTGTGACGAATCAGTTGGCGTATTTTATTCTTCTAGCATATTAACACTTTACATTCCACTTCGAGCTAGGTGCATTGCCAGGAAATCACATGTTCATCAATGAGCTAATGCAAATTACTGCACAGAACAATCAATTTACAAGCATGGATGACCAAACTTGTAAGCTCAGTGTCTTGAATTCTGGTGAACTGACTGAATTCAAGAGTGACTGTAACGTATGCGACTGTGGAAAAAATGATCAGATGTGTAAACACTGTTACAACTAGGAACTTGGAGGTACCGTATATGCCAATAAAAATAAACCTACAGTAGTACCAGTACCTTAAAAACACTAAATAAGATCCCAACCCCCGGCGCGGTAGTAGTGTTTTTAATCACGGATTTTGACCAAATCGTGCAAACACTCTCGAAGTCGACGAATTCGGGCGTCATGTTTTGGTTACAAGATCATGCAACGAAAATATTTTTTTCTTCTATGATCATTCATCCATACAAGAGACATCGATTCATCATTTCTTCACTTCGATAGCCACCATGGATCCTGAGCTGGCTGCTGCTTTCAAGCGGCGTCGTGAACAAGTACAGGTACACCAAGTACACAATGAACGAAAGACCATCCTCCCAGTGAAGAAGACATCACCAACTTCCACTGCAGTAAAGGAGGGAAAAAATCCAACTTTCAATGACGGAAAAGAAACTGAGCGCTCTGCGAAGAAAGCAGAGAAACAAGAGAAGCGCCGATCATCAAGAAGCCAAAACCGTCAATCCGAAGAAAAGAGTGATGCTGGTCGTAAAGCGAGTACAAATAAAGTGCAGCCCAAAAGTGAAGCTACAGTGACGAAAGACAAGCAGCAAGCAGAAGAACACGCACCTATAAGCCAAAAGCGAAAATCGGAAAGCTCAAATGTGAAGGAACAATCCAGAAGGAAGAGCAAAAGAGAGCAGCCAAAAAAGAGCGATGGTGAAAAGGCGACTACAAGTCTATTGCAACCAAAAAGTGAAGCTACATTGTTGAAAGACACGCAAGTAGATGAACAAGGACCTAATATCCAAAATCGAAAATCCAAAAGTGCTGATGATAGGAAAAAAGCCAAAAGGACGAGCAAAACAGAGCTGCCCAAAAAGAGCGAAGCGGCAGAGGAGACGAACAAACAATCACAACCAATTCTGTCACCTCAAGTAAAAAGTACTGATGTGGACGAAAAGGTCAAGCAACCGAAAAAGGAGCATTGTAGCACACCAGAGCAAACTAAAGTCAAAGCGCAAACGAACGAGAGAAAGCCAAACAGCCCCCAACTGGTTCAATCGAAAACTGTTGAACGAAAGGTTGCAGCTAGTAGTCCAGCGAAGACTTCAGTTGTGAAGGCCCAAGCGCAAATGAATGAGAGAAAGTCAAACAGTTCCCAGCAACTTCAATCGAAAACTTTTGGAGAAATGGGTGCAGCTAGCACTCTAGCGAAGACTGCAGTGACGAAGGCCAAAGCGGAAACGAATGAGGGAAAACCAAATAGTCCCCAACACGTTCAATCGAAAACTGTTGAACAAAAGGGGAACCGTAGTACTCCTCGAGGGCAGGCTACAGTTATGAATAAGAATGAACAAACGAACGAACAAACACAGCGATCTCATTCACCTCATCTGAGCAAAAAGTCCACAACTGGTCAGGAAAAGCACATCAAGAAGACTGCGGTAAAGAAAGAATCACCTAGATGTCAAGATAATCGTGACAAGAAGATTGATCATGTGGATATAGACGAAGAGGCACCAAGGAGCAAATCGCTGGAAACCGATCCAGTGGACAAATACTATGGATGCGAAGGTGGAAATCACACGAAATGGAAAAGGCACAAGAAGAAATTTTGCGGTGCTGTGTTATTGGTGCTCTTGGTAACGCTTGTTTTCTTAATTTGGTCTCTGGTACAATTTCGCGAGAAATACGCCAACCCAGAACGGGGAACAAACAGTGGTGGATTTGCTCCTTTTGATCCATTCTTAGACGATCCCATTGCACCCAGCCCAACAAGTCCTTCCACTCCGCAGCCAACAGTTGTCCCACCAATCAAGATATATCTCGAGGATGAGTTTGGGATTACCATTGAATCTGACGAAGCAAAGCTAGCAGTCGCCCAGCTGATGGAGGAAGCCACAGCAAATGGAGGCAATGGTGAAATTCTTCTTACTCCAAAGACTGTTCAGCGGTTTGCTTTGATGAATATGAATTTAGCATTTGCAAATAGAGTCAGCGGAACTTCCAGGCAGTCTGAAATTGAATGGGGTCAGTTCGGGCAAGACGAATGCGAATGGAAAGGAGTGGCGTGCAACGACAACCAAGAAGTCACTGACATTCTCCTTGGACGACAAGGTCTGGCAGGGACCATTCCATCTGAAGTTGGTTTGTTGCAGGCGTTGACACAAATGGATCTCTCCAAGAACAATATTTATGGAACCTTGCCGGAAGAGCTTTACGATGCTGTGTCCCTTGAGAAGCTATTCCTCTACAAAAATCGCTTGGACGGAACGATCAGCGACAAAATTATCAATCTGTGGAATCTCACAGATTTTGTTCTGCACAGCAATCGGTTGACAGGATCCATCCCGTCGACGATGAAATCAAATTCAAGAGGAATCTTTGGTATCCGTAAGTATACGAAGCTTGTGCGGAAGCTTGAAACCAACTGTCACATTTCGGCAACTCACTCATCATCAATTATCCTATTCATACCTCTCTTAACGTCACAGGATACTTCAATGTTTACAACAACCAAATGACCGGTACCATTCCAGCCAACCTCAAGCTTAGACATCTTTACTATATGGATTTGGGGCGGAACGAGTTCACAGGAACAGTTCCGAGTGATTTGGAAACCGAGTATGTTCGTCTTCGACATTTGAACTTGGACCACAACAACTTCTCGGGCAACTCAGTTCCCATAAACGCAGGCGATGGTAGATTACACTCCCTACTACTGAACGACAATCGATTCACGGGTGAGTGCTGCTAAAACTCTCAAAGAAATGGGTCTTATGTTGCATGTGACGCTGACATCGACTCTAACCTTTTTCATTTTGTTATCATAGGTGCACTTCCAGGAAACCACAAATTCAACACAGAATTGAATCTTTTTGAGGTTCAAAACAATGGATTCACAAGTATGAATGCAAACACTTGTAAGCTTTGGGTGTTTGATGGAGGAGAACTTGTGAATTTCAAAAGCGATTGTACAATTTGCGACTGCGGCAACAAGAGCACCATGTGTGATCAATGTTCCGTGTAATACTGCCATGGACTGAAATGAGATACTTTATGTGGTGAAAAGAGCCTTTATATAAAATACATATCTACAATTACAGACATACTCTAATTCTCTGCCCCATTTAGTATTTTACAGCTAGTACTTTCAGAACTGCTAGCATCACGTGTCCCCATGATAGGGTAGTACAATAGTTATATCGAGTCATTTATATCGAGCCATGAGCATAGTTCTCTAGCCAGTATTGAACTGGAGGAGTGGGGGGAGTAGATGGTATCCAATTCCCATCTTGAGAGGAAGGAAGGTTGGTCTTGGAGTCCTTGACTACAGTAGGATCTTCTTGCACAGCAGAATGGAGTGCGGTATCATCATTTTGTTGGTGTGTGCTAGCGACCGCTGCCTTGTTGAGATTGCCGCTTGTCGCCGGCTTGAGATCCATAGCAGTCTTGGCTTCCCTTTCTTCCTGTTCGTATCTAGCCTTTTTGGAACCCCTTGTGAATCTCGAATTGCTTTGGACGGCTGGATTCCATTCGCCATTGGGTTCCGAATCAGACTTGCGCTTGATTCGACAAATCAAAGTTTCTTGTTGACTTGGAGTATTACTGGTATAGTTCTTGATGCCCCGAGTCGCCTTGCGGTATCGCTTTGTTTCGCATAGGATCGATCCCATGGTGGGACTCTTGTCGTCTGTGTCCGACAAATCCAAGGCTGCCGCTTGGAACCCAATCAGCTCTGGAACTCTACCGCGAGCCGGAACGAGCTTTGGCTCGTCGTCAAAGAATGGATCGTTGGCAAAGATTCCATACTCCAGTAGCATGACATAGAGTTCCTGCCATCCAATGGCAAAATGGATCCCTTGGGTACCCTTTTTCAACACAAGAGATGCGGTCTCCCTTTTGATTTGGCTCTTTTTGATACCAGGTGGAAGTAGTGAATTGTACTGGATGGGGACAAAGGCGTTGCTCGAGCAGTACTTTTCGGGCGGTAGGAAGACGTACCAATACTCAATCTTTTTGTTGTAGAGGCAATGCATTTTCCAGGCAAAAGCAGTCTTTTCTTTTTCATCAAAGTCGTCTACCATGGCTTGGAGTCGATCACGGGGCATGATGGGTGCAGAAACGGCGGTGACCTTTCGTTGTTGGCCGTTGTTGAATACTCCGGTCTTTCCATGTCTTTTCATCTCAGGGACTGTGGATTTACTCATCCTATCCATCTGCTTGCTTTCAAAGAGCCTGTTACCTACCTCGCAGCTTTCCAATTGGAATTCAATGAGATAGATTATCTTCTTCTATAATGTGGGATTGATGATTTTTTCAAATTGTGGCGGGCGGGCAGGGTTTTCGCCGCCTCCAATACGTTCGTCCCAAGCGTCCCGTATCCCGGTACACGTATCTGATATATCTCCCGCCAAAAAACGGGAGATCTCAGAATAATAACACGAATGTAAGTATGAGAATATATAAGCAGACATGAAAAGACGTGCATCAATAACGTTCTTGTACTATTTGATCTATTGCCGCCTCGCGGTATGTGCAAGCCTTCTCCTCCTTGTGGAGTTTCCAAGTGCAGGTCTAGCATTTGACAGCACATCCAAAGCAAGAAAGACATTTGGCAGAAAAGATCGACCAGAACGTTATTGGCAGCCAAAAATAAGACTACAACCTGCTTCTTCTGCATTATTCGCATCGAATCCGCTAGAAGAGGAAATCGCCTCTTGGGCTAAAGATGCCGGTTATGGAGAGGTAGAATCATGTGTCAACTCTGGAAGGTCAGGTTGGGCGTCCTTCTACAAAGTCCATGTCAGTCATCCCCCCAAACCAAACATGGCATTTTTCGTCAAGCATGCAAAATCCCGACAAGCTCACGAGATGTTCGACGGTGAAGCTCTAGGACTGAAGGCCATGTATGAGTGTAGTAGTCATACTACGGTCCAGGATGGCGTTGATGATATCAGGGATGACCAAGGTACCTCCTCGACATCATCCATCGCATCGCTCAAGATTCCTCAAGTCTTTTATTCGGGCGATGTCGAATCATCGGAAGGTAGCAGTTCTGGTTCCTTGCTGATTATGGAATTCTTGTTCCTTGGTCCAAGAAGAGATGATTATGCCTTTGGACAAGCCATGGCCAATCTGCACCTTGCCAATCCAGTGGATACAGCACCAAAAGCTGGAAATCCGTTTGGAAAATTTGGATTCCCGTTGGACAATACTATTGGAGGCACGCCGCAGCCCAATCCATGGACCCACTGTGGCGAGACAAAAGACTGGATTGAATTCTATGGGACCCATAGAATCCTGCATCAATTGGAGTTGGCGGAAGACGAATACTTGATTCAATTATGGAAAGAAGACATTGCTCCTCGTCTCGATCGTTTGTTTGAGGGAATCCAAGTCAAACCCTCTTTGTTGCACGGAGATCTGTGGAGTGGAAATATTGGCTCTGTCAGGATATTAGAAGGTGATGGAGATGGTAGCAAGCCCACGATTTACGATCCTGCTTGCTATTGGGGGCACCACGAGGCCGAATGGGGCATGTCTTGGTGTGCTTCGTTAGGATCGACCTTTTGGGAGGGATATCGCTCCATCCTACCGGAAGATGAAGGGTTTTGGGATCGAAAACCCCTTTACGATGCCTACCACCAACTGAATCATTACAACTTGTTTTCTTCGTCAGGATATCTTAACAAAGCACGACGGCAATTGGAAACAGTGAAGAAAGCATTGGATGAGAAGAAGGAATGATGGCAACAGGACGACGAGATGTTCTTGTGACTCCTACTAGAAAGCAGAGTTTGCTGAAACTGGCATACAAAACAGCGTCCGATATTATATAGGTAGATAAAAGAAATGCTACTTGGAACTCCTACATCTGAAAATTTTCATTAGATAGACTATTGAACAGAGGACCTGGTCCCTCCAACTATAATTGCATCTCTTCGTCGTTATTTTCCGATGGCACTTCCATTGTTCGTTGGATCCCCAATCCAATACCATCCGAATCTAATATACAATCCAGATGCAATGCATCCAGTGGATGGATGCGTTTTGTATCCTCCAGACTCGCTTTCGCTACACCTGAATATCGTGCCAATACCAGCAGAGGCTGTGCTTCTGGTTTTGGTGCCAAGGTTGCCCGACCGTCATACCATCCCGTCAACGAGACCAAGTTGGTATTCCCTCTAACATCCAAGGCTCGTAAAAGAGGCAAATGGCGACCCAATGCTCCCAACAAGGCTGCGTCCACCATTTGCTCGCAAAAGGGAATTGATAAGCTTATGAGTGATTTGGTTTGCGAGAGCATGGCGGCCTTGAACCCACCGGCAGTCAGTAGAGGAGCAAATCCCATAGACAGCCCCTTCCATCCTCGCAAACTAGTAAGCTCTTGCAACAGACCATCTGTCCACCCCAGGCCACTTGCGTACAGTTCGTCCAGGTAAAATAGGTTGGCACAGGCTTCCAAGACTGCTTGCGGCTTGAGATTATAGGCTCCACCAATATCCAAACTAGTCAGCTGGGAGGTATATTGTCCAAGGTGTTCTAGTGTCTTACTCGTCAGTCGACGGCAATTTTTGACGGAAAGTCGCTTCAGATTACTGGCATCCTTCAAAATTGGAAACAGTAGATCATCCGTCAGTGGTTGAATACCAGTCATGTCCAAGACTGCCAAATGGCTGGCCATTTTGGATTCCACCATGGCATTTACAGTATCTTCGCCTAGTACTGAATTGTGCAAACTCAAGGAACCAAGCTTGACAGACACTTCTTGTTCGCGTCTTGCTTTTTTCTTGGGTGGAGTTTGCTTCCTACTCTTGGACTTGACAACAACCGTATTGGATTCTTTCTTGGCTAGTACATTGGCCTTCCACTCTCGAAAGAAGTGAACACCGAGCTTGCAATCATCCATTCGGCCCAACTCTACGAGAGAATCAATGAAGCATTGCAAGACGTCCAGACTAGGAGAACCGTACTCCATTTGCAGGACTTGCGTTTCTCGATCATCGGATGACCATATTCCAATCCAAGGATGATTCAAGTCAACATCATTGGCTTGTTTGCGACGCACTGCACCTTTTCCTATTGCGGGAGTGCGATTAATTTTGATTTCACCGTCGAAACTTTGCAGCAACTTGGATGCCGAAGTGGGATTTTGTGGAAGGTTATCATCTTGTTTGGCATTACTATTGTTGCCTCGCTTATTTTCATTCTTTTTCTTCTTGCCCTTATTGGGATCAAACGTACGTTCTGCACTGCATCCGAGGCCTCCGACAGATCTCAAGCATAGTACTTGCAGCGAAGGTATTTCTCTCATTGTATAGTATTTTTATGGTACAGTACAGTAGTGGAAGGTCTTATTCAGTTGACACAGGTGGCTGACGAGATGATCTTTCAATGTGTGAGAGTAGATGATGATGATGGATCGAGGATGAGGTGAATTTTCAATTTTCAATTTGGTACCGTAAAACAAAAACTGCCGGACGAGCAGACGACAATTGAAATCCCCGAAATAACTACAGTACCTTCCTCTATCCCCTTTTCGGTTTCAGAAATAATCATTCGAGGGAGTCGTTCATTGGAGTGACGATTTCGATTGATTGACTAAATAACTGATGACGACATCATCCTCACTTTCATTATTCTGTATTCGGCATGCATTATCATTCTTCTTTTTCTGTCGACAGGAAGAGGAGGAATCAGTCACATACACACACAAGCGGCTGCCATGAATTCCATCCAACACATTCTAATCTCATGTATCTTATTCGCATACGTTCCTGCTTGTAACTCGTTTGTCATTTCTCAACAACAATCGGCATCATCATCATCATCATCATCATCATCAGCATCCTTGCAATCAATAATATCATCACACCACGCCACTGCTACTACTACTACTACTACTTTGTCAGTGTCGTCCATCACTTCACCGAAAGATATCGTCATATCCACCACTGACGACGATGCGAGGAGCCAATTTGGGACCAAGGATTACTGGGATGAGCTGTATCAAGGACGTGGAGACTTTCCAGCCGAGGAATACTCTTGGTATTTTGGATGGGAAGGATATGGAAAGCTTGTGAAGGAGCATATCGTTAGCAAAGATTGTGAGATTCTCATTCCGGGGATAGGGAATGACGGCATCTTGCTGGATCTATTGAGGAACGGTTACAATAGACTTACAGCGACAGATTACTCGGAACATGCCATTGAACGACAAAAAGATCTAGTGTCCTATGAGTATTCGGAGGATGCAGTCGAACTGATGCCAATGGACGCTCGACAAATGGAAGGAGATTGGACTGGTCGGTTTGATGCCGTGCTGGAGAAGGGGGCTTTTGACGCCATATATCTTTCTGGTGATGGGAACCTGGAACAGAGTGTGAAAGAAATCGAACGAGTATTGAAACCAGGTGGTGTCCTCTTGAGTGTCTCCGGCGTCGTTCCAGATGAACTTCGTAAAGAAGTCTTTCGAGAATGGGAATGGGTCAGGGATGGAAGCCACGAACTGAAGGCTGGATGCTTTGTGCTGAAACGCCCAGCAAAACGATGATCTACAGTAGTAGGATTCATTATTCTAGACTTCGCTTTGTGAACACGCCAGTGGACATTTCAGTATATCATTTTGTCTATCACAATCATTATAATATTTTAAAATTAACCTTTTATAAACAGGTTTCATACCATTTTTTTTAAAAGATATAGCTCTCTCCTCGTTTCGTTGCCGCAGATATTATTCCCCGTTTTTTTCGCATACTCTTAAAGGCCTCCCGTCGAACGCTCCCAAGGACATCTGCACAGTATCGCAAAATTGTATGATGTACACCATCCTCGTCTTCTTCCATTCGCCGTATAATGTAGTCATATCCACAGCTTCTTGACGAATCATCCGCGACAATGCCTCTTCCCAATTGAACCTCCACTCCTCGTTGTTGTTCTTCCTTCAAATCTTGTTCAATAACGTCAATGACTTGAATTGCAGTTCGCGCCCACCTCGCAAAATGGTGCAAGACTTCCTTTTCTCCGCGGACTTGGATCTTCCCATGGCGCACATTGGAATAGGGAGGATACATTCGCTGGTCCAAAAGATCTTTGCGATCTTGACTCAACGACGTTGCGTAACCGGCAAGCGCTTGCGATATTATGTGCAACAGCTTGCGCATCACCGCTCGTTCGTTCGTGAGACTTAGAGGGTGTCGAATGTCACGACAACTGCGGTAATATCCAGAAGAGCTTCTGGAACTATCTCCCAGAAAGAGTGACCGCATTTCACTGTTGACTGGAGAAGTAATGGCTTGGAGTTCTTCCGCACTGCAGGTCATTGCTCGCAGCAGACTGAACAGCAGCCTTGTGTTTTCATTGTTGGAAACACAAATGCGTACTCGTTTTGTGTAGCTTGGAGATTGCTTGTAAGGGTGCTGCTGCTGTTGTTGTTGCGACAACGAGGCACCAGGAGCCATCATACTACTAGTAGCATGGGGTGGAGTAGGATAAAAGGAGGAAGAGGAGGACGAGTGATGTGGAGGAGGTACCTGCAAATGAGAATAACCGGCTTCTCCTCTCATCCAAAAGTCCAATCGTTGTGCATAAGTTGGATCCTCTGTATCCAATGCTAGTTCCAGAGGAACCTCATTGGGACAAAATCCATCCAACTCGCGATTGTCTTCCACCGCAAATCCATAATTCAGTAGGAATCGGTGATTGCACTTTTGACCATAGGAATCGTAGACTTGTGATCCAGCAGGAATGGGTTGTAGGCTGCAAGGTATGATATGGTATGGTATGATAGAATAAGATATGATATGCGGACAAACAAACAAAGAAACAAGCAAAAGAGTTAGATGCAATCAGAGTATGTATGCATGTCCACTGGCAGAATGAGAGCACATTCCCCACACTCCCCCCACACACAATATACTATATACTATCCCCTAGTACAGTAATACACTTACGTGGTAATGGTAAATGCTTGGCGATCTTCGTCAAAGGTCCATTTGGTTTCTCTCGGTCGAAAGTGATTGAGCATATCCGCTTGCGGAACCAAGGCCGAAGTCCGGTGACCATCAATTTGCAATCCAAAGTTTCTGGAACAAACGCACATGCGGGCCCATTTGAATTCATCGAGGGTGCATATTTGGGCCAGCGGAGCAATTTGGCAAATGGCATGATAATCTTCGGCAATGGCCTCGTTCCGGTCCTCAATCTGTTGAAGCAAATAGGATCCTTTGAGATATTCCAATTCCTCCGCATTCCAAAAGATGGGCATATTGCGGAGTGTTGGCGGAAGAATTTCGTAGTACGGATGATAGAACGATTTTTCGCCATTGACCTTCCGATCCCAGAGCAAGTAGACCATTAGAAATATGTGTTTGGGAGCATCCAAATCCAATTCCGATCTCAAAATAGCTTGTCCAATGGGAGTTTCTTGACCCATTTCGACCGTGATCAGACAACGCCGTGGAATGGCCATACAAACAGTGTGGGGTGGCAAATGTGTCTTGGCATGGACTCCTCGTATTTCCGATTCTTCGTCGCCCGATTTGTTGAGCGTCGGTGGTTGTTCCTTTTTCTCTTCTTCGTTTTCCGTTGCCGTGGGTGAATCGTATTCCCGCAATTCCAACTGCATTTGTAGTGTATGTAGCAGTATATGTAGTAGAGGAGAGAGTATATGAGTCATGATGTAGGATGTAACGAATACAAAACACACACACACATGCACGCACACAAACACACGCACACACACATATAACACAAATAGAAACTTACATATTCAAATTGTGCTCCATTCTGCCGCAACCATTCTTCAAAGCGATCATACTTGTCCTGTGTTGGGCGTTCCTCCACCAATGGTCGGTGCTTTCGGCGACTGTACAACATGGACGCTTTTTCCTTGAATCGTTTAATCTTGATAAAATGTTCAATGGTTCAATGGTTCAATGGTTCAACGATGCACTTCCCCCAAAATAAAATCAAACGAAATTGCGCGCCCAACCAGGAGCAAACGAGGTAATTGCGTAGTGTTGCTGTTGCACTCTTTTATTTTGGATTTTGGCGTTTTGTTTGGTTGCTCCAAAAGTATTATACAGTTTGGTACTGTAGAAATGTGGTATGGATCGAGACAATGAAAATGACCACCAGACTTTTTCGTTTTTCTTTGTTCCAATCAATTTTGTGTTTGTATTGTGTGAAATGATGATTATCAGTAGAGTGTGTGTGTGTATTTGTTGGAAAATAGAATGGTACAGAGAGAGAGAGAAGCTGAAGCAAGACACGGAAAGGAATGGAGATATTCCTTTAGGTGTTGTTCTGCAGTCAGTCGATACAAGTACAATCTGATCGCGATGGGAAGAAAGAGAAAAAAAAGGAGACACAGCCGTTTGGCATTTCGTTTTCACCGAGGATGGAGGCAGGGAGACGAGAGAGGAGGAGGAGTTTGTCCCATACTGTACGTGTACCGGTAGGTAGTGGCATGCGCGCAATATAATACCGTAGAAAAATGCGGTACATCAGGATTCGCATATGCCAAAAAAATATCACATGCCGATTGACGACGTCTCTGATGGTCGTACACGTACAGTACACGTACCAGGTACTGACCATCCAAAAGCTTTGCAAGAAGAGGGCAACAGACAACATCATTCTACAGTACGTTCTACTGTGGTTGGCGTGAGATCCTCCAAGTCTACTGGGATTGTGGAATGGCTCCAAGCAGATTAGCAGGCACTGGTAGCAACAATCTTCTTCTGGCTTCTGGCTTGGCATTGTTATCGTATGTTCCATTTCAATACGTGGCCAAAGGATCCTTGATTGTGTGCGCCATTTTGTTTGTCTTGGATCCAATTCCACCACTATCGCGTCTGCTAGCGCTGATATCCTTGTTGGTAGTTTATTTCTTGTCCAAATTGCATAAACAGGCAGTCCTTGCAGCGGAACAAAACGAGGAGATTACCATTGTCGCTGGTGGTGTGGAAGAAGAGGAAAACAATAACGACAACAACAACAACAACAATAAAAACAACAATAAAAACAACAACAATAACAACACTGCTGACGAAACCAACCAAAGCAGCAAACCAAAGGGAGACTAACGAGAAACAACGATATATTTGTTCATATTATTTAGCATGGCACGAAAGACTAGCAGTCGAAAGGCTCGAGGCAAGGTTGCTAACTCAAGCAATGAAGTATTGGATGGATCCGAAATCTCAGAGGGTCGGCGTCGTCCTCCTCCTTCTCTAAGGCATCGCAAGAAAAAGAACGAAACAGTAACCGCTGCTGATACTACTGCTACATCTGGAAGCTCGACCACGTCTATCCCACAGGAAACAACAACTGATGTGATGGACTTGGCGAATGATGATAATCATGCTCCAAACGGCATTGCTGATGCGGTTGCAACGGATGCCACCTCTTCTGCTACTGCATCCCATGGACAAAGCGTCAATGGCGGCATGACCACCACCACCACCACCACCAACAACAACAACAACAACAACAACAACAACAGCCATACTCCCGACTGTCAGTGTTACTTGAGACGCCTGAATAATAGCTTGTTTCTGCCTCCTTCCTTGTTGATGATGGATGACTACGAAGCAGCAAACAAAGGAAGCAAGCGATGAGATTGAACCATTGATCCATTGATCTATTGATTGATTGATTGATTGATTGATTGCTAAACCATTCATCCACTCTGCAGCTAGAATAGAATAGAAAAGAATAGAATCAATCATCCTTCCTTGACGTACGTTTGCAGCAATGCTTTGTTTCATGTATGTATTGCAATAGATACTACTAGACAACAACAAAACATAATGCAAAAGTACTGTAATCATTATTGTACCATAGATTATATACATATATATACATGTATTCTATTACAACCTAGCCCCACCCCCGTCCTCTTTTTTATTCCATCATCATGACTGCTTCAAATGGTCTTCCAGCACGACTTCCCACGGAATGGGATCGTCCTTTCCTTCCGGATCCGTACCATAATAGATGGCAAATAGTTCATCTGCCGTCATGTCTTGTCGGCTGTACAAGTTCACCAACTTGCTATTGGTCAAGGTCACGTACAAGACACCAAACTTTTGCCATCGACGAACGTCGCACTTGGCCACCAAGTCCAAAATTTTCAATTCCTCCTTACATGCAACCACCCGTTGCCGCAACAGTCGAACCAACTCGTAATCTTCCATCAAACACTGATGAGGATATCCACCCACATGCTCAAACACATAGGTTGGCACGGACAAACATTGATCCCCATAGGGCAAATGAAACCAACGTGACCTCCAGTTGGCGGTGGTTTCCACAGCACGAATGCCAGGAGGAAAATAGCCGTTCTTCTTGTTGTTGTTGTCGTTGTTGTTGTCGTTGTTGTTGTCTAGTACCGCCACATTGCTCGTATCAATGGCAAAACTAAAGGCACAAGCATTGGTGACAATTCTTTGTGGTGGTGGTGGTGGTATTGACATGGAGGTTGTTGTTGCTGTTGTTGTTGCTGCTGCTGCTGGAGGAAGGGCGTCCAAGATGGCTTGATTCCATCCACGAGCCAACCGGGTATCCGCATGCAAAAAGGTCAAAATCCTGCCATTGGCAATCTGCGCACCATGATTGAGACAGGGTCCACGTCCTCCTCCCAAATCCGGAGTACAGGTAATCTTGGCAAAATTGGGCATTTTGGATTGGTGATGACGACCATCTTTTACCACCAACAACAAGGATTCGTCCATATCGGTGCAATGGGCATGCACGACAATCACTTCCATCTTGCAACGACGATGGTTGGTGGTGGTGGTGGTGGTTGTAGTAGTAGTAGTTGTTGTTGTTGTTGTCGCCGTTGTTATCAAATCATGTGCTTCTTGCAGCTTTCGAAACAATTCATGACCATTTTCTCGATACGCAGGGACAATTACCGAGATGTCATGGTCGTACTTGGATTCATCATCCTCTTTCAAAGGAAGTTGGACCAACGTGGGCCAGATAGTGGTCAAGATATGAATCAAATCCATGCTTGTTTCGTCAGCAGTAGTGTTTAACAATGGATCTTGTTGTTGTTTGACCATGAATAGGGAAACCAATCGTCTCAATATGAGATCGGATCGGATGAGCATCACCAATTCGTCCCGTGGCCAAGAACCCGTCATCTTATTGACTGCTTGATGATGATCCATCCTCAGCAACTTTTGCAGATACTGATGGAGCTGCTGATATCTTTCCAATGTCGTCTTGGCAAGAATTTCCTTGCGACTGTGTGTCGTTAAAGGAAGCAGAGGACTTTTGGTGAATCGAACCGTCGATTTGGATCCTCCTTCTATCGTTGTTTGCGAACTGGAGGACGCCGCGAGAAGTGCAAGTGACGATGATGAAGCCACCATTTGGCGGACGTAATGATAACAGGCAACACTTAAACAACTTATTGCCAATCCCCAACCTAAAAGCGATTCGACCACAAATGGCAATCTGGATCCTGGGCCACCAATCCATGGTTGTCGCCGAATAAGGTCCGACAGGTTATGTTTCTTTTCGGTACCCTTGTTCATTCTTCTTGTTGCATATTTTTATTATATCGATACTACACGGCAAAGCTGACGGGTGGTGCTTTTATGAATGAATACCACTGACCAACAATGACAATAACGTTGGGTATCTATGGTGTGTAAAACAACGAGATCGATTTCGATTATGATGCGTTGTGGATTTGCTTTGCAAATTTGGTGAAATTCGATTCGTATGACTCAGTCAATCGAAGGGGTCGATCAGGGACTTTCAACAAACATTATTTCAACCGCAAGACACAAACAGTGCAATGAAAATGACAACGATGAAGAAACGAAAATTCCCATTCTCTATTTCCACCATGTTCACGTTGTCATTTTCAAGGAGGTTATGCACAGTCCTGATGATATCACTGGCATGGCAATACATTCACCAGGCAGTGAGTATGACTTCACTCATGGATGACGTATTGAACGACGCCGACACCGACATCATGGCAGCACCCTTTGATCCAGAAGCCTTCCAACAATGCGTCAACAGTTCTGGTTTCAAGTTCCGACCATGGGATCCTCACAGCAAGAGCGCTATAAGAGGCCACTTTATGTCTACAGTCGAAGCGAAGAATGATCAGCCCATTGGATTTGCGACCCATCATGATTGGATTCTTGGAATACGGCCATGGAAGAGAAATCTAAAGGTGGTTGGACCAGATATTGCTTGGGGGTACACGAATCGATTGCCGGACAGTATTTTCATTCAAGTCTTGCAGCAGCAACGGTTCCACGATCATCTATTACCATGCATACCGAAAAATCATCGCTTTGTCCTTGTGACAGGAGACGACGATCGATCGACACCCCGGCAGTCTGACAAACGATACGAACCAGTCATGAAACCTGGAACTTGGGACTCTTGGTTGAAAGACAAGCGGATATCACATTTATTTGTGGAACATTTGGATTCACCAGCGCCTGCCAGTCAAGTCACTCCCATTCCGTTGGGATTGAATCCCCGAGAATTCAAAAGTTTCACGGACGAGGCGGCTGTCAAAGAGTTGGAAGGTGCCGTGGAGATATCCAAGCGCAAACCCATTAGTGTATTATTTACGAATCGAGTTCGGAATGGAGATCAATGGGTAGAGCGGGGTCAAGCAAGGGATTTGTGCGAAGCATTGCCTCATTGTACAGAAGCTAGGATTGATCAGACAAATTTTCTACGAGAAATCAAGAACCATACATTCTTGATTTGTGTTCACGGTGGAGGTGTGGATCCAAATCCGAATCTATTCCAGGCCCTTATAGCTGGGGTCATACCAATCATGGCACCCTTCCCGGGTGACTCCATGTACAAGGGCCTGCCAATAGTGGTGACGGATGGGAAATGGAACGATCCAAACTCCAAATTTTTTTCACCGGACTACTTGTCAGCCCAATTGGATGAGCTAGCACCTTTGTTTGAAAATCCAGAAAAGCGGGCCGAGGTGGTCGAACGACTGACTATGAAATATTGGTGGAACAAGGTGGAAATTGAGATCAACAAGAATAAACGACTATTACTCCCGTAATACCAACTTTTGTCCCACAAGATTGGAAAAGAAGAAATCGCATTGTTTTCTGACTCTTCCGAGACAAGAGTACGGAAGTTCTGACAGAGAGCTGCCTGGAATGACTTCCAGACTTCCTTACAAGACGAAATGTTTGCCAACAAAATCCGTTCATTCTTCGCATACCTATGTATTGAAAATTGGTTTTCAGAGGAGCATAATACAAGTACTGGTAACTGGGATGGATCATTTGCTGGGTGTGATGCTCATATGTAAGAAGAGAGAAACGACAAAAACAGAACGACGGAGAGCAACAGTATCACGAAATGTACTACCAACTTTGGTCTAGATGATGTCTATTATAGTTGCGCAATAAAACAGAATTGCAACGACTCGACGATCGGGGGTGTTCTGTGGACTTTTGTGCTGAACCGGTATATTCTACTTAATGGCTGGGACGAAATACGAAATGCAAAACACTATCGCCCGCCCGCAGGCGCGCGCATGCCTCTACCTTTGTCACCATATTCGTTCCATGCATAGCAATACTGCAGGAGCGGACCTATTCTATCTTAGAGACATGGTTGTTGAACACTCATCCTTCAATATTGATACTTCAAAGTATTCATTGGTACAGTGTTAATGAACAAGAGTGCAGTTATCTGGCATTACTTTTATCGAAGCTGTAGGTGTTGATAGGAATATCTGAATCGATCTTCAGAATCACTCAGTTTTTAAAGATTCTGGATAGCCATGGATTCACCTGTGTTGATTCCAAGATTGATTCCAGACTTGTCAGCACAAGACAATGGTGATCATAATCATCCGCCTAGCACCAGCAGCAAGAAATATTCAAAATTTAGTGCTCATAAAGTCAACGTCAACCGCAAATACCGAGCGGTTGCAAATGTAGTGAATACTTCCAAACAGCGAATAAGAGCTTCTTTCAAGTCTCGAGCTGCACAGTCCTCCTCTTCGTCATCTTCTGCATTGACGACGACGACAACTGCTATCAGTAGCAACAAGTTCCAGCAACTCAATCCCAAACAACACCTGCAGAAATGGATGCAACCGAGCGAAATAAAACGCAAGAGAACCCTCAACCAGCGGCTCCAATCTCAATTTGCCGAGATCCAGGAACAAAATCACGATTTGCTCCAACAAATTCGAATGGAAAAGATGGACTTTTCACATCAACGAACAGAGCTTGAACGAGAACGTTTGGAGTTAGAGCGAAGCTTGGGGCTAAATGTTAATGGTGACGATGATCCCAAAAGCACTCGATCCCATCATCAAGACGCAACGGGAGGCCAACAACAACGAAAACAAGTGGAACAAGAACCGACCCGAACAATGAAACCGGGGATCAGGAATGTTCCTACTCCTGATCCTAGTAGTAATAAACGCTTGCCATTCGAAGCATCGTCGGGAGATCCCATGGTGTTTTCAGATGAATCTAAAACGGATCTTTCCACAGAAGTCGCTGCCAGCAACTCAGTAATAGCTGCTAGCAGTGCGCCAGTGAAGGAGGACGCGAATACCCTCAATACTACCAACGCAAATAATAATCATGATGACGAAGAGGTGCCAGAACAGCAGCAGCAACAACAAATTGGTTTTTCAGACGAAACCAAGACGGAACTGTCTGCAGAAACCTTTTCCAACAAGTCACTGGCAGCTGCTAACAGTGTGCCAGCTAAGCAGGGCGCGACTACTACCAAGACGGCACTACCCGCAGAAATCTCTGCAAGCAGTGCGCCAGATGAGGAAGATGCGACTACTACCACCGCGAATTGTGACGATGATGACGAAGAGGCACTAGAACAGCAGCAACGACCCAAATTTTTTTCTGATGAGTCCAAGACCGAGCCACCCGTAGAAGCCGCTGCCAATATTGTGTTAGATGGGGAGGATGCGAATAGTACTGCCAGCGCAAATGATGACGATGATGACGAAGAGGAGCCAGAACAGGACCACCTACAGTCTGGGGATTCATTGACTGATCCGCGTCTTCAGATTCTAACCTACTTCAACACTGTTTCAGCAGAGGAGATCGTAACTTCCTCGCTAGCAGCATCGCCATCTGTTGCTGAAGATCCAACAACTTTACAGTCTGAGCGGCCTCCCGTGATGAATGGTAAGGAAAAACCGTCTTCTTCTGAATCATCTGTGTTTACTATTTGGAGGCCGACATCGGCCGAAGCAATCCGCAAAATGGTCGAAGGCGAAGGAGTCGGGAAAGGCCTTGAGATAAAAGGGAAAAGTTCTAAGGCGGGCGCCCTCTCTGGCTTTGTCCCTTATCTGCAGATTAACAAAGAAGAACACAAGTCTAAGGTCAGAACGATGGAGCGAGGTGGTCGAACACGAATCTTCTTTGCGACAGAGAAAGCACGAGACGCAGTCTTGGATGATCTTGGGCCACTTCAGAATAACATTCTCAATGCCGTGCAGGATGCCAAGCGAACCGTCAGACACAGTGTGATACAGGTGCTGTATGTTCCTCATCACGCAAAGAAAAAGGTGAAAAAGGCGGGCAAGGTGGCCAAGAAAACGGCCAAGAAAACAGCCGCCATGGCAAGCAGCACGGTGTCTCTCGCAACTAACACCGTTTCGACGTCTGTTGTGACGGCCGGTAATGCTATCCATAGTGGTGCCTCGAAAGGATTATCGCAAGCAGGGGGTTCTGTCTCAAAGCTCTCTCAGCGAACATTAAACTCTGTATCATCTGCTGGCGGGGCCATAGCCAACTTCACCAGTCCCGTTAGCACCACTGTAGCCAAAGCGACCAATCCCGTTGGTAATTCTGTCGCCCATTTCACCAGCCCAGTTCGAAGCGGCGTCAAAAAGGGCGTGACCATGGCTGCTGGTACTGTAACAAGCTCCCTTTTCAAGGCTGCTAAGGGAGTCTCAAACGCGAGGGTCTCCGTCACGGATACTGTAACAAGTTCAGTGTCAATGGCTGGGAAGGCGGCAAAGAAGACGGGTAAGGTGGCAAAGAAGACAGTCACGCAAGCAGCTTCCACCGTTTCAACGACTGTCGCAGATCCTGTCGCCGGCAGTGTCGTTCACGTTGGTAGCAGCATCCAAAGGCGTGCGTCGATGGTGGGCGCTCAAGCGAGCAGCACAGCCAAAACAGCAGTGAGGGGGATGGGGATTTCGAATGGGGAACAAGACGATGAAGTAGAATTTGCATTGAAACGACTGTTATGGGATATGGATGACCCTTCCATACGAAAGATTGATGACTACAGCCCCCGGTGCTACGGTATTGAGCTCCCAGATCGTCTCCTTTGGCAGGCATTCGTTGTCGACAGCGACATTTCGCGGCCAGAAGATTCCCGATGGTTTACTGGACGTCCATCACAGCCAGCCTTTCAAGATATGAACCTCATTGCGATATCCAAGTCAAGAAAGAATCAAAAGAAGACCAAGAAAAAGAAGAAGAAGAAAAAGAAAGGGGTGGCCGAAGACCCGCTGGTTGTGCTCTGGCAAACCTGCACCGGTGATGGCGTCGATGACAATCCTTTGGATCCGAGAGGTCTTGTTATGGCCTACGAAGAATGTGGACGAGTAAGTCCAGTAGTCTCAGATTTCGATTGTTTCACAATGGGAACGAGGCAAATCCGTTATGACGTGCTGCCAGAAGAGCAGATCAAGCTTCTCGACTGGTGCGTGTCAAACATTGAAGACGTCCTGGATCGTCAAAACTCTTCGAAGGATGCGACGTGGACAGATCGGTGGTTGGACGTGTTGAAATCTAGCGCAAAGAAAGGGTTTCATCCAGAGATCCCTAAATACGGCTTTGGTGATGCCAAGGTAAGGCACGAAATGTGTTACGCGGTGCGAGTGATGTTGTTCTGTTCCCTAACGTATACTCATGTTTTGTCTACTCGATACAAAAGTCATACGACATTGTTGAAAACGCCGTCGACTTCCTTCAAGAGAGTGGGGCAGTTCGGCACGGAGCCGAATGCTTCAACTTTTATTTTCCCCAAGATCTTGATGACGAGTTTCTAATCGTGTCCGAGTCTCTGCCCGACGATCCGAAGTGGCGCTACGTGGGCGTGGAAGAGTTGCTGGACTTTCTTTTTGAACGCGTGAAAGAGGGTTACACCTTTCCTTTGAACCCGAAATGGGTGCTGTGCGACGACGGAAGGTGGAAGAAGCTGTTTGATTGTCTCCTGACTAGTGAGGCGCCGTTTGTGCAAGAGTCTTTAGAGGCGTGGATGCCACAGAGTGTTCGTGACAAAATCGAGGCGATCCGGGTGCGTCATCCCGATGGGTTTGTTTCGGACAAAGCAAGAGACGACGAAGTTTGTGGTACAGAAGCTATGGACTTGGCCATGCTCAACATTGATCGATACATGATTCTTCGTCGCGCCCGGAACAAACTCTGGCTCATGGGCTTCTTCCTAACGCTGCTGCGGACTGTACGAGAAAGGCGTGCAGGGTTAGAGGTCGACAATGACGAAGATTCCGACGAGGAAGTAGGATCGCAGGAATCACAGGAAGAGGGAGAGGGTTGGAATGGTGGGGACGAAAGCGATGAACTGTCTGAAGAGACTGACAGATAGCATGAAAATGGAACTGTTGGGATCCGCGCCCCTCTCCAGCAATAGTTCCGCTATTTTGGTGCGCTGTTCAACGAAAACCCTAAGCAGACCGTATCAATCCAGTGACAGACACACAATATGCGCACAACTTGATACTGGTAAAATGAGATTCTGACTATCAAAATCTGAAGTTTTAAAAATACTGAATAGTTGCAGTAGATCCACTCAGCCCAATCAAGCCAACGGATACCTTCCTCGAGTCTAAGGCTTTGATTCGCCAGAATAATAAACATTACAGAAGAGTCGTCGTCCTTTATCTTTCTTCCCCACTATCCTGCTGTTGCAATGATCTCGACACAACTTCTCGCTGCGTCATTCCTGGAGCATGCCGTTGATATTGCGTTTCCGGCTCGCCATGACAATAGTTTACCCATCGGGCTGCCACAAAAAAGAAATCCGACAATCGATTCAAATATTTCAACGCGTGAGGATCACACGTCTGATCATCCCTTACCAACGGCAAGACTCGTCGTTCGGCTCGTCGGCAGACAGTCCTTGCCACATGCAAGTGTGCTGCCGCCTTCGCGCCCGTTGGAAGAATGAACGAAGTCAATTCGGGCAACTCCTCCGTCATAATGTTGATCCATTCCTCCAGATCCTCAGTATGCTTTGGATCAAAGCCATCCCCGAGGCCATTGGCCTGGTACTCTTTGGATGGTTTGGCAATGTGCGACCCAATGTCAAAGAGTCGACTCATGACACTCTGTAGAAGAGAAGAAAGATTTCCATAATCAATGTCCTTGGAAAGATGGGCATCGACGACGCCCACCACAGAGCACAACTCGTCCACTGTGCCCATGGCTTCAAAATTTGCATCGTCCTTGGGTCGTCGTTCTCCAGTTCCCAGCATTGAGGATCCACCATCGCCCTTGCGTGTGTAAGGAACATTTTTGGAAGTAGTAGCTTTGGTAGAGAAAGATGATGATGCAGATGATGATGCAGATGACGATGGTAATGTTGCTAGTTTGTTTGGTGAAATAGCCTGACGATCCTTCCTTCGAACATATCCTCGTCTCTTGGGTTTGACAATATTGCTATTCTTGTATTTCGCTTCTAGCTCGATATCGGTAAGAGGAGGCAATGTTGCTTCCATGACGGGAGTCCCATTTTGAATGGCTTGAATGAGAGAATCGGCTGCTTGTCTATCTCCTGACCGTAATTTTGCGGGACGTCTCGGTACGCCGGGGACTGATTCAAATCCGTAGGGACAATGCCGGCATTTGTTGCCGCAACAGTTCCCTCGCTTCAGATGAATCAAATCAGTAAAGACAGTAAAGCCGGTAGGAGGATCAATATAGGTTGAAGATGCGTTTTTTAGTGCACGCAAATGCAGGTCTTCCACATCAATGTCGTCAACAACAATCGTCATTGGATCAGCAGTACCAGCATTACCACTGTCAACACTGCTGTTGTCGGACATGGTCCAAGTAGAAAATAACGTGCTGGTAGGCTTGTTTGAGTTGGATATCACTGAGGATAGGCGTGTCGTCAACAGTTGTTTGTAAGAGGATTGAGTACTCGTAGTAAAAAATACACTGCTTGTCTTTCGAAGGATTAATGCCATGGAGATGGAGTTTAAAATCTTTGGAAGTCGGCAAAGAAGATGATTGGAGCAGGAATGGATCAGTGAATGATTGATTCAGTCCTGAATGTAGCGGTGTTTCTGAGGTTATCGCTCGCTGCTGTAGTCAAGTGAAGCGAGGTAGCTTGCGGATTCCAAAGTTGCCTGTTTGTGTTGGAGGGAAAGTGGCTTCGGGTTCAATTTCTGCCACTGATGGTCAATCGTCATCCAGTATGCGAAGCACGTTCTACAATCCTCCGGGTCTCCTGTTCTAACTCATGCGTGTACGTCGTGCGTCAAATATTAGACTCAGCCGACTCACGTACCACGTTTCCCGATCCGGGGTTGAAGAATCGTCATCAGTCATCATGTGATCGCAAAACATCACCTCCTTCCTTCCTTCCTTCCACGTCCGTCCGATCCATCATTTTCATTTCGAGTTCCTCCTAAAACTGGGAAGAAAGATTGAACAATGAAGCTTGAATTCTTCTCAACACTAGCTCTTTTGAGTTTGCAAGCCGCATGGGGATTTGTTCCTAACACTCAAGTGAGAACAAACTTGAAGTCTGAGTCAACTTCGTTGAAGATGGTGGACTATCCGAAGCCAAACGTCGAAAACACTGAAAACTACCGCAATATGGAAGCTCTCTCCTCATCGTTCGGTACTCAACTGAAGGCTAAGGAATCCGAGAAGAAAAAGGTTGCCATCATTGGCGGTGGACTTTCTGGGTTGGCATGTGCCAAGTACTTGGTGGATGCTGGCCATGAACCTACAGTGTACGAAGCACGTGATGTCTTGGGAGGAAAAGTTTCTGCATGGCAAGACGAAGACGGGGACTGGATTGAAACTGGATTACACATCTTCTTCGGTGCTTACCCCAACATGATGAACCTCTTTGCCGAACTTGGCATCCATGACCGTCTTCAATGGAAGATTCACCAAATGATTTTTGCCATGCAAGAACTTCCTGGAGAATTCACCACTTTTGACTTTATTCCAGGAATCCCAGCCCCTTTCAACTTTGGACTTGCTATTCTCATGAACCAAAAGATGTTGACTCTTGGAGAAAAGATTCAAACTGCTCCCCCACTTATTCCCATGTTGATTGAAGGACAACCCTTCATTGACGCTCAAGATGAGCTTTCGGTTACCGACTTTATGCGCAAGTACGGTATGCCCGAACGCATCAACGAAGAAGTCTTCATTGCGATGGCAAAGGCTTTGGATTTTATTGATCCTGATAAGCTTAGTATGACTGTTGTTTTGACTGCCATGAACCGCTTCTTGAATGAAGACAATGGTTTGCAAATGGCTTTCCTTGACGGAAACCAACCTGACCGCCTTTGCGCTCCTATGAAGGATCACATTGAAGCCAAAGGAGGAAAAGTCGTAATGAACTCTCCTATCAAGGAAATCGTTACCAACGACGATGGATCTGTCAGCCACTTGCTCCTTCGTTCCGGAGAGAAGGTTGAAGCCGATGAATACGTTTCTGCCATGCCAGTCGACATTATGAAGCGCATGACTCCGAAGAAGTGGCAAAATATGCCTTACTTCCGCCAATTCGACGAGCTGGAGGGTATTCCTGTGATCAACTTACACATGTGGTTCGATCGCAAGCTGAAAGCAGTTGATCACTTGTGCTTCTCTCGTTCTCCTCTTCTAAGTGTTTACGCTGACATGAGTGTCACTTGTAAGGAATACTATGATCCCGAAAAAAGTATGCTGGAACTTGTCTTCGCTCCTTGTTCTCCTCTTGCTGGAGGAAATGTTAACTGGATTGGCAAGACTGATGAGGAGATCATTGACGCTACCATGGGCGAACTTGCCAGATTGTTCCCCACTGAGATTGCGGCTGATGAAACTTGGCCCGCCACCATGAAGCAAAAGGAAGGAAAGGCCAAGCTTATCAAGTACGCCGTCGTCAAGGTTCCAAGAAGTGTGTACGCTGCTATTCCAGGTGAGTTTATCTTTTGAGATCTGATTTCTGTCCACGTCTATGCAACACTCACACACATTGCATTTCCTGCGATTCAAAAGGCCGCAACAAGTACCGCCCCAGTCAGCGTGCCCCAATCCCCAACTTCACCATGGCTGGTGACTGGACATCCCAAAAGTACTTGGGTTCGATGGAAGGAGCTGTTTTCGGAGGAAAATTGGCTGCCGAAGTTGTTTCCAAGAAGGCCAAGGGAATGCAACTGCCAATGGAAAAGGTCATCCAACAGAACATTGTGGACTCTGCTGCCAGCTACGAGGCTAAGGAGCCAATTGGAATTATGGGAGACGGAGCAATTGCATTCGGTGCTGGTGCCAGCCTGAAGCAAGAAAACGAAAGTCTTCTTCGCACTGCCGATCCTGTACAATTTGCGTGAGCAAGTTATCGATAACATGGACTAATAATATTCTACAAACATATGAAGAGGGTTCTCCTCTCTTCTTTTTCTAAGCCTATCACTTCTTTTGATTACTCATTTCAATAGTTGGTTGTGATTGAAACTGCAAAGAAATCAATGGTTTGCTCTATATAACTTTTCTCCAAACACAAAAGTGCTCCTTCTCCGCGCCTTTTCCCTGCCTGGAGCCCATTGGGGATTTCGTGATCAGAAGAACCGAGTCGACGCTCATGATTTGTTGCTCCCGTGATACTGCTCCGCCAAAGCCCGAGGTTGACCCACCAGCTAGGAAACCGAAAATGCCTCCGTCGTTTGATGATGCATCCATTGATCTCGTTAGTATCCGCTTCTCAACTTCAAAAGTAATGTCGCCAGACTTCTCAACTCGAGTCAAACCTGAAGGGCCCGAGGCTGAAAATGTCATGCTTCTGATGCAGAATTTCTGAGTGGCAATCGTCGTGTTGAAGAAGGAAACGCCATCTCCTGTCTTATCTGCAAGTAGCTGCAGTTGCCAGGTACCCTCAAGGTTTTCTATCATCTGCTTAGAGCTGGCAAGTACGAATTCATCCAGATTGACGGAGGTGCTAGAATCTTTTTCTTCCCTTGATTCTATGATAAGAGGCTTTCCGTCAATAAATGCGGTTGGTTCGATTTTTGTATTGGCGGCGATCTCTGCTTCAAGTGCGTCATCGAAATAGCGAGCAATACTTCGCAATGCTTGAACGATTCTGAGGCGTGGAACTTCTCCCTTTCCAGTAGCCTTCAACAGGACTTGACGTGCCTCACGATTCGATCGAACAGCGGATTGCGTCAATTTCTTGTAAAAGCTACCTTCGGTATCCACATAGGCAGTTTGATAGACATCGTCAAAATTTTTTGCAATATCCCTGAGTCCAGTGGTTTCGATGAATGTATTCTTGATTTGTTTTCGCGAGAAATCCGAAGATACAGCTTTCATGACTTCCATAGCCTCCATTCCATACAGTAGGCGCTTAGCATTGAATTTGACATCTTCCATTCGACACTGCGTCAAAGTCGTGTACACCTTCATAGCCTCTTGGGTCCGTCCACTTGCCTCGTATGCCATTGCAAGTTCGAGATAAATTTGACTACCAACTTTTGAGTTTGTGGAACACCACTTCGTGACTTTTTCCAACGCTGAGACTGCAGTGGTGTAGATACCTCGCTGCATGGCAAGCTGACCAATCTTGAGGGCCTCTTCAATCTCAGCTGCATGCTCCTTCTCTGTGGGAACATCAATGCCGACTTTTCTTCGATAATCCTGCAACAGTTTCTTGGTGTTGACATCCGCAGCGGCATCTTCTTCGTTGGAAAATCCAACTCCAACTCTCCGGCCACCGCCGTACGCTGTACTGATATTTCTGGGCCGAGGAAAGGCGCCCCAACTCCCCGATTTTGGTTTGTACAGTTCCGAAGATTCTTCTCCGTCTTCTTTTTCCCACTTTCCACCAACTCCACTCGTCGTTCGTCCACTATTCATATTCGGTGCTTCTCTTTGTTTTGCCTGTTGCTCCATCTTTACAGCTCTATTGGCTGCTGCTTCTTCTGCTCTCTTTTGTTCTGAAGCTCTCGCTTTCTCTGCTAATTTCTGGGCTACGAGTTCGACAAGATCTTCTTCCGACATTTCCTCTTGTTGTTCTTCATCAAATAAGGAAGGATCGATGATTGGCTTTCTTTCCTCTGTTGACTTTGACGTTGCTGTTGTAATAGGCTTTTCATCTTGTATTTTTGGGCCACCACCAGGGAGAGTGTCCAGGATTGTTCCCTCTGTAGTCGTAGGTGAGGTTTCTGGGAGCGACCCAATCTGACCTGGGGATCTGGGATTGAAAGTGTTTTCATTTTCAGTATCATCATCTTCATCCAACTCGGCTTGAATTCTTCTCAAGTCTTCTAGATTCTCTTCCGTTCCTTCGAAATCATCATTTCCTCCAAATCCAAGCATTTGACTTTTCTTTTTCCCTAGTTTGTTTCGAATTTTATCATCATAGGACTCCATCGTAGATGGCTCACTACTCGTCGCAGAGTTATCACCGTCACTGCGAATCTTTCCTTGCTTCTTCAGCTTGACAATTTGCCTCCTTATTTCATCCTCACGAGAAAGTGCTCCCAATGCGGTTGTTTTGGATGATCTTGGACAGGTTGGAAGGTAAGCATTCACCGAATTGCAATTCGTGCTCAGCAAGAGGTTGATGCATAGCCAAAGAAAAAGAGTGAATGGCAACGACCGCACCGATGGTGTGAATGACATCGTTTCAGGTCTCGCTTGGGCGTGTCAGAGATGAGAATTCGATGAGGTTTCCAATGGCACCCAGTTTCTTGATGGTTTTCAGTCCCAATAAGAAATAAAGAATCCCTATCCAATCTTCTATGGCACGTATATTTATTGTGATTCACTCAATTTGATCTAGAGTCTTTACTAGACTCAGAGGGTGCAGTAACAGCCCAAATGCAAGGCAATAACCTACTCTTTGCACATTGAGCTGGATCTGTTCTTTTCATGAAAACGCATGGACTGGTGAAGTCCTTTGTTGACGTGGTTTTCCAAAAATATCCTAACTTTTAGAATTCACAGTTGTTTTCTGCTTTGATTCCGGATTCTATACTCCCATCAACTGACTGGTCCAGCTTCGTCCGAGATTATTGAGGTGGCTCGATCGATCGTCCATCATCAACACACCAGGAAAGGTGTCGATATCTTCCCATCTGATCGTCCACATTTGGCGATAAACCTTCGTTCAATACTAATACACACAACAATAGCATCATCACCATGTTACAACCTTCTTACCTACTGAGGGTATCACGGAAAGCCACAACTGTGGCCCGAACCGCACTGTCTTCTGTCAGACATCATCATCATCATCATCATTCCATCAGCAACAACGCGACCAGTATTAATAGAACCCTTCAGTATCCTGGTCGTAGAAATTTCCATGCAACATCTATGTTCCGTCAGATAGCAAATAAGGATGCGGAAGCGGCTAAACCAACAGAAGAAGAATTGAATGAAACAGAGGAGACGATCCCCGTGTGGCAAAATCCTTTGCACCATGAGGATGAGAACATGAAGAAACAGTTTGAAGAAGACTTTGAAGGAGAGGAAATGCCTACCAATCCTTTGCCTCCCTTTGAAACAGACGTGGACAAAGTCGTAGCGCCCCCTCATGTCCACGATCTAGCACATGAAATCGTCCACCTAAATTTGTTGGAATTGAAGGAGCTCACCAACAAGATTGCGGACCACTTTGGATTTGATGAAGAAATGATGGCCGCAAGTTATGGAGGTGGCGGTGGCCAAGCAGCAGCAGCCGCGCCAGTGGAAGAAGTCCAGGAAGCAAAGACGATCTTTGACCTGAAACTGGTAGGCTTTGACGCCAAGGCGAAGATTAAGGTCATCAAGGAAGTTCGATCGATTGCAGGACTGGGGTTGAAGGAAGCTAAAGAACTCGTGGAGTCTGCGCCAAAGATCATACAAAAGGATTTGAAGGCAGAAAAGGCGGAAGAGCTAAAGGCAGCGCTAGAGGCAGTTGGTGCACAGGTCGAAGTGGTGTAGTAGTTTTGTTAGTAGGCGTACTAATCTGCAGCTACACAAAATAAAATTGAAACGCAACCAAGTTTTTAGGAGCAGCGATCTGTTTGCATCGGCTTCGATATTGTACCCGATACCTTTAGCCCATCTCGACGTATTCTCTCCACTTGCTTGCATGTAAAAGCATTCTACCAAGTCGAACACTGGTTCGATGTCAATCAAGAATGAATTTGGAAAATGCAGTCTAGGAGGTTAACAAAAGCATATTTAAAACATTTAATGCAAAGGTAAGCTATCTAGACACTTGTATCCACACGAAGCCCCTTCGTAACAGTCCTCGTTTGACTCTTCCACTTGAAGAGTTCCATTGGAAGAACAAGGAAAAACTGGGTCGCAGCTTGATTTGGCTTTGTCCAACAGCCTTCGAAAGTCTTTCAATGCTGTGGAAAAGACATCTAGCCCTAAGCTTAGGATAGTCTGGTCAAGGCTCATATTAGCAGCTTGGTACAAGAGGTGGTCGCCATAGTTTTGCGCAAACCACTCGTCACTTGCCAAGTGCTGATTCACTTTTTCTGAGAGCAACTCGTTCCAGTCCAATGGCGCCAAACACACCTTTTCTTTGGGACTCAGTTCGAATTGTTTCCGCGTCTTGATTGCAAAATAGAGAATGTCGTTTGGTTCAAGTCCCATAAGCAATTGCAAAGCGACTAGAGATTCATCAAAACGCTCCACCAAGCCAATGAAGTTGTACCCCTTGACAACTTCCCGTACATACCCTTGTACCTTTTTTGGATCCTTAACTTTGGTAGGTTCGCTGGAATTGAACGCACTCCATTCTTCGATGATGGAAAGCATGCTGTATTGGAGCTGGAATCCCCCTCTGCCAGCACTAATGACACCAAATTGGACATCGTTCGCTGTCTGGAGGGATTCCACAATCTCATCGGAATAATCATACAAGGGCATGGTATTGTGTAGTATTCCACGCTGTTTCTTGAGGGAGGCACCAATACGACTCATGGCACGCTGGGTTGGATCACGAACAAAGGTCCATAAGAAACTCAGGGGGTCTCTGGCACTGTAATAGGGGCCTGCCTTTCTTCCATCGTGTCGAATACAATTCTTTTTGAGTCCAGTCCGAGCTGCAAAGTTGCGAGCAATTCTCTGATGACACAAGATGAGAGGGTTGAAATATGAATGTGAGTACAAACTTTTCAGTTGTCCTCTCAGCATGTTACAGTACTGCAGGAATCTTTATTCTATTGCATCCAAACACATTCTTCTTGGTACACACCTGATTAATCCCAGAGAGAGTCGAGGAGGCGGCTCGTGGGATTCTCAAATACGATAGCCCCATTGGTCGCCGCTTGGCTTGTTCATACTTTAACCGTGCATCGATGCACCAGATGTCGGATGCCACCGGCAAAAAAGGCCGAGCCATCGAAGATGCCACTCGTTCAAAATGGAGGGTTCGCATGTCTTCAACTGAATACTCCTTTGCATTATTGGTCGCAGTTGATGCAGGCTTGTTCATATATTCATTCAATTTGTTATTCAACAAACTGAAGATAAGCGAGCATATGGCAATCCCAAAGAAAGAAGCCAATTTACAATAGGTTGCCTTTTGTCGACGTTGTTGCAGTACCTCCGCAATGTTCATTGGGGAAGCATCGCCAAGGGAAGAAACAGCGTCGTCTTCAACATGTTTGTTCACATGACCCGTTTCACGATTATCCGTGGCAATGTCAAGCTTTCGTCCGCTTGCCATTGTCCTCTTATGGCGGCTATCTTCCAGCCATTGTTGAGTTTATGACGGTGATGTCTCAAGCATTCGGTGTGACTTCCACTCGACTTGTGTGACCGCAATACACTCGTGACTTGTAAAGCTGGACTCGGGATTGTTCTCGCGCCAGCCGCTTTGTTGCCGTTAATTTGATCTCCTGGTATGTTTTTTACAGAAGGTACACAGATGATCGTTACGTTCGGTTCCCATTATTTTCGACCGGTATTTTTCTATCCAAAACAAAAACGGAAACGGAAACCACCACACCATACCATACCTTCTTCCCGTATAACTAGCTTGGAAAGGGTACAACAGTCAAGTAATATACTGGTACATACAACCAGCACGCAACAATGATGCCTCGGTCGCCGCTGAAAGAAATGAAAATCGACACTGAAAATGTCGATGCACCAGGCAGACGCAATCTTTCTGCAAAGGTTGCCGATTTTTGTCTAGATTGGGTGGTATTTCCTGCTCTACTCTTCATTCAATTTGGGGTAACCATGTACAAGCAAATGAATGAATCTACATTGAAAATGGACTGGAGAGTTGTTCAGGTCATGGTCTTTCTCTTTTGTCTGGTGGCGGGAGTCTATCGACAAGTCCTTCGTCGACATCCATGGGATTCAATGGTTCTGCTACTACTTCCAGAACTCTTTACCAATATTTTGCTTGGAATCGCCATATTTGGAAAGCTAGAGGAGGCCTTCACTTACTTGGTCACTTTCACTGCCGCACTTTCGCTACTTGGACTTGTTGCTGCGGGACAAGTTCTGTACTGGGAACAACGTCGACCGGTCAAGCTTTCGTCCTCGGATTACCAACTCCTCAAGGAAGACCAGCAAGACGAAGAAGACGAATGGATTTGCTGAATACCACAAACCACATGTATACTACATCATCCACGTCAAACATATGTAACTTCAATAATGAACAACTCTTGTTCCATGTTCATATAGTCCAAGACGACTGTTGTTCTTTTATTTTTAAAAGTGATCATTTCGACATTGGATGCAACGGCACTAGATGATTGAATCGACTGCATTGACTTCAAGAACTATGGATCCGTAATACGCTTGTCATATGATTCTAAGTTCTATAGTTTGTTTATCGTAATTGGCGTTTCGATTTCTTCTCCAGAGCGTTGAATTCCTTTTCCAAAAGATTTTTGATCTTTTGTTTCATGTGTTTCAAAGGAAGCGGTTTCACAGAGAAAGCTTGCTTGAAAGCCTGCATTTGACGTTGAATGTGATTGGCAGTCGTAATGTCATCATGTGGATGCGGTAAGGAGGATGACTCGTCCTTCAAAAACTCTGGGACAACGACTCGTGCTCCGTACGGTACATATTTTTGATCAGAGAATTTCATAGGCAAGTAACATTCATGCTCGATTGAGGATTCCGTACAAAGTTTCGATGGACCGGGGAAGGAAGCGTCTATTTGTGCACCTGGTAAACTGATCCTTGTCTTGCCAGGACGGTCCATACACTGGGACGTGCTCGCATTGACGATCTCGAGGGAACCGTGGTCCATGTCGTGCCCGTCAGGAGTGTAGTAGTTCCATTCCCAGTGAGTCGGAGAACATTGATAGTACACGCTAGGGGTTTGTCGCTTCTTGATGTGCGTGGCGGTAAAATCTTGAATTTCCATTGCAAAGGTGCTTTTCAGCGCATCACCGGGTTGTAAAAATGTCTCCACAAGGGTGCTATTTTGAGCACTCTCGTGAAAGTGCTTCAGCATTTCTGGTTCCTCACCATTCAGCGTGACTATTGTGTTGGCATTCAAATCTGCAATGGCTTCTGGTTGACGAAAGTCATAATCCATGGATGGGTCGTTTGTCGACTTGGCAACGATAATATTCAAGGGGGTCTTGATGCACGGCTTGATAACTTCCTTGAGAATATCTTTGTCTGGTGATACTCGAATGATATACAAAAACTTGTTGTTGGTTTGTTGCTCAAGCGCAAAGGTGAATTGTCTCCACACTGCGGTTGTCAGTAGATCCCGCAGCGATGTGTACATCACGTGCGTCACCCCAAACGGTGACTCCCATCGACCCAAACACCCACCCTCCTCGCTGCATTGCAACTTGTGCATTTCGGTTCGCAAGATTTCGAACCCATTCGGTCCCATACCAAACTCAGTAAACATTACATCCAAGAGTTCGTTCTGATCTGGTATTTTCTTTCCCGTGTTTCCAGGACTGGCCGGCAGTGGTGCGTTTTCGACCGAATCTGGAATCACTGCACGTGCTGCCATTACATGTTTCGAAGAAAATGGGACAGAGCAACCGTTGGTGTGAAAGGCAGTACAGCTTTTGATGCCAGAAAAGTTCATTTCATACGATACTTCGGAACCAGGAAAACTGACTCTACTCGCCCCTGGATTAGACACGCACGCGTTTGTCGTTGCTCTGCGCATGCTAAGGTATCCAGTCTTTCGCGTGTCACCTTGTGGTGAAAAGAAAGTCCATTCCAGATGTTTGTCGGCGCATTGGAAATACCAAGACTCTTTCTCATTCGTCATATCGCCGATTCTAGTCTTATGTCCAACCCAATTGCTGGAACGCATAACAGATGAGACAGAGTCCTGTATTTGCCTCACAAATCCGGTGTTTAGACCATCAGTTGGACTGAGATATGTCTCTATAACCGTTCGACCTTGTGCCGCCTTTTGTTGATTTCGTAAATTCTTGAGCTTTCCACGCACAAGTGTTTCTTCCGTCACATCGGCTAGGGCTTCGGGCCTGCGGAAATCGATCCCCGTCGTCTTCCTATTTGATCGCACTAAGAATATGTTGTCTGGCTCATTGTAATTGAACCTAATCGGAAACGATATGCCCTTGATAACATCTACGTCGGTGATGTTTGTGCGTATGATCCAAAGGAAATTTTGGTCGTCCTGCTTGACAAGAGTATCAATGCTAAGCATACGCCACGTTAGAATGGACTGTTGGTCTTGAATCCACGTATGTATAACATGGATACTTTGACGCGAGTTGTCGGCAATAAGCCGATTCATTGTTGTCAGCGTTGGGGGAAAGACGCTGTACTGAAGCCGTAACTGCATCACAAATCGCATTTGCTGCTTTTCAAGAGCAACTATCTCGCTTTCACTCAGTGACGTGGCTTGTTGGACTTGATTCGGCAGACACAAGCGTAGGGCTAGCGTTTTGAGCGCCTCCACTTGAACGAAACACCCAATCCTTGGTGTGTTATTGTAATGGCTGCACTCTTGCGCATCCTGCAAACTTGTGTCAACGCCAATCTTGCTGCCCGGTAGACTGACCCTTGTTGTGCCTGGACGATCCACACACCTACTTTCGTTGAGTCCAATAGTCCGAAGAAAAACGTTTTCAACAAAATCACCACGGGGGTGTCTGTAATTGGCTTCCATATACTCTGGGACGCATTGATAGTACCACATACGTGTGTCTCCGTCATTCGCATCGTTCTCTCGACCCCATGAAGATGCAGATACTTGTATCTCATCGACATATGTTCTTGTCAGCCCCTCAGTTGCCTGCAAATAGGTTTCCAGAAGTGGTCTGGTCTGCGAAGCTTGATGGTAATCATGTATTATGCTCACATTTCCATGAAGGAGACTGCTCTCAGAAATATCAGCAATGGCTTGAGGCGAACGGAAAGACTCGAAGGAGAAACTAGACGAGTTCACGACCATTATTTTGTCCTTGAATGGACTTTCTTCCATGGGCCGCAGTATAGTTTCAATAATTCGAGAGTCCGTGAAGTCTGCAACGCGTATGATCCAGAGGAACTCATACGTGGACTGTCTTGTGAGTGATGACAAACTCACACGATGCCACGGATCGGAAAAATTTGGATCTTGCACATCCGTAAGGATAACATGAACAACTTTGTGTTTATTCTTCCACTTTCCAGCACATGTCTTCTCGTGGGTGCACTTGCTTCGTTCATTGTCTGTATTCACTTGTTCCTGATTGTCAACCAAGTACTTTCGGAGCTCTTTGACTTCCGCTGGTCGAATCGAAAAGTACGGATCCAAAAGCGACCAAGCACTCTTGTCAAAGAGCAAAGATTTGATGCTCCAATCAAAGGACGAGATCGTTCCTTTCGCCAAACCGGATGAAGCCGGTGTCATCGACCTGATCGCTACGACATCATTTTCAGGGTCCTGCCTTTGCACGTTGACCCAACATCCCTTGAAAAGCGAATTTTCGGTTGAATTACCAACATAACAACTGGCTACATACTCTTTCAAGTTATGCACCTCTTTCGAGAATTCGGGCGTCGATTTCGGTTGCGTCGCCCAGCTTAATCCAGATTTAATGCACGATCGGCCCTTCCCAGGCAACATGCAACCTCTGTCAGACCGCTTTTCCCAAGGCGAGTAAACATGCCATTCCATGTGACGGCTTATGCAGATTTGCAGCCAACCATCCTGGTCTCGGTCCACATCAAACAGAGAATGCACATGTGCCTGAACACTTTCCACAAAGTTCAAAGCAATGCCATCATCAGTATCCAGGTTTGTTTCTACAAGTGTATTACTCTTTGAAGCCTCGTGGTATGAACGAAGCAGGTTCAAGTCTCCAAGCAACAATGATTCTTTTCTGAACTCGCCCATCGCACTGTCTTTGCGGAAACTACCGTCGCTGAACCCGTCGACGGCAACGTCAGATGCAACTAAAACAACATTAGGAATCCCTTTCAGCACGTCAATCAGGCCTTCCTTCAGTGAGGGAAGCAGTTCTGGGTCGGTACGAACGACCCACAGAAAGTCGCTGTTTGTCTGTTCGAACACCGTTGGAACGCAAAGTGCCTTCATTAGATTCAGTCGCGCTACCCCTAGTTCCATTAGAGATCCTTGTTGTTGCATAAAACGACTGTAGACAACATGGACAATATTCCTCTGATTCTGCCACATGGCTGGTGCAGATGACAATGCTTTCCTTCTGGTTTTGGAAACCAATTGCAATAGCGACATCCGATAGATACCAAAATCTTCCCCAAGGAAATCATACCACCCTTTCTGCTCCTCCAAATAAGCAGTTGCGTTGACAACTTCCGGCTGCTGTTCCTCTGTTTGTGCTGTTGTTACGACCCGGGCTGCCCTTATCCCCTGCTTTATGGGCGCCGAGCAACCGCTTCGAAACAAACCAATCGATCCACTGCATGCTCGATCAACAGTACGTTTCCGATCCCCAGATGGAATATCCGCTCCAGGAAGACTTATTCTCGTAGTTCCTGGACGATTCATGCACGCTTCGGTGTCATCGTTTGCACGGCTCGCTTTTCCGGCTTCAAACAGAGGATCTTCTGACGCAATTACTCGCCATTCCACAACTTGGGATGCGCAACGGTAATACCAGGAATCTTGATTGCTTACGCCAGTATTATTCTTGGCTTTAGCAGCTGCTGACTCTTGCAATTTTGCAACGAATTGCTTCGAAAGGCCCTCGGTGGGTCTCAAGAATGTCTCCAGAAGCGGCTGACGTTGCGCACTGAGATGAAAGTATTCCAACAATGTCATGTCCCCGTACGCCAGCGTTTCATTTCGAATATCCTTGATAGCTTCCACATGTCGGAAGGACACATCGGGACTGACAGCTGACTTCACCACGATCACGTTCAATGGAATGTTCCGAATCACTGTCATCAACTTCTCCATCAGGACTGAATCCAGAGATACGCGGATAATCCACAAGAACTTATTTGTACTTTGAGCTTCCAGCGACAAGCAAAAGTACCGCCAATAAAGAAACAGTGACTCATCATTCAGTGAAGTCTGGATCACTTGCGTTACCCCATGCTCACTATCCCATTCGACATTGCACGTCCGACTATCGCTGCATTGATTTTTCTTGATGTATGAGCGCATTGTCTCAACCGCAGAGGGATGTATGTTAATGGAATCTCGAAGCACGCTCCGCAGGTGCTTGTCTTCTTCACCCAGGACCTCTAAATCGCTTGCTTCTACCTGTCTCGGTACTGGCTTTTCTACTGATTCAGGAATTATTGCTCGTGCCGTCAAAGTTTCGTTTGAAAACATGGGCGCATAGCACCCGCTATTGATTTGAAGGAGCACCAAAGTATGACATTCTGAGATTTGATTTGCATCACCCGAGTATGGAATTTCTGCTCCGGGACGACTTATTCTAGTCACACCTGGGTTTTCGACGCATTGAATGCCGTCTGATCCTCCGAGACTCAGAAATCCTGCATCGTTATCGTACCCTTCTGGAGTGAAGTAGTTCCATTCAATAAACTTGGAGGTGCATCGGTAGTACCACACATTCTTATCGTCCATCATTTGGCTTGTCTCTAGTTGCATCACAGTTGATTCTTGTATTTCTTCCACAAAGGATTTGCTGAGAGCATCGTGCGGTTCCAGGAATGTTTCTACCAGAGTTCGATCTTGCGCCGCTTCGTGAAAGGCCTCAAGGATATCCATCTCCCCATATAGCAAGGTTTCCTCCGAAATGCCGACCATTGCCTGTGGAACTCGAAAGTTGACTGTTGATGTCTGATCAGACTGTACCACAAGTATGTTCAGCGGACTTTTGCCCACAATTTTGCTGGTTAAAAAATCATTCAATTCCTGTGAATCTGATACCTCTTTCACCCGAATTATCCATAGAAACTCGTACGACGTCTGTGCCTCCAAAGAATCAAAACTGAATTGCCGGAGAACATTCGCACTCAGCAACGAATCGATTGAAGTTTGGATTACATGAACAACATCATGCTTGTTTTTCCACATGCGATCCTTGTATATGATCTTCTTGAGTTTCTTCTTGATTCCTTCCGAGCAGGAATGGTCTTTTTGGCATTGACCTCTCAGGTTATCTCCCACGATATCTTCCATATGATCTGTCAGGTATTTGTGGGATGTTATGATGTCTGCCGTCGAAATCCCAAATGAGGTTGGAAGCATTGGCCATAGCCCGCTGTGAGCATCAACTTGATCCTGCGTCCACTCCGATTCTGGTGTTAAAACTCGGGCCATTCCAGTTGAAGTAGGCGTGCGAGCACGGATCACCAACAGTTCGCTATCAGGTAATTCATCCCAGCACCCCAAATGTTTTCGTTTCACATTCTTACATTCCTTGGTCTCCTGTTTGATCAGGTGATGAGCCTCAGTGAAGTCTGGCTCTGCGTTCGCCATGGTAGCCCAACTCAAGCCAGCGGTAACACATATATGTGTGCTACCTAGGTTCAGAGATCCCCTGTCTGTAGTATTATCCCATGGGGCGAAGTATTGCCACTCTAGATGGCGACCAACACACAGGTTGAGCCATGCTGTCTTCCTTTTATTCTTTCGAAACTTCGATTCGGTCACCCTTTGCGCAGTCTCGACAAAGTTCAGGCCAAAGCCATCATCAGCATCCAGGTTTGTCTCCAAGACCGTGTTCTTTCGGGCACTCAGATGATATGATTGAACTAGGTCCATATTCCCAAGGAAAAGAGAGGAGGTTGTAATGTCTTTGATAGCATCTCCACCTCGAAATCCGTCGTCCAGAGAACCTTTCTTAATCTCGTTGGAACCTACAAGAGCGACGTTGGGTAGATCTTGAAGATCCTCTAAAAGATTCTCCTTCAAGGTCGGATGTATTTCAGGATCCGTTCGGATGATCCATAAAAATTGCTGATTGGTCTGTTGCTTGATAGTTGGAAGACATATCGCTTTGAAAAGCTGTAATCTTGCCAATCCAAGTTCCAAGAGATTTGGTTGGTGCTGCATGAATCGACTGTAGATGACATGAACTATGTTTCGGTCATTCGACCATTTCTGGAGTGTTGAATTATGAAGTATGCGTTTTGTCCGCCCTAGTAGTGGCGCAGCTTCAGCATTGCCTGTCAGATCCGTTCTACGTATTATAGACGCCTTTCTTGGTTCTTGTAATGTCTCTAAGCTAGTGTCATGACTTATACTTCCGAATTGAGTTGTGTGATGGACAATGAAAGGAAATATTGCTGACAGGATTGCGAATAGTGGAATGCAACGACGGAGAAAGCGTATTCGTCCTCTTTTCAGGAACGATTGACTTGTCATACTGCTTCTGTCCGATAAATGGCGCTTCATTGCTCTCGTGTTACTGTTTACGGTAGGCATTCATGTTGTTAGCATTGGATGTTGGCGGCGTGACTGTTTTTACTGTGTTTGAATTTCACATGGCCAAATGAACGACTGACACGACTACAAAGGATTCAACATCGAACATTCGGACGAATGAAGGACGAAACTGTCTGGCATCAATCAACTCACCCATCAATTCTGCATCTATCGTAACATCAGTTGAAGCGAACAACACAATCACCAGAAGATAATAGAGGTCAGAGAGCATTTCGGGATACTCTTTGTGCATCAACCAACGAGAAAAATAGTGGATAGATAGACTACAAAACAAGATGATGACGAAACTAACTCTCTTGATGGCCATTTCTGTGTTGCCATCATTAGTGAGTCCATTCACAACACCCAATACCTTCGGCGAGACCAGTCTGCATCTGGGAAGTTCAATCGAAAGCAGCATCTTCGCCCTTTTTTCAGAGGCTTCTGTATCAAAATTTAGCCAGGATCAAGATGATGTTGCGGATGACATCGAGGACTCTTATCTTGTTGACAATGCAAATAGTACATCCAAGTTTTTGTGTGGTCTGTGGGAACTGATTGCAAGAGGAAACAGCATGGTTCGCGGAGTAAGTGATCCATTGATGTGACGGTCATGCCCGTGGTGTTTGCAGGATCAAATGCTTTCTAACCTCTTGTTGTTGTACCTTTCTTTATGACTACATAGGAATCCGAAACAGTTCTATTTCCAGATATGGAATCCCAATTCACACCACGGTATCTAAATCTTGTAACTGCGCATCTCGACGGTTGCAAAGATGTAACCGACAATTTTGGAGTCACAACCACCTTGCAGCCATATATCAGTGGCGGAAAAGTGAAGGGGTTTACTGTCAAGTCCTTTCGAAACCCAGACAAAGATCCAGATAATTATGAATTTGACTACGATCCCTTTTGGGACGATGGCGACGATTGGAACTACGAAGGAGTCGACGATGAAGATTTGGCAGTGGACAAGTATCCAGAAATTGTAGACAAGATTCCAGATGACGATGACAAGATCATTGACATATCGAAGGCTTGGGTTGAAAAGATCTGTTCTGACATGGGAATTTGTCCGTTCTCCAAGGGTGCAGAAGAGGCTGGACTGCCTATTGGTCCTGTATTTTACTGTATTGATCGATGCACTTCTTTGGAAGATATGTATGCTCGGTACTGGGCAGAAGTTGTGCGAGTGGAAAACCAAGACCAGAGCGAACTTTCCACAACTCTTCTTGTGGCACCCGAATTCTGTATAGATCAGATTGAGATTTTTGAGCAATTCAGCACCACACTCACACAACCCCTGTCTGCATTGGACTTGGAGTCTTCTATTCAACTAGTTTTCTTTCATCCCAACTGGTCCTTCCGTGATGGAAGCGCCAGAGAAGGCATCGGAGCTGCAGCCAACTACGCCCGTCGAAGTCCATGGCCAATGATCAATATTCTTCGGACGAGCCAAGTTCGAGCGGCACAAAAGGGTATTCCCACCGGACTGGTGTACAAGCAAAATGAAAAGACTCTTTCTAGCGTCGGTGTGGACACATTGGAAACCTGCCTTCGACTGCGAGACTGGGAAGCCATGAAAGATGTGAAAGTGAACCGAAAAGAAATTGAAGCCTTGAGGGTTGCTCGCGATTTTCAAGAATCAGGAACCATCAAGGTGGATGATACTTCATTTTCGAATGATGCAACACCAGCTGCCAATAAGGTTGATGGGAGACAAATTGAACAAGGTGACCTTGTCAATGTTGTGCTGGAAGCATTGTCGAAACGGTTGTCTGGTTCTACTACTACTGCTACTACCTTTGCTGCTTTGAGCGGTCCCGAGACCAGTGCTGCAATCATGGCCACAGATTTTTTGCTCAAAGAATTGAATCGTGTAGCAGATAGTGGGCCAGAGGAAAAGTCGCCCGCCACAGAGAGCCACCAAGCGATTGTAGATGACTTTGAGGACCCCGCTTCCGGTGATGGAAGAGAGGATCTTGTGGGGCAAGTCGTATTGAATCAAACTGAATAAAATATTTTGCAATTATCTTTAAAAAAGGCATTAATGATATATTTATGTTTTTGATGTTGACAATTGGCATGGATAGATAGATAGTCATGGATGGTCGTCAGTCAGTCGGTTCCCTCAATTGTAACAAAAAGTCGACGAAACATATTGAGTTTCATGTCATCATTTCAGCATGACCGAGTTGAATGGTCGACAAACGCTTTTTCGTCTGGGCCGATTGGTTAGCCTTTGACTCTCATGCTGTTGTTTCTTCTTATTGCTGTCAGAGGTAGGAGGGGGGCTGTTTTCATCATCCTGGAAGATAGATTCTTCTTCCTTCTTTTGTGATTGCGCGGTTTGCTGTTTCCACATGTATTGTTGTTGCTGATGTTGTTTAATCATCATCATTACCGTCGTCATGCCTTGTTTGCACTCTTTCAAGTCATTTCTCACCATTTCATGAAGGGTCGCTTCCTTATCCAACCTAATTTCCAACTCGGCAATTCTAGTGTTCGTGGCCTTGTCGCTGTCGTTCATGTTTTGCTCTCGAGTCGCCGTTGTCATCGTTTGCTGGGAGGATAATTTTGGAATCACCACCCCCATGGACATGACTTGTTGTTGTTGACAGAGCTTGATTTCCTTTGAAAGTTGTTGATTTCGTTTCAACAGGCGGGCGCACAAAAGTTTGACATTGGCCAAATCTTCTTGTTGTTCTTGTTGCTGCTGCTGCTGGAGGATGGTGCTGGAACCTTGGAGTAGTGTTGTTTGTTTTAGAGGCGATGACAGTAATGATGATTCCTCCAACCACTCCACCAATGGCCGTTCCAGCAATTTCACCAAGTCCTCTTGGCCAAACTTTTTGGCCAAAGAGAGTGGATCCTCTGGTTCTGCCACACTGGTCACACAGAGGGCCCAGGGGCAAGCTCGAATCAGCAATTGTACCACGTTTGGGCAACAACCTTCCGCGGCGGCCAGTTGGAGCGGAGTCGGACCTACTTTGGGCATCAGATCCAATGTTGGTTGGGATGATAGTAGGAAAAATTCCACCACATGTACTGGTGCTTGTTGTTTCAAGATAGACAAGAGTAACTCCACCGTAAGGAGTTGAGGGTTTGTTTGGAGTAGTCCTTTGGTTTCCTCCCACCGTGCATCAGTGTCTTCCTCTTCCGAGGGTGAGAATAGAGAAGGGTAGAAAGGAATTCCCATAACAACAAAATACAAGCCACAGCGTGTTTCTGTTGGATGAGTCAAAGTAACACTGGTCGACAATGCACGTTTTGATCGAAAGAATGAAGTAATATTGCACAACAATGAACGAAGCAATGAGTGATGAATGAAGCAATCATCGAATGATGCAGAAAGGTTTGGACTAGCATCGGAGCGTCATGTTGCGAGTTGGTTTTGGATATTCTCCGAGTTACAGCGATAGAGAAAGACACTCCATTGTTTCATTACGTATGTTTGTTTGTGTGT